AAATTAGTTACAATATGTTTTTATCAGCTCTTGGTAGAACATAATTAGCTATCAACGTATACCGTTGGTAATCGTAGAGAAGTTGGTTTGATCCAATAATTTTGATGACCAGAACCCTTTGGGCTATACTTATAAGCTGTGTAATCCAAAATCGAGATTACAGTAATCACCTTGCTGATTCATTGATTATGGTTTACAAAAGCTTTAAGGCAATTTGATGTGATGTGAAGGTGAAGAGTACATAAATTGTAATCCTAAGGTAATGATGCACAGGTAAGCAAAGTGAGGTAAAGACATAGGAATTAATCCAAGTTCATATAGATACTATTGTAGGTGGTCACAGACACTGCAAATTGTAGACATATTTTCATGGCAAGCATTTGCCCAAAATTCAGCTGGTTTAGACGCTTATATCATTATTTTCGTAAAAAGTTTCTTAATCCTTGTTCAAATTCAGTTTTTTACAATTTTAACCCTGTTTGGCTATTTTTTCAGGAACTAAACCTTCACTATATTATTCAGCATGCTTGATTACATTGATTATGTCACTATTTAGCTGGTTTAGACGGCATCTTCATTATGTTTAAAAGGTCACTAATACTATGTGATATTTAAATATTTTGGCCGATATCTCAAAAACTATGCATGCTATAAAAAAATAGATTTGATTTATGAAATTAGCATTATATTTTGCGTCTGAAAAGTAACATTTCGAAAAAAATCGAGAACAGGCGATTTTGCAGGTCCTCCTTAGACCATGGTTGAAAGAAGACACAGATTCAGAAGAGAAACAAGATTGACAGAAGATACAAGATGAAAAGGAAGACACTGAAATTGAAAGAAGAGTTAGATTGATAGAAAGGAAGATTGAAAGAAACAATTTCAATGTCAATGAACTTACATGAAATAAAGTAAAACCCGAGAGAAAGGAGCGGGAAGAGTTATCCTGTTCTGTCTTCCTTACTCCTTTCAATCTCACCATGTTCATGATCAGCGACATTAACCGTTAGAAGACCGTTTGTTTAACCAGTTTTTAGGTTTGGACAAATTGAGAGCTAAAATATTCTTACCGTTAAAATCCTTTTCCTTATCTTTGAACTTGTTACTAATTTTTTTCATCATCTACCATAAAGAGAGGAAAGAAAGTAAAACAAGTGAGTGAGACAAAAAAAGAGGGAAAATATGATGATTAAGAGTGGAGAGTAATGAGAAGATAAGAGAGAAAAGGAGAGAAAGAGTAGGTAAGGGGATGAATAGAAAGGGGAAGTTTCTTTGATTAAACGAATCTTTTTTTTGAACTTACCATTCAATTGGTTAATACCAACTGATAGTCATCAAGCTTCATAAAGCTTTGTTTTAATACTTTTAATACAGTTTTACATTTTCTTATTGTTCCGTTTCAATTTTATTTCATCCAAGTTTCCACAATCAACCTTGATTTTAATCAGACTGAGAATAATAATCCTTCCTCTATTTTAATCGTCATCATCAGCAATTTCATCTTCTTTTCATCCTTTTTTCATGGTTCCTCTCACACGTTTTTATCATTTATCTTGATTGGTAACAAACTGATAACTTTCCTTTACAGTTGCTTATTTCAACTATTGTTTTCGTCTGTGACATTTTGTGTGATTCTTGTTTCTTAAATTTGTTTTTTTCTCTTCTCTTTTTTCTTTATATCTTCATAGAGGTACCTGATGCTGATGGTACTCACATAATTACTATCAATCAAAGTGATGATCAACGGAAATCTGGCTGTGAACATCAACTACTAATAACTACAAGTGAAGAAGATCGAAAGTTAAGCCTTTCCTCATCCTGTGATTCCTTTGAACGAGGAAATTCAAAAAGCTTATCTCCATCGCCTTCAAATCCCCGCCGTCCTCAACAGCGACAATCTAAACGTCTTCTGCCAACATTAAACCACCAATTGAGTGATCCATACACATATAATCGACACCAATCGTACCAAAACAAACAAAAACCTTCCCATTCGCCCAACAGTCTTTACCCGCACTCACAATCTCATCACTCACATTCACTATCTACTTCTAATAAACATCACCATCATCCGCATACCTCACCATCTTCTTCCTCGTCTTCTCACCATCATTACCATCGTCATCAATTAGAACCCAATCCTGGTCATCATCATTACCATCAAAAACAGCAATCACCAACCTTACCAAGATATCCATATAAACCAGAAATGCCATCAGTTCAGCGAATCACATCTTATGAACCAACCCTTGACCTTGGAGCAAATTATGGTTCTTCACCAACATCATTAACTGCAATAGGATCAACATCTTCAACAAAGGCCATTGATGATCATCATTTTCCTGATCGATTGGGATCAGGTCTTTTGGTTCGCTCATCATCAGATCGAACCCCAACTCCTGGTTCATCTTTCTCTGAAGAATCAGACTCCCATTATCACCATGATGTTGACCTTTCAATTAACCGTAAATCCTCCTCACCCTCATCCACAACATCAACCAAAACTCATCGACTCTCTGGAATCCTCTCAGTGCCTACCTGGAAGTAAGTTAATGTGACAAATTTTCCAACTATCTTCAATTTATTATCTTTGAAAATTAATCCATGCTATTAACTTGATCAACTCAAATATCATCGCCTACCTGTTCAGTCTAACTTTTTACTTCCTTTAAAAAGTTTATACTGAATTTCAAAATGAACCATTTCCACATATGAGCGCTTCTAAATTGCAAGTTCATCAAGATAAAAATTTCAAACTAACATCATTCAATAGAAAAAATATCCAAGTTTTATTTGGTCAGCCTTTGACTGGTCAACTCGTCTTCAATTATGCTCTTTTGATGCTATCTCGGTCAATATATTCAACAAAAATTGATAAATTCTCTCAAAGAACTCTTATCTGAAGTTCAAATGAAAAGATATCTGACACATGGAATTGATTCTCAATTTTGCAAATGAGTTTTTGCGACTAATTAACGTCTGTATTACGACAGTGTAAATTAACTGCATCTTGATCACCTTATTTCTTGCCTGCTTTACTTTATCAACTAACTATCCACCTTAAATAATTGAACTCTAGTTGTTAAAGGCTCACACTTATTAGTCTCGATTAGCTTTCGAAAGCAGCTTATTAATTGTAGCCGTAATTGGCAGTTTAATTGGGTAGTTGTGATCATAATTGGCAGTAATAAAATGGAAAACATTAGGAACAATCAAAACTGTTGAAACTCGAGATTTCCATATCAGATATTCAAGGTTTTTCTTTTGCAGATTAAATGCTGATTAAGTTAATTATTATCACTTCTATTATTGCTTTTAGCAAAGTGATTCGGTAATTAAGACAATCCCTTATCATTTCTCATTTGGTCATCATTTATTCGATTGATTATTGAACCTTGATTTTCCATTGTTTCTATCATTGGTTTGACTGATTTTATGCAACTCCATTTATGTTAAAATTATCATCAAGGTGAACATAAAATGAAAAACCATATTATTCAACCTATCAACTTAAGATGGTCATTTGTTGAGCTATTTTTGGTCAGCAATTTTTTAATCTATTAATATCTATTAGTTTGAACATTATTCACGTCATTATTGATCAAAGCATTATTTTGATGCAGACTAACCTTTTTTTAAATTAGCAGCAACCATTAAAGCAATTGTCTTGAAAAAGTTGGTAAAAAATCAATAATCAACTTTATCTGATTGATTGAAATCTTAACTGAATCAAATTTCAAGAGCAATTTGCTAATGTTGTCAATTTTGTAATCAATTTAGAGTACTTGTTTTAAACTGTCATTTGATTGTCTTGACATTTTAACATTTATGTAACGGTTCATGTTTGGAGCAATGTTTTCATTAAACAACAATGATATTAAGGGTAAAGTCCTCACTAAGATTGAGGGTGGATAAGTAGATGAAGGAGTGGGAAGTGGATCCGGTGTAAAGGTGTAACTATCTATGAATGATGACGATTGATGATGAGGTTAATGGACTCATGAAATATTGAAACAGAAGCCAAAACTCAGAGTTTCATAAAGAAAGGTGGAAAAGGGTCACATAGAGTTTTGTCATGCTACCAAATTATAACATCCAGGTAAATGTATCCTTAAGTTATTCATTGGAAAAAAATAGTTGGCTGTTAACCTAACCATGGAAGATTCTGATGAATCAGATTATGATGTCATGATATGATGACAGGAAAGAGTTGAAACAATTAGTAGGGTGATGAGAGCTAAACATTTGTTTCATTCAACAAATGACATGAGCCAAATCTGGAGGATAAGAAAATTATCCGCGAAAATTACCCGAGAAAATGTTTTCCGCAAGAACTTCTTTGAAATTTATTCAGAAAATCGAAGCTCGAATTTTCTCCATTCATTCGACTCTAAAGATTCAATTTACTTAATACTTTCTGAGCCATTTTCATCGTTCTTTCCAGGTTTTGCGCGGTTTAACCAGAAAACCCAAATTATTCCTAAAATCCTTTTTGGTTTGTTTTGGTTCATCGAAGAATGGTTTCAGGGCACAACTGGTTAGAAGCTTTTTTTCGGTTGTTTATCGCTACCTTTCGAACTATAGATTCGAGAGTTTCTTTCATTTCTTCTTATCCATTCACTTTGAAACATTTCATTCAATTTGGTGGAAGAAGAATCTCTACGGAATCGATTCTCAACATTTACTTTTTTTATATTTTGTCTTCTTTTCATCATTATTACCTTAATATTGATCCTCATTTCATTTTATTATCATTATTTATGCATTCATTGACTCATGATTATCATGATAACCTTCAAATGTTGATAATTATTTTCATTTTTTCTACATTTCGTCTCTTCCTTCCAACCATTTAACCATCCAACTTTAATCCATGCTTAATGTCATTACGCTTTTGACAGTCTTTCAATTTTATTGCCTTCATCTTCCCTCTTTTTTTATCATGTTAGTCTCTTATTCCAAATGTTATTATGATAACATGATTAACTATTGAACCAGTTAAGAATAACCCATTTTTAATGTCCAATTGATAACAGCTGACTCGACAAACATCAGACAATTTGACACAATTTTGCATTTTCATTGCCACCTTCATCGTTTTTTTCATTAAACCAATCTCATGCTCTTTTGATTATAACAAATTACTATTAATTATCAAATATTTACTCCTTTAATAAGGTTTAATTTAAAAATAGAAGTTCAATATTCACGATTAATCAAATTAGATGAGCACAAGTGTTGAACAGACATTTTGAGCTCAATAAAATGAGTTAACATTTGGGTTAAAACATTAGGTTGTCCCAATAAATCCAAATCTTGTGGTTACAGTTAAACAGTTCAAATGTAAACAATTTCAACAATCAAACAAATAGACATATTTATAGCAGTTAACTAAATCAGTATTATCCTTACAATTCAAACTGATTAACATAGTAACAATTCTCATAGAATCTCATCATAATAGTTATAACCCATTGAAATGAATATACAATGAAACTTGGCCTTAATTTAGCCATAGGCTCAACCAAACCTCATTAATTTATATAACAATACAAAAAAAATTCACTCAATTCTGGTTTGAAATTTTCAACTTTGCAGTTTGATTACATATTTGTATTCATTTAACCTTAACATTGTCTTTTTTCAGTGTAATCTGGTTGAAACCAATTGTCAAGAATCAATTGTTAACAATTTTTCTCATTGCTAATTGAATTTTTAACCGTTACACCTGTTTGATTAAAGGTTGATTTGGTTCCTCTTTTGGCCAGCAATTGTTTAACCTCCTAAGCTTTACCCGTTGAATATGAAGCCCACTCAATGAGGAAGCTAAACATTAGCTCGGTCATTCATCTTGATTTTTCAAACCAACTCATCTTACTCATCTTAATTATCAACATTATTTCACTTTTAAATTGGCAATCTAACAGTTTTCATCATTTCTGTTTCAACATGTCCTTACCCTGAAGGGTTACTCCATTTTTACTCTTTACCCTCTATTGTAACATCTAATGAAATCCAAAATTTATAATCTCTAATGATCTTTAAAGCCTTTTCCGGAAACTGTGAGTCACATTTTCCCTTTTAACCAGCCTTAGGGTTTCATTAAATTACCGTTTCAAATGGTTATGAATCAAGATGAACAATAACAATGAACATATTTTTGTTGAAACATTGTTAAATTGCAAGACTAATCATTTCTTTCACTGAAAAGCCTTATTAGCTGTGCAATTTAATCATCTATTAATAATCAAATGAATTGACTTTCAAAGTGCTCCAGTTGACTACTTTGACGATATTCATTGGAACTGCTAGGATAATCTCACTTGAAATCCTTAAACCTTTAATCTATTTCAATGCTTCATTGATCTTTCGCTTTCCTCTTTCAATGTTTCACACATTGAATGCATTAAATAGGAATCTTTTAACTCTAAAAGTAACCCATTTGCTAATGGCTTTTCATTAATAATTTAATCTCTATTTACTTGAACCCTTCATAAGCTTCATCACTTTATTTACATTTGCAAATTGTTTATCATTACCTTATGATTACCATTTGAAGAGGTCAAATGTCCATCTATTTTGGACTTTCATCTAATTATAAGCTTTAATCAAACCATTGTTTTCAAGCTGTTTCCAAGTTACCATTTGAATTGATGATTCAACTGATTTTTTATTTGCTCATGAATTTCACTTGAACATCTAAACTGTACAAATTAGTGGTTATTTATGAACCATTCAATGATTATTATTATTCAAGTTGATCTCAAATTTCATTTTACAATATTCACTTTATTTTCAGTTGAAATTTAAATATAATTGTCCATAATTATAGATATTATCGTTATTAGTAAATAACAATTGTTCAGTGATTCAAGATAAAACAAGAAATAATATAATCAACGTTATTATGAAAGTGATACATTCCTTGTTACATTATAGTTCATAGAGATTTATCAACCTATTCAATGGAAATCAATAAATTACCTTGTTAATGATGATGATTATTTATAATGATAATAATGATTATAAATGATCATTTTCAGCTCAAAATTTTTACTTTGCACAAAAAGATTAATTTGGCTGCTTTTTGTGTAAACCAAAGTGAATTTCAAATTGATTTATTGATTGTAATACTCTTTTTGCACTATTAATTAACACGAATAGCAGCTTAAGAATTAGATTAACAATTGTTAATAATTTACTCGAGGAAAAAATGGTTGAATCTAATTCTTAATCTTGTAATGCAGTTAGTTAACGTTGTTACGCGCATTTGTAATTTAATTGTTAACAGTCTTAGGAGAATCTTCAGTTTACTTTAATTTTTGCATAATTAGGAGATGCTCTTGATATTTGATTGATTTACTTACAGTTGATTATTATAATTTGTTCAAGTACATTTGTACTTAGTTTTAAATTAAAGTGTTGGGTTGTTATTGAGTTGACTATTGTTAGGCAGTTTGTACGATTAATTACACTGTTTATAAATTGAAAACTAATAAAATTTATGTTCATTTTTTCCCCCTTTTTTCAGTGCTGAACCGCGAGAATCAATAAGTAACAATGGAAGGCAGGAATATGATGATGAAAGCAATATTGATCCGGTTACTTCGAATAATAATGTTCATCACAAAGTTAATGATAAGCAAGAATCAAATGACGATTATGGTAAATCGAATTACAATTCACTTCATCTCGATGAGTTATTAAATGGTCGTCAAAAGACAATACGTAAATTAGGTTGGGATCATTTTTCATCTGAATGGCTTGATTGGGATGTAAGGTATGTTAATAAAGCCCATGTAATATGTACTGAAGTGGCATAATATTGGAACAAAGTCAAATTACATTATTTAATAATCAGTCTTTGTTGTAGACAAGAGCTGCTATTAAATAAAGGCGTAGCAATTGTTTAGTTTCAAATTGATTGACTTGTATTTTAATATTTTCATATAGACCTTCAACTGTACCAACAAACATGATCAATAGACGAGCTATTGATGCGGAGGACAATGCCGATGAGGCTTATGGCAACAGCGATGGTGAAATGTATGGATCGGATTGGGATGAACAAGAAGATCCAGCTGATTATGTTAAAGGAGGTTATCATCCAGTTAAAATTGGAGATGTTTTCGGTTCACGATATCATATAATCAGGAAACTTGGTTGGGGACATTTTTCAACAGTCTGGTTGTGTTGGGACCTTATGTAATAGACACTTTTACCTTGCATTCAACTCAGACTGGAATAAATTTTGACCATTTCTTGTGTTTTTTTCATTTTTAGATTGAAAAGATTCGTGGCTCTAAAGGTGGTCAAGAGTGCTGCTCATTACACTGAAACTGCTATAGATGAAATTAAATTATTGAAAAATGTAATTACATAAATGATTTGAAAAGCTTTCAGTTTGCTCTTGGTCTCTATCTTGACCTTATATTAATCTTATTGATTTAATGACTTTTTTAAGGTTCGAGAAAGTGATCATGATGATCCGAATCGAAGTAAAGTTGTTCAGTTGTTGGATGATTTTGAAATCACTGGTGTTAACGGAACACGTATGTATTCCATATTCACCTGACATTATTTTTTGCAGCGATAATTATCTTTTCTAATTCAAATTGTATTTTGTATTTTATCAAATCTCAGATATTTGCATGGTTTTCGAGGTTCTTGGATCAAATCTTCTCAAACTCATCATCCGTTCAAATTATGAAGGTATTCCGATTCAAAATGTGAAATCTATTATCAAACAGGTATATATTTATGATAAGAATAAAACATTAGTATACTGATATCTATTTTTAATAATATTTATTTATGATTCCAGGTACTTCAAGGATTGGACTATCTTCATACCAAATGTCAAATTATTCACACTGACATTAAACCAGAAAATATATTACTCGAAGTTGATGAAAATTATATTCGTAGATTAGCGATTGAAGCAACACACTTATCTAAACTAGGAATGAAACTACCCGGTTCTTTGGTTTGCACAGCTCCACAAGATTTATTTGATACATCAGATAGCACATTAGTGACCAATGAGACTAGCAATAAGACATCAGTGAATAAAAACAAAACAATCATGAGAAGAGCTATCTCTTGTCCTGGTAAATTTGAATCAACTTATCGAAATTTTTCATAGCTTAATAATTACTTTGCCTTTTTACTTCAGATAATCAAAAATCAGTGCCTGATCCTGCTAATGAAATTTGTGATATAAGAGTGAAAATTGCTGATCTTGGAAATGCTTGTTGGATAGTAAGCAATCAATTATTACAGATTATTCATAATAGAGCAAATTTGGTTTCCAGATTCTAAATCAAAATTATTTCTCCTTTTATTAGGACCACCATTTCACTGAAGATATTCAAACTCGTCAATATCGATGCTTAGAAGTAATTCTTGGTGCTGGTTATTCAGCTCCAGCTGATATATGGAGTACAGCATGTATGGCATTTGAATTGGCTACTGGGGATTATTTATTTGAACCTCATTCAGGACAAGACTACACCAGAGATGAGGATCATTTAGCTCATATAATTGAACTTTTAGGTGACATACCACGGCACATTGCTTTAAGTGGAACGTACTCTAAAGATTATTTCAACAGAAGAGGTAAATAAATACACTAACGTTGTACAATTATTCAGATTTTAGATTTTCATGATCAGATGGTTGTTTATTAATTATTTTTGTCTTACTTTTCACAGGTCAACTTCGAAGTATAATATCTTTCAAGCCATGGGGTCTTTTTGAAGTTTTAACTCAGAAATATAAATGGGAACCACAAATCGCCCAAGAATTTACTGATTTCTTAAAACCTATGCTCGAATATGATCCAGAAAAACGTGCTAAAGCATCAGATTGTCTCGCTCATCCGTTTTTAGCTGACTGTGATACAGATTTATCTTAACGAAAAAGAATTAAAAGATTAACTAAAAGGGAAAATTTTATACTCAGCCTAAAGTTGTGTTTCAAAAAAGTTCGTTGTAAATGTAAATGAATCATGATTAGGGTGGAAGAAAGAGATTTGCTCTGAAGAAAATATTTGAAGATGTGCGCATTTTTAGCCTTGAGTGTTTTAACTTGTTCGATAGACGAGTATAAATAGAGTGAGTTTTCCAATTGTGGCCATCAGTTCAATCTTTGAGTTAAATCTAGTGATATACTTTCATTTCTCGTGAAAATTTTACTTTGTTTCTTCAAAACTCACACACACACCAACACACCTCATCAACATGAAATTCATCATTGTAAACTTTTTGCTATGTGCAACTTTAATTTCAATGGTCAGCGCCTTTAAAAAAGTCAAAGTTGTTGAAGTCGAGAGTAGCAAGGTCCATGGTTCAGCGATGACAAAACAAAAGGCTGAAGCTGCTGGTTTAATTGCTGGAACAGCTACTGGATTATTTAAAAAACGCAAATCACCCAAAGTTATCTACAAGCCTGTTAAACTTGAGGAGCCCAAAATGAAAATCAAATATATAAGTGTTGTCAAACCAGTGTTGGTACGCGTTGAACCAGAAAAACCTCAAGAGACTTTATATAAAAGGATTGTAACTAAAGAAGAAAAGAAGCCAACTGGACTCAAATACCTTCCTGGTTTTATTAAAGGATTCTTCAAGGGAAAGGTTATAGGAAAAGCAATCTCTAAAACATTGTAATTTACTAAATATTTCAAATAAATTATTAAATATATGATCTACATAATTTTATGTGTCTTCAATTCAGTTATTACGGGAAAAAATTATTTAGAAGTTTAAACTTTACGCCTTTTGCTTGAGACATTGTAACCATTAGTTACAATGTACTCTATGTAAAACTGTGAGGTTGATAACATTGATCTCAGGTTTTAATATTTAACTCGTTTAGATATAAATTTTGTACACCTCAGCATTGATGATGATTTCGAAAATAATATTTATTTTAATTTTTTCATTGTATTTTTGCAATGAATTCACATCTGTACTTGGAGCCGATCGTTCTAAGTTCAAAACATGTAGTGAAAGTGGTTTCTGCAGGTAAGATTTAAACTTTTCTGCTCTTTATATCTCTTGTGTTTCTTCATTGTTCTAATTTCATGTTGTCTTCATGCAGACGGAATCGAAATATCAAAGGGAAACCAAATAAATGGGTGTTAGATCCCACAACAGTGCAACCTAGTGATAATAAACTTGGCTTTGAAGCTATTCTCAAAAATGAGCTTAATGGAGTTCTTCTCCGTCTTACCATCAATGCTGCTTTGAAAGACAGTTCAGTTTTACATGTCAGAATTAATGAGGCCCATCCAGGTAGAGAAAGATACGATCCAAGAGAAGCATTAGTTGAAAATATAGAATATGGTAAAATCAATATTGGTAAACCCACCGATAAAGATGTCACTCTTACCTTTGGACCCGCTGACGCTTCACATAAAGTATTGATTGCTTTCAATCCATTCAGAGTCGACATATTCACTGGTGATAGATTAGTTGTCAGTGCTAATGCTCGAGAATTCCTGAAATTTGAACATTTTAGGCAAAAGAGAGAAAACGTACCTGAGGTGAGTAACAAATTTTTATTCGAGTTTCAGCACCTATGAAAATATGATTGATTTTCTGTTTACTCTTATTATTCTCTATCTTATTTGAATATCAGGAAGAAAAATTAGAAGAAGAAGAAGATGGTGGCTGGGAAGAAACCTTTAAATCCTTTGTTGACAGTAAACCTTATGGACCAATGTCAGTTGGAATGGACTTTTCTTTTGTTGGTTTTGATCATGTTTATGGTTTGCCTGAGCACGCTGATTCATTTGCCTTGAAAAATACTCGAGATGAAACAGATCCTTACCGTTTCTATAATGTGGATATTTTTGAATACGAATTGAACAATGGAATGGCTTTATATGGGGCTATACCTTTTATGGCTGCTCATTCCGAAGATTATTCAGTCGGTCTACTCTGGTTGAATCCTTCTGAAACTTGGGTCGACATAGAATCATCAAATCAAGGAGTTCGCGGTTTATTCTCACATTTAGTTTCTGGAGAAGTTAAAAGTCGATTAACACATTGGTTCTCTGAGACTGGGCTAATTGATGTTTGGATAATGTTAGGACCAACTCCGCTCGATGTGATGAGACAAAATGGTAAAATAACTGGTACTCTTGAATTGCCTCCTTATTATGCTATTGGTTATCATCAATGTCGCTGGAATTATTTCAGTCAAGAAGAGTTGAATGAAGTGGAGCGTCAATTTGATGCCAATGACCTTCCATTGGATGTTCTCTGGCTAGATATTGAATATACTGAAGGTAAATTTTACTAATTTTATGATTTCTTCACGCTTCAGCTAACTTATTGATTTTTCTCTTTAGGACGATCCAAAAAATACTTTACATGGGATCCAGTTATGTTCTCTGATCCTAAAGGACTCATTACAAATCTAACCAGCAAAGGTCGACAATTAGTTGCCATCATTGATCCACATATCAAAAAAGACACAAATTATCCAATCTACAATGAGGCTGTTCAAAATAATTATTTCATAAAAAATAAAGATGGCAATGATTACGAAGGGTATTGTTGGCCTGGACCTGCTTTGTATCCTGATTTCTTGAATCCTGCTGTTCGAGAATGGTGGTCAAGTAAATTCAATCCAGAATTTTTCCCTGGATTCACAGATGGTAATGTTGGCATTTGGAATGATATGAATGAGCCAAGTGTCTTTAATGGACCTGAAATGTCTGCTCCTCGGGATGTTGTTCATATGAACGGTATTGAGCATCGTGATATACACAATATGTAAGTTATTATGAGGAAAATTCTTTCTGTCCAGAGAGTGAACTTTATTTTAAAATAAGTAATATTTTCATATTAATTAATGTTCCATTTTCAGGTACGGTTTCTTGGTAACTAAAGCAACATACAAGGGATTAACTACTTTTGCTCCAAATCGTAGACCATTCATTTTGACTCGTTCATTCTTTGCGGGCTCTCAGCGTTATGCTATGGTTTGGACTGGTGATAATATGGCTAAATGGGAACATTTGAAAATGTCTATTCCAATGATTCTTTCTCTTGGAATCTCTGGAATGGCATTTTCTGGTGCAGATGCTCCTGGTTTCTTTTATGATCCAGAATCAACTGAATTGGTTGTTCGTTGGTATCAAGCTGCTGCATTCCAACCATTCTATCGAGCTCACGCTCATCTCGATACTAAGCACAGAGAGCCTTATCTTTATGACGAAGAAACAAAAAACCTTATAAGATTAGCTACAAGAGCTCGATACTCTTATTTACCTTACATTTATACACTTTTCTATGAAGCATCCATCAATGGTACTCCAATTATGCGTCCAGTGTGGCTTCATTTTCCTAAAGATGCTAAAGCTTTTAATTTGGAAGAAGAGTATCTTTTAGGTAATTCAATTAATCTATTCCTTATTTATGTTTGACTTTATTATAATCGCTGTCCTTTTTTAATTTTTCTCGATATTTAGGTGACTCTCTTCTAATAAGACCAGTTCTAGACAAAGGAGTGTCTTCAGTTAATGTCTACTTCCCTGGTGAAGGCGAATCCTGGTTAGGAATTGAAGATGACACTATTTATCAAGGTGGATCAAGTGCTGATATCCATGTGACACTTGATTCGATTCCAAGATTCCAGAGAGCTGGAAGTATAATTGTCAAACGAGAAAGAATGCGAAGAAGTTGTTCCTTGTCATTAGGTGATCCAATGACTTTGCAAATCTTTTTAGATGCCGAGGAGAGACATGCTGAGGGAAAGCTTTATCTCGACGACGGGTCTTCTTATAATTATAAATCGGGTGGATACATTTTAGCAGAAGTAATTTACGATAAAATGGTTCTAACTTATAGGTTTGTATTGTTTATATTTCACCATTTCAGATAATCCTTCATCCTCACTATTTATATCACTCATATTTTTTTCTAACCTTTTTTTCAGAATAATTCATGGTAGCTTCCCCACTAACAGCTGGTTGGAACGAGTGGTAATTCATAGGATTTCAAATAAACCAAGTAAAATTGAAGCAACTAATGGGGCCAACTTAAGTTTTAAATACAATCCTACAAGCCAAACACTTATAATACGAAAACCAAGTTTAATGATGGGTGATTCATGGCAAATCAAACTCAGCTAAGTGATAGCTGGTTATTATTAAGACATACAATCATGTGGAAGGAAGAGATGAGCACATTTCAAGTCATATCTTTTGCGCTTAAGGAAAAAATCATGGTACAAGAGATTACGAACTTTACAACAATCTCTAACTCATTCCGATTGTACTTTACTTTTATTTGATAGTAAAGTTACTATATTTATTAATTCTATTGGAAAATTAATTTTTGCGGCAAAACTCTAAGCCTAATCTTTCATTAAAACAACCACAAAGCTACAGATGATAGTTTCATTTTCAACAATAATTGCATGGGTCTGATCAACTAAAAAGCAAAAGGTTAAATACAAATAACGGTAGACCTGTTATGCTCAATTGATTACTGAGTACAATGCCTTAGTAGTTAGTCTTTATCTTTCGAATGACTTTTACTGAAATTCATTGAAGTAAATTATGGAACCGCAATTTAATTAAATTGCCTTTTTTCCATCATTTAACCTTTTCCTACTTTGACAATAACTGTTAAAGGTGAAAATAGAGTTTCAAAAATTGTTTTTCCTATTTTTTGTCTTATTGGTTACAATTTTCATAGTGAAAACATTCACAAAAAAAACATTGTATTGTTTCATGGATAAACGCAAAACATAAAGTTCATTTTTTCATGGGGATTCTTATTAATGATGGTAACTTTGAACCTTTGATGATAATCCCAATAATAATGATAATAGTTATAAGAGTAAAAAGTCAAAAATGTCTTCACAATTGATTGGTAGTTTGAACAAAAGAGCAAAACATATTTATCCAGAAAAAAATCCAAATTGATTGATCACGCAAGTTTTTCAGTGAAAATATGAAGCAAAGGATGATGATGGTGCTAAGGTGAAGGTAAAGGTAAAGCAGTTAAGGGATGAAAAAATAAAAATGAAAGTATAAGAAACATTAGAATAGAAAGACTGAAAAGAAGTGAAATAAAGAAAAAAATAAAGATGTTGTTTAAATAGTTCTTAGCACATTAATATTTTTCTCTTCTTTCTTTTCTCTCTAATATCCATCATCATCATCATCGTCTGAACATTCATCTTACCATTTTTATGCTTTCACCAAGTTACCGAGACAATTGATTATTGGATAGGATAAAAAAAAGTGAAGCAAATTTGGCGAAATAGAAGAGTTCATGTAAAATGATGAAGACGATAATGATGATGATTGAGAATAAAGATGAGAAGATGATGATTTATTTACAATCGTGAAGAGGATATAAAAAAGCAAGGTAAATATGCTAGTTTAGCCTCAAGTTGAAAAAGGGAAACAACGTTTTGTTGCTTTTTTTGCTTTCCTTTATTACAGGTACAGTATGTAAATACAAAGATGGTTAAAGATGGAGCGCAACAAAAAGTACAAAATGTTGAGGTTACAATGTGAGTGCTTTTTTAAGGCTGTTGAAGGGAAAGTGCGATCGATATGTTAAGCCAAATTATCATTATGTTTGCATTGTTAACTACGTTCACTGACCGCCATAAGTACACTCTGGCCACGAGACGCCCTGATGAAGCTTTAACCTCTATCTTTAAATCATATTTTCTTGGTTTTATGTATTTCGTTCAGAATTTTTTCTCCTTAATATTTTATACTTTTTTTTACTCTCTAGTAATTTATCAATGAAGAGATAACCAGTTTTCATGTTGATGTCAAAGTATATTGTATATATTTTTGTGCTTATCCATGATGTCTATTATTATATTTAACGTTTATTTTCATTCCTAATCGTAATTATAACCTTTATCTTGAAATGTTCATTTTTTGTGAAATGCTTCAAACATTTCAACCTTTTTTCCCTTTCTCTGTACTTTTCATCCTGTTTAGGTTGAAAATAAAAACTCAATGTTGCTGGTTTATTCAATGGACTTTTACTGAATAGTCAAAGTAAGTTATTATCTGATCATAACGTTTGATTAAATTGGTCTAAAGTGCTTTATTCACAATGAGACACTTTCATTTGAAATTATTTTGACCTGGAAATACTATTTTACACGATTGATTGAAATTATTGAAAGTAGACAAAAAATTGTTACAATTTGATGGTTTAATGGGATGACAATAAATTAAATTGATGAGTTTACAAATTCGGAGGATTTGGTTCGTCCATTTCAACTGTGATTTACAAATAAAACGTTTACAGTTTTTAAATTTGTGCACAGATTGAGTGATTATTAAAAATGATATAATGCATAGTTGAGTTGCTTGAGAGCAAAATTAATTGGGTTGAGATTGGAATGAGTTTACACATTTTATAATACAAAGGCTTAGTTGGTTTCAAATCTGCTCTCGAGATCATCCTGATGATTGGTGATAATGGCAATGATGACGATCATTTGATCAATGAAGATGAACGGTTAGTGTTTTGTGAATGTTATTTCAAATCATTTTACGAGTCTAATCTTAAATTAGTATAGAATTAGAACTCAAATATTGATTTTGTTTGGTTATCCTATTGGTTCTAGGTGATCAAGATTGAACTTGGATGGTTATTTAAAAGATGATAATGATGGTGATGGTGATGAAGAAGTTATGAAGAGAACTGGTAATTTCTTAATTATGGCTTGTAGATGGAAACAAAATGATCAGTTGATTGGATTTTGTGTTGTTGCTGTTGATTGGATTGACGTAGCCTTGAGGCAACAATTAGTCCGATAATCAATAGAAGGGTTTGAATGATAATCATTATTCCCATGAAAGTTGCCAATGTGGTTGGTTCAAGAAGATTGAAACCAGTTTTAACCTTCATTGGATCAACAACATCATCATCATCGTTATCATCATTGCCATTATTGTAATTATGATTATTATTGAACTGTTTGTCTTCATCAATTGAAGCAGCAGCAGCAGCAGCGATTGAAGTTTCATCTTCAATACTATTGCTATTATTATCAGTTTGTTCATAATTAGAGGCAAGATTATGATGATTAGACAAATCATAATCTGAATCTGTTTCCAAAGCTAATGGACGAGTCTCTTTATCATATGAAGCATCATTAGAGGACACCATTGACACCATATTGGATTCATTTGAATTAGTTTTTCGCAAAGAATTGGATGTTGCTCTGGTTATTAGGACTCCATTAATGTAATGCGCTTTTCCAATGGAATCAGTCGATCCATCCAGACCAAATTGTGCCGCTCTAATGGACAGAGTTTTACTCATTCGTTTGGTATCAATTGGTTGACCAGTTGGTTGATTTCGTGCTTTAATGGATCGACGTTTACGACCATAAGAAACAACCACATCATAATCATCCTCAGATCGACCAGAAGCAACTTGACATTGAACCTAAATAAAATAAGAAGAGAATCAAATTGTAATTAGATTCTGTGTTGATTAAAATGTGGTGAAATTAAATTAAATTAACTTACGGGTCTACAGCGTTCCAAGCAAGTTTCAACATCAGCTTCCAACTCTAAAGTGCTACTTCCAGTGAATGAAAAGGCTTCAAAAAAGCTTTCCAGAGATTTACTTTTCTTGTCGATTGTTCGCACTTCTCGCATCAGTTTAGATTCAACTGGACATCTGAAACATGAAAAGGCCATAAATAAAGATATAAATTAAAATTGTAATCAATTAATCTAGAGTTCAAACAATGATCACTATTTGATTGTTGATTATGTTTAACCTTAAGAGTATAAAAGACTGAGCTCTTCTGCGTTTTTGCTTAAGTAACATTGCATGACCTGAGTTAGTTAAGTCTTACGGAAGTTAACAAGTTAAAGATTTAATGTTGAGCAGAAGCAAAAAACAAATAATGTTTAGCCTATTACCTCAGCGTGATTATGGGATCATCAATCGTCTCAAGATGATCATGGAGATGATCAGAGATGTAATGAAAAAAATGAAGATGAATAAGTGAAACAGAAAATGGATTCACAGATTGACCTGTAAACCCATCAAAATGCTATCCAATGACACTGCTTAAATTGTGATTATCATTTAATTATTGAAATGTTTTCAAGGTAAGCTTCTTGAAAAGATCGATGACTTTGTTCTCTTACAACAGATTTAACCAGAAAACAGGTAAATGTTGAGATAAAAAGACTGGACGAAATGGAAAGATGATGATCAAGATAAATCTGTTGACAGATCAACAATTTAATAACCAACTGAATAGCCACAAATCAACTAAATTATTTACTTTTATTTATAAAATAAATTACCAAAAGATTATATAAATACAAGATTCAAACTGAATGTTGAACTATTTTTCAAGAGCACAAAAATTGTCAAAAATTATTAGCAAAATGGTAAACCCAGAAAAGGCTTTTTCTTGCAGCTTTTTAATTCCTTAATCACAATCAACTAATTGACATAAACATATAAACCTAAGCTTCTGACAATTTGATGTGCAAGGTTAAACCATCAAAAATGGGAAACAGTTAATAATGAAATCAGTGAAGAGTTGGAAATAACAAGTTGAATCATTGTTATACCTTTAATAGCAATTTTAACGCAATTCAAACATTTACTTGTAAATTCTTGTTTTCTGATTGAAACAACAACCAGTCAAGTTTAACAATCAGTCAATCATTTGCTCAATAATTTAATAATCTTACCCTGTTTGATCGATTAATGTTAAATTGTTGTTTCCAGTTTCATCCTTGGCTACCAAGTTACGCACAAAAATGCCATAAGTATCTGTGAAAAGGTGTCATTTGAGGAAACATTTTTTAGATAAATCGTCATTTTTCTTTGTCTAATTAACTTACCTTCATCGCTCATTCGAACCTGAACTCGTAATAATTCACCAAGATTAACAACCTCTTTATCTGTTCCCTTTAAGTCCATAATGTGAAATGATAAATCAGGCAATGAAGGTGAATTTTGTTCCCTATCAGTTAAACCCAATTGACTGGATAAAAGACAAGAAGATATCAATTAGTGTTTAATTTATTGTATTGTTAACTGTTTAATGGTCATTATACATTATCAGATTTCATTTTAATCATTCCATTAACCATTTGTTTTGGTTTCCGCTCTTCTTCAATCATTTGTTGACCATCAATCACAATTTTTCAATGTAAATAAATGATTCAATCATGCTAATGATGACCATTTTACTAATGTTTATCATTAACATTTAAATATTGGTAAAAATAAAAAATGTAAATCATTTTGTATGCAATCAAAGGTAAAATTAAACCTTCATTTTAATGGTCTAAGAGCATTTTTGTAACAAGAAATAAGGTAAGATAATTAAGCTTCAAGAAATGTTTCAAAAAATTGCAATATTATAATGGTTGATATAATAGTGATAATCTTAGCAATACAAATAGTAATCATAATAATAATAAAAGAAGATGAAAAGTAAAAGTTGAATACTTTTCTGTTAATGTATATAAATACATGAAAAGGGAGAAAGGTTAAGGGTAAAGGTAAAGAGGATGATTGGGATGATAGACAGAGAGAGAGGCAGAAATACATAAGATTATGAAAAAAAGGTAGAAAAGGTGAAAAAATTGAAAATAATAAAATAAAGAGATGAGTTTGTTTGTCTCACCAAAGGTAAAAGATTCTGAATCTGTTGTTATCTTGCGTGCAAAATTGTTTAGCACTGTAAAGCATTTTGTTGTGCGTGTGTCTGTTGAGATGGAGACTGTGGCCTGAGGTCAATTATCATTTATCGTCAAAACATCGGTAACGGGCTTGAGGTAATATAATAATATAAAGATTGTTTATAAATGGAAGAATCAAGAAGTAAGAAGAAGAAGAAGAAGTTATAAAGAAGAAACAATTTTAATCCCGAGCAACGAGTATAAATCCCCTTTTGCCTGAGACCATTTTCTTTACCTCCAAGGAAATTTTCTTGTTATTCACTGATGGAACCGGCCTTAGAAAGAAGATGAAGAAGAAGAAGAAGAAAAGCTTGAATTACTAAGACTGTCTTAATAATGAGTGAGCCCGAAATCGACTTGACTTAACCTTTTATTTTACACTCTACAACATTACGTATTTATCTTATTACTTATTCTGTTTCTATCATCATCATAATCATCATCATCATCACCAGCTCTTTTTCATCTTCTCTGTGAGTTTTCCCACAAGTTTGAAAAGAAGAGATTAAAGGTAAGACAAACTCAAGGGATTTATACGTTTTTTTGTCTGGTGACGATGACTTTAAATCATGTCACTAGAGTTTCCATTGTTTAGGCCAAATTTTCAATTCTTAACCATTATCATTATCCTTATTGTTTTGGGTTATTTACATAATACCTAATGGTACAATTGTTTTACCCTGAGAACAAGGTAAATCATCAAGGTTGATTGTTTACTTGATTGTAAACATAATTGTAAACACCGCTGTAAACCTCATTGTGTGTAAACCTCATTGGAAAAAATGTTAACAATCATGTCTAAACAGCATTTTGAGAAACTTGGACCTTTTATTGCTTTTTTATAATGAGAATGGCTCATTCTAACCTGATTAGCATACAGTTAAATGATTTACAATTATAATTTAACCAACAATTTGTTTTTTGTAATATTCAAGAGCGCAAATTGTAAACAAAAAGATCAACTTGTTCAACATAATGTTTAAATCTTGTCTTTAAACCAGATTTGATGTTTCTATTTTTTAGGCTTTCATTTAAACAATGGTTAAGATTGATTAAGATTGAATGAAATTCATCTAATTGTTTAAATTGCGGATAATGTTGATGACCATGTAATGGTTATAGACTGATTTAACTGGTTAATTATACTCACTCAATGTTCAACACTGTTTCTCCGGTTATATTGCCAACATCATATGAACAGCGAACTCCAATTGCTTTATCAACTGACGTTATGACATGATCGTTACTTTGAATGATCAGTGTGTTGATAAAGGTTCCTTCAGACTTTGGGTGACAATTGGAAGATATTGAAAAGAAAAGGAGAAAAAGAGAGAAAAAGATTAATGATTAATTAGCATGATTGGTGTATTATTGTCATTATACTGAATCAAGTCTTTTGCTTTTCATGTGAAACCCACAAAGTTAAGGGAAAATGTGATAATTAGAATGAAAAAGATTGATATTTATCGCTATTTGTTAACATTATTATGAGAGTCTCAATGATGATGTCCATGTAAAGTTATACAAATTGACAAGTCAACAATTTAACATGAAAGATGAAAGGTGAGTGGGAAAAATTGCGTGCGACCATTTCTGTGATATAATAATGTTATTCATGATGGGATACGATCATGTCAAAAGTTAAATTGCAATTGAAATTATCATTCTCATTGATCTTGACAGTTTGTGGGAAAGCAACAAAGTAAAACCTTGTTAAGTTAATTAATATGAATCTAAAATCTTTCAAGTGCTTTATGTTGAGATTTTGTTCATCAACAAAATAACTCGCTTTGGGTCAAACAAGTTCAAAGTTAAAGGCCTTCTGTCAGTCGAAGGTCAACTTGGTTACTCTTTTTGCCCAGTCAATAATCAAGGTCAGTTTTCAACTGGAAAACAGTTCAAGGGTTTTCTTTGTGTCGACCTTTAAACCATGGTTTGAAGGGTCAAGGTTTTTCTTTGTAAGTTCACTAAAGGTTAAGGATACGGTTGAAAGGTCAGTTTCTAGGTTATAAGTTTAGGTCAAGGTTGTGAGGCAAGGTCAGGGTTATACCTTCAAGAAAAAGGTAAAAAAACTTTTCATGGTCAAGGTTGGTTAAAGGCTTTGTTACCTCTTCTTGAGTAGCACAATCATCTCCTTTCAATTGTATGGGTAAAGTGAAGTCCATTGAATTGGCAATATCAACAAAACATGAAGTAGGCCTTTCCCGAGCATATAATTTACCCTGAAATAATGTGCTTGATGTTACTTTTGCTTTCATCATATCGGGTCCACAATCAATGGAGACTGTAAAATATAAGTACAATTAGTATAATTATATCATCAAAATATATTGACTGTATCAATGGTTTGGGTTAAATTGAACCAGACAAGCTGTTAACACCATATTGAAGGTTCAATGTTTATGAGTTAATATTTCATTGTGTAAGTTGGGTTGGAGTAAATTGTTCATCAAATTAACTATTCAACAGTTTTTAGCGTTGATTTCAAATTTCAACATTTTGACAGCTTGTTTGGTTTAATGGAAAGTCTAAGGAGTTTTGGGTTGATTGATTTACCATCGAAACAGGTTGATATCTCATAGACTATTGATGAAGGTGTTTTTAAAAGAGCAGCTCCTGGGACTGATCTTCTGGTGTGATGGCTTAATGAACAGGTTAATGAGACTGAATCAAAGGTGAAGGAGCGACAGATGAAATTTTGACTGTTTAGACATTCATCTTGACAGGTTGTTGCATTGGCTGTGATTATTGTTTTATCGGAAAGGATCAGGCGATTTTGTTTAGAGGATTTCCAACTGCAAAAGGCTCTTGGACCTGAAAAGGATGAAAATAATGAATAAGTTGATGCTATTTTTAATTCAATGTTTTTCCATGGATTTTGTTTGATTCCATTGAGCTTACCTTGAGCACAATTGTTTTCCAGATAATCAACTAAGGATGTTGATGGCTCAAGACGAACCTGTTTATTTAAAGATGAAAATCTGTTGTATGGACTTAGTCGACATTCATTCATCTGGTAATTGAATTCAGCAGATAAACAGGTGAATGGTTGGTAATCTAAACATGCCAATTCACATTGTTCACGAGTTGATGCCTCAACCACTATCTTTTCAAAAGGTAATCCTATTAACTCTTTACCCCGGATCCGTTCAAAAGACCAATCCTTATTTGAACAAGACACGGAGTGAGGTGTGATTGTTGAATTTGTTAATGGCGTTGAGGCTGCAGATGATCGAATCAAGCAAACTTTCTCAAAATAATTGAAGAATGGACTTGATCTTAGATTACGGTCTATTCCTGAAGTCCTCAAATTTTGACCATTGAATGAACAAGTTCCTTTCTTGTAATCAATATTGACTGATAGACATGAAGAGTCTTGGAGACACAATTTCAAACAAACGCCAGGATCGAGATCTCGAGTTATTTTGTAAGCATTGGCAGCCAACATGGAACCAGACAATAATTCAAAATGAACTTCAGATGAATTGCAAGCTAAAGGTTAAAGAAAAATTAAATTATTTGATTAAAATAATGATTAATTTACTGGAAATAATATTGTTAGATTGAAAAGGTTGCAAATGAAAACAATTTAAGTTTGTTTTCTCCACTTAACTGGCTAATTTTAACAGTAATTAAACTTTTATTGAAAGTGATAGTAATGAAAGTAAATGTAATCAGTGTGTGAGTTAAATGAATAAGTCTCTACGTGAAGTCCAATGATTCTCATGCATTGAAAATGTACTTACAAAGGGAATAATACATTGCCCTTTTTTAATATCATTAATCATTGTTATTCATTATTTATATCATGATCCATAATACATTCTAACCACTGAACTTTGGTTTCAACACGGTTTCAGCTCATGTTGACAGGATTACAGAAATTGACCTGAGGTCATCGAACGATAACATTGAGACAAGAAGGTAAGAGTTAACAAAAGTAGACAGTTAAAGTGAAATGGAAACAATTTTCAGAGTTTAACATCTGAATATAAATGTAACTTTCAAATCAACTTTAATTGCTCAACAATTAAACTAAATTGTGAAGCAAGAAAACAAAAAGTGACCAAAATACATAAGCACTGAAATGAGGACTAAAAGAGCGGAATAAGCAAAAGATTTATACAAAAGGATCAACACATCAAGTTAGTATTCCCAATGAATGGATAATTTGTTAAATAATTTGTTTCTGTTGATTTGCAACAATAAACCAAGTGAGTTTGGCCATTAGTCAGTTGAATTGATTAAGCTCAATAAAAGGCGGAATGATAATCTTTCAGGTTGAAGGATGAGAAGCAATAAAACCAGGGAAATCTCAAGATATCACAGTGCTATTACAGGGTCACCAAGAGGACGGAAGTCTCCGGTTATTTGGGTAAAATGATGATTATGGGGAAGACGAGGATGGCAATAATGGAACCATAAAAGTATCCGAAAAAGGTTTTTGGTCATTGGTGTAAACAGGTGAACACTGGTTAGGAAATGGTAAAATGTTGATTTGTTAGGAATAACTGTTATCATTTACACTATTATTACTATCATTATCAACTAATTTAATGATGTAAACCTGTTATACGGAAGTAAAAGGCACAATATTGTTTAGACCTAATTGTAATTAAAATGTAACTGAAAGACAAAAGATTCAAGCCTTGAAACAAACTGGTGAGAGTGAGTCTCATTTATGTGCAAATATATATTTGTTGGGATGCCTTTTGGACCATCAAAATGATGAAAACAAAAAATGCGTTGGCTTTCAGTTTTGACACTTCCTCTTATTACCATTAACATTCATTGTAAAATAATCATCTTAATTATAGTGATAAACATTGTGAAAGAAGAGACTCAACTGAACTCTTACCCTTAATTTTAATGAGTATGTAAAATACATATTCATTTGTGTTTCTGGTTAATTTTCATTATCAGCTTTTGTCAGGGTTCCATGAGTAAACCTTTTTTTTAATACTTTGTACTCAAATTTTATGCTAAATTACCATGGCTTTGTCTCACAGATGTAATTAAAATTTACAACAATAACTGTTAACTTGATAGTTAACTTGTAACGGTCACCAGAAAGAGGAAGGAATATAACAGTTTAACAACAAGTGAAACTGTTATATTGATAATTTGATGGTCAATCTTTATCTCATGTCAACTGTTAGGTTATAATTTTCTTACCCAAAATTTGAATATCTCGCTTTGAGTTGACATCGGTTTGGTGTTTTAAGGAACGAATGTGTTTCAATTTGGTTGATTCATTGAGTGATGAATCTGCCTTTAAATTGTTTACAATGAAAAATGTAGTTTCCATCGTTATGTCTGTCAATATGTCACCCGATTGAGCTTCCTTGTCAGATTTGGCTGCATTATCAGATGAACCATAAACCCTGTCAACGTCAGAAAAATCTGACCGACGACGCCTTCTTTTACCAAAAGATTCATCTGATCGTCCAGTTCGTCCGACTATCTCATAAGCGTTTGCATTTGATGTTGTCTCGTTCAATTTATCGCCACCGCAGCTGACCTGAAGATATTAAATTGATGGGCAAAAGCGCATAAACACAAAAAGTTAAAAGTGAAGACAAATTAAAGATTGATTAAGTAAACGAGGAAGAAGCAATTCAATCATTTGATTACAATTGATGGTAAACCAAGTTGAAAAAAAGTCTCATCATACAATAATCTAATTTGAATGAAAAACGATTAACAAGATTCATCAAAATGATTGATTCCATGTTATTTGAGATTCAGCTTTTCCTTGTTTTTTTCATACTAACCGGTGGACAAGTATCCAAACAAAATGAAACGGTCATTTGAAATTTAACTGAAGGGTCAGTGGCAAAGCGAAAGGCTTGGAATGGTGCAACCAGCGCCTTGGAAGTGCGATCAGCTTTGGCTAATCCAGGAAATACATTTGGCTCAACAGGACAGCTAAAGTGATGAAAAAAAAGAAGATGTAACATGTGAAGATGCAAATAAAAGCGGAAATCATCATTGATGAGGAGGATTCCAGATTCAAGGTGGAAACGCAAAGTTATAATAAGAAGCAGTAAAAAAAACTGAAATACTCATCAACATCAATACTGACTGCAAGTCCGGAAAGGTTTCAAAATCTCACGGACTTTTGTTCAATAAGTTCATGATAATCATCATCAGGTTTAAACAATCAATTAATTTGTTATAAATGCTAATCACTGGGCGATAGAAAAAAAATTAACCTCAAACTAATGGACTTGAATTGTTTCCAAACAACTGCTGACCGCAATTTACAACAAAAATTTATTTTCTCAAGTTTCGATTTTAAAATATGCAAATTTAGTGCCATTTGAGACAATTAATTGTTGACTATCAATGATTTAAATTCACTTTGCAAACATAATTATAACATTAAATTTGTTACACTCACCCTTGATCATCAATTAATACAACAGATTCACTTCCTTCACCGCTTTTGGCTACAAGTTCACTGCCAAAAATACCGAAGACACCTTTGAAAGAAATACAAAATTAATGTTTAATTACTGATTATTGAGGGCCATTAAGATGCTGTGAAATAACAAGGTTAGTTAACGATCAACAGGTTCACGGTCATTAAATTTTAAATGATAGGTTATTACACTTTAGCAATCAGACAGTTTATTAAAAATCAACTGTTTAACCGTCGCTTTTATTGTTCATTAAATAACAATTTCAATCAGTTCTGGTCTCTTTTCATTGGTTTCATTTTCATTCTGTTTTTTCATTTTCATATTTTCAATGAAACATTAAGTCAAGCTTGACATATTGTTTAACCTTTAATTGTCTAGTTGATTTACTAATCATACAATTAGCCAGTCATTTTGATTGATAATTCAAATTTGTTCTCGTTTAATTGAATTGTAAATCTTCAAGGTTTGCATCTGTGATTGATTTGTTTTAAACTTGCAATTAGTTAATCCATCAAAATTATTTTACTAACAATTCCTTTTGATTGATATATTAATACATTAATCTGTACTTAATCATGATCATGAAATTGCTATTCAAGAAACAATAACATGTCTAAATGGTTATCCAAGATTCAATGAATAATGCCGATGATGATGATGAAGATAAAAAGCTTTCTTTAACTCTTTTAATTGTATCAATCTTCATAATCTGTTGTTTATGAATGAAAATTAGCATAAAATAATTAAAGCTTAATTGTTGAGCCACTTCCGTCCAACTAATACATTTTTAGTCAATTAACCTTAACGGTCATTACCTTTGTAAGAAGCACAATTTATGGTGAAATTTTGAAACAAGTTCAAGTTCAATTATGAGTTAATCAAATAAAAAACAAAAAGCGTTTCAGTAAATTTCATTTAAAAGTATCATCAATCTGATTGAACTTGAACAATTTTTACTTTCTTTTTATTCCGGTTTTTAAGGAAAGAGACAGAGAAAGTAGGAAGCTTCATGATCATCATTATCATCATCATTAATTGTGATCGTCATTAACATCAAGTAGCGTTTTGTTCAACCAACTGTAGAGTCAAGAGTAGTGACACACGCAATGAAAATGGACTAACAAGCTTTACTTTGAGCTTTTGTTTTATATCAAAGTGAAAATATAAGAAAAAAAAACTTCTTCCTTGTAAAATCTAATTAATTACAACAATTAAGGTTAAAATGGGAAGAGGAAAATGATTATCATCATCATTTAAAGGTTATCTGACCATTGACAGTGTTGATCATTGTTTACTGTTTCCTCAATTGTGATCATATTGTTTTAAATTAAATTAAGCTGCTTACTTTCATCCAACATTTCAACCTTCAGGTATAAAGGATCACCAAGTTCAACATCCTTCACCTCGTTTCCAGTCGAGTTGACTACTCGTAGTCTGACCGGTGGAGTAGAGGCCAGTCCAGTCACAACTTGAGTCATTGCAATTGCATCGCTATTGAAGAAAAATCAAGTTAATTGTAGTTCAATCAAAGATGAACTATCAAAGTCTTACCCTTCAGAGACTTGTTTGCCACTTCGCAGTTTACGAGTGATTTGCTGGTAATCACAGACAACATCGATTCGTCTATCAGTTTCTCTTAAAATCAATGGATGCCGTTGAACAATCAGTGAATTAACAAAAGTACCATTCCTCTGTGTGATTAAAAATTAAGATGAAAAGTCAACAATTTAGTCTTTTTCAAGTGCAATTGAAAGATTGTTAAACTTTTCCTTCCAACAAAAGTCAACAATAATGTCAGGCTTAACCTTTGAAAATGTAGTTTAGTTTATTGTTGAAATGGCTTTCTATTTATTAACCTAGGAAGTGATTTAATTTATTCAACTCTCAAGAATGGTTTAATCGTGATTAAAAGTCTAATTGTGATCAACTTGTTGATAATTATTGCACACTTAACATCACGATTAAGATTACCATTAAGTGTAAAAAGCTCAAGTAAACTTATTAAGTTGAGAAAAGTAAAAGTGGAATATTTTTCTTTCTCTCTCTTTCTCTTTTCATAGATTATCATTATTATTATGATAATATTTCAGGTAAATAATGATGATAATCAACATATAAGAGGCATTATTGTTGCACACCTAACATTTGCAACCCTAAGGCTATTCCTAGGTTTATTCAGGTTTAAATGCAACTTTAAATCTATTCATGAATCAATCTTTTCTTTTTGTTGTTGACTTTTATTCATTGGTCGACTTTTTTATTTACCAAATTCTGGGTTCCACACTGTCCACCATGTAAAGGTATTGAAAGGGCAATTGTATCATCAGGCTCTTCAGTTCCAATGTTGTAACACTCTTGAGGATGAGTTAAAGTGAATAGACGACCTTTGAAAGGTCCTGAAGTTTTGATGATTGCAATCATTTCATTTGCTTCACATTTAATGTTAACTAGACAAACAAAAAGTAAACAAGAAAAAGGTTTGATTAGTTAACAAGTTGAGTAAATATTGATTTGGTTACAATTGAATATTAATTTTTGCGGCTCATTAAACAGCTTGATTAAACATTTAGCATTTCAATAAACGTTCAACTCTACAAACAATTGAAGGTGAAAATTTTGGTTACAATTTATGAGACAAAAAAAAGTAAAATGTAAATTTAAATTGTAACCTTTACATTATACAATTTACACAGTATATTGGGTTGGGTTGGTTCTTGGTTCATATCAATTAAGACCGGAATCACAGGGCGATTATCACCAGCATTTTCATCCCTTTTCAGGGCCTCATTAGGATCAACCTCACCTTAAATGGACAATTTCCAATGTTGAATATTGATCTGACTTTGATCATCAATGAAGATGAAAATTAAAACCATTAAAATTTCATTGTCTGGGACAATTGAAGGTTTCTGAGTTAACATTTGAATTAATTTGTTTCACGCGTTTGAACATCAATGTTGTTGCTTCAACACGTTAGACGTTATTCAACTCAACAATGAAAATCTTTACAATAAGTGCTGGGTTATATAAGGATATTGATAATGAATAGATGAATCTTTTTTGCAATCAAAGTCTTTTTTGATATCAAATGGTAACCGGAAGATATGAATTGAGGTGAATCGATGATGAAAATAATTGATAGTGTTATTCAATATTTTTGGTGTTTTCAAAGCGTCTAATTGAATAGGAATAGACAATGGAAACAGAATCAGACATTGCTCTGAAAAATGTATCAACGAAACTTGAAATGCAACAAAAAAAGCAACAACCAAACTGGTTAATTGCCATTTTGCTTTTTAAAACAAAATCTTAATGAATGGTTTCAATGATTACCACCTAATTATACAAACATTGATTGTTAATTTAAATTAGTTGCAATGGTTATACTCAAAGTAACCATTAAGTCTATGGCTTTGCATTTTTCATGTCAACTTAACCGTACAATTGAAGGGGAAAACTTGTTAACATGAAATTTTAAATTATTGTTTTTTAAGGATAAAAAGGTTAATCATTAGCTATTATTTTGCCATTAAGATGATTGTTGATCTGATTTTTATGATAAGCAAAAAGTGAAGCTAAAGTGAAGGGTTAAGTTTGAAGGATTTGGCTCTTTCAATGGTAATAATTATGTCAGTTAGGAAAATTAAAAAGTCTAAGCACGATTTGTTGGCTTTACTTTGCAAGATTAATAAGGTTTCAACGTTTTTGGTGTAACTCTTTCACTTTTTTTGGGTTGTCGGGCAACAGACGATCTGCTCTAGTAGAGGTTATTACAATGATTTTTGTGATCATTAATGGTGATAGTAATGATCTGCTATGATAATCACGGATGAAATTGAAATTCAAAATGCATTATCACTTTTTAATGTTAAGATTTAGTTGAGGTTAACCTGAAAACGCATTAGATTTTGTGATATTGGCTCAAAATAATGTTCAATTTTTTAAGACTTTTCAGCTTTAAAAATTCATTTCTTGTGTGTTTAACTGGTTGAGTAAGTTTGATGTTTTTCATTGAAAATGTTTCATTTTGTGGATTTCAATTTCAACATTCAATGTTTCAGTTTCACTTTAATTTACAGCTGAAAAATTTTGATCTTGAATTGTAAATATTGATTTAATTTAACAATTATGAATGTAAATATTTGATGATTTTGTGAAACGATTTGCTAATTTACTCGAAAAATTGACTAATTTTGAAAAATTTTAACGTTAATTAAAGGTTTTAAATAACAACATTTACTGAGGAATCAACGTTTCTAAAGATTATTGTTGATAGTTGAAGGCTTATTGATTGAAATTATTCTGGTTTGCTTATTTACTTTGTGCATATGTCTTGGTGTATTAATTGATGGGACTTGAGTAGGAAAATCATGTAACCATGATGTACTTACCATCGATGCATGAAGCCTTCTCATAGAGATTCATGGGAAACCCATCGGTTGATGGTGATAATGGTGATGATAATGTTAAACTTTTGATATCTTTGATCCCATTTTCACCTAGACTCAATGAATCTTCAGGTGAAAGTAAACATACACCAAGCAAATGGTGATAATGAATGAATGAACGGCAGATAAATGATTGCTCTGAAAGGCAACTTTTCTCACAATCTTCCAATGTTAATCCGGTTAAATTAAGCATTATTTGACTCTCACTAAGTTGATAATCATCTAGACGCCTGAAAGTGCATCTTGGTGGCTCTGAAATCAAATAAAAATAAATACAGAATAAAAATGATAATCAAATTTCAAATCAAATAAAACATTTAATTTCAATGTGCAACTTTCATTTTTGCTGTTCAAACAATTTTCATTTAGCACTTTTTGTTCCGAAAGCAGCAAAGTCCCAATTTAATTACAATTTAAGTCTTTTGTCTTAAATGATAATCAGTTACCAATTATCAACTTTCAATGATTAACTTGCAATTTTAATTGTAACCTTGGTTAAACCTCGAGATGGTAAAGTGCAAGTAAAACAATTGCAAGATTTTCATTGTTAACCAGAAATTAACTCAATTAACTTAACCCAAAAACTAGACAAAATTTGCTTCGTAATTAATTGAGAATTAAATTAAATTTTAATTGAAAGCAAAAGTTTAATTTTGGGTTGTGATTAAGAGGAATTTCATTAAAGACTTACCTTGAACACATTGATTTTCAAAATAAGAAACCGAATGATGGTTTGAGTTGATATTTTTTCTGAACGATTCTTGAGATGTTCGTCTATCATGGCGACTTAAAGCACAAATTGACCTGACATGATCAAATCGAACTGATCGACAAATGAATTGTCTCTCATTGAAACAAGCGCTTAAACAATCGTCTTCACTTTTAATTGAATTGAGTAGCTTCTCATTGACTCCATGTAATTGGCTATTTGGCACCTTCTCGAAAAACCATTTAACTGTACATGATGAGAATGGTGAAGATAATGAACTAGAAGATGATGAATTGGATGAAATTGGTGTAGATGAATCTGTAAATGAAAGAAAATTAAAGTTAAATCGGTAAAAGTTTAGAAATGGAAAGCTAAAGGAAAGTTAATCTAAAGCCATTACCATTTGCATTTGGAAAGCTCATTGAACTTCAAGTTCAACAATTAAAAGTAATAACAATTTATATATTGATAGCGAAATTTACTCTCTTCATTGATTATTTTTTTATGTTATTCCTATTCTTCAATGTGACTTGTTCCTGATTCAATGGGAACCGGAAGAGATTGATGAAAAGATGACACTGAAAAAAGGTTTATCATGTTTGAGAGTTTACATGAAAAGGGATAAGCAACAGAGAAAACAAAGTTTTACTCTTACGGAAGTTTTAATCATGATAATATCATGTTTTTAATGAAAAAGAATGCTCAATGAATCTTTCATTTTCAATGGGAAAATGAAAATATTTTTCAGTGCAACTTCATTGCTACAATTGTATTTCTGGTAAAAGTCAATAACAATAAACATATTTCTTTACAATATTATTGTTATTATCAACAATTGTTATTGGTGAAAAATATTGAAAATTTCACACCAAATGTTCATCTTTTACTTTCACTTCCGAGATTGGAAATTTTCATTTTTATTAATTATTCTGATCAATTTTTGTCATCACTATTAGTTGGTTACAGCTTTCGATAGCAATTTGCTTTCATTGATTTTGGGCTATTTGGGTGAACCTTTGATGGGTTGACTGAAGATTTGGTTGATGCTTTTGTGATTTGTAAACCAATTGGCAATGTTGCAACAATTAATGAGCCTTTTAATTGTTTCTAATATTGATGTAAGAAATGATTGAAACATATTTTTTGCTGTTAAATGCTTCAACTTCAGCTTACAGTTGATTTATTTTCAATGAACCTAAATCTGGTTTGAAAAATAAAGAGTTATGAAAAAAAGTGAAGTCTCAAGTCAATTGAATATCAAATTGAGTAAAAAAATTGAGATAAAGAAAAAAATTGGAACCTTGATTGTTCAGATTGATCTGAAAAAGTAAATTGTTGATAAAAACTATTCGAATTCCTTTTTTTTCCTCTTCAAGGCAATTCAGTTTAGATATCGAAGTTAACCTCAACGATCAATGGATTATTACATTTTATTGGGTGCCACAGACATTGTCATTAGATGAGTGTGTAAGTTGATGATTTGCTCGGTTGATCAGTTGATTGTTAGTCTTGAAAAAATATATACTCATGAACAGTATATTTAGTTGTAGGAAAGGAGATAATTTTTACTCCAATGAAGATAATAATTTGGTAAAAATATGTTTTCAGAAATTTTCATGAAATTTTTGTACAATGTTTTCATTTCAATTGAAGGTCAATCGGCAAACTAACAATCTAATAATGGATTGTGGATAAATTGTGGACAACAATAGATTTAAGTTTCAAGATGAAACTTGAATCAAAGAGATTTTACAGGTTAAGACAAAGAGTGAAATCAATGAATTTCAGGTAAAATAACAAGATTTATAATCGTCTTGGTAAAAATAAATCTTTTGATTGGTTTAAATAAGAGATAGTTTTTTTTTCATGACTGATAAGTTAACACACATAATATGGCTTGACTTTTGATTAACCCCTTAAAAAGTGATTGATTGATTGGTTGATGTTACTCACCTAAAGAAGGTAAACAAATTTTCCTGTGATAATTCCAGTGATAGTTTTGTTCCAGATTGTAACCAACTACAAGAGCATACGATGAGTTGACCAAAACACAATTAGAATGTTGGAAATTGAAAAAATATGAGGAACATGAATTTGTTGATAGACAATGTGAGTTACACTGAGTCCAACTGTAATTGCTGATCAATTGTAGTCTATCCAATATGGTGTCAATCGTTTTGTAACCCATTGTCCTCACAAAAGTAACCCTTGACCCTTTGGGGCAGTTTAATAAGGATAAACTATCATCTTTACTCTCTGGAGCTTTCAATGGGTTTAAACGATGTCTTGTTGTCGATGCATTGGATAATCCATCGATGAGACTCACTACTGAGGTTATTAAAATTACAATAAACATCCATTGGTTTGGATTAACTAACATCATCATCATTAATATGATAGCTATTTGAGATACTGGATTATTAGACACAAAATTGTAAGGTCAATATGAGCTGCCAATTTATCAATTATGTATAAATTAGTAAATTTGATTATCTATTGATGATTGCACAAAAAAACACTTAGGCAAAAACATAGCATTGTTGAAAATTTGTTCAACTTAATGAACAAAACAGAGGGTTTTAAAGTTTAGATAATTTCGCGACACAAGTTTAATATTAGCGAAACATAATTAACTGATTGGCATGTACTGTCACTTAATTGTTATAATAAGATGTGATGAGGACAAGAATAAAATGTTAAATAATAGACTAACTTTTTTCAATGGAAGATGTTTCAAGTCGATCTTTTTTTAGCCTCTCTCACTTTAAGTTTCATAACAGGTTTTAAGAAAAGCAACTTTCTCGCTTTCATCGCCATCTTTTAATACGCGTTTAAACTCAATCTTATGTAATCCTGACTTAATACCGGGCGTTTTTTTCTCATTTTACGCCTTCATGCAGTCATAACTCACGAACGGTTAGTGCTACAGACTTCAGATTTAAAACATAAGCTTATCTAGATTGCACAACGATAAGTTCAAGTGCTCAAGGTTATTCAAGGTCAATTCTTTATTTGACCTCTAATTGACATTGAAAGGTCATTTTCTGAAATCGCAAAATTTTTCGGACCCGATAGTGTTAGTTCCATATCCATAACTCATACCATTGGAAAGATGGGATGAATTTTTCCTGATCAACTGAATGTTAAGGAATCACCCATATCCTTTAGTCAGTATGAGTTATGGACATGTAACTAACACTATCGGATCAGAAAAATTTTGCGATTTTAGAAAATGACCTTTCAATGTCAATAAGAGGTCAAATAAAGAATTGACCTTGAATAACCTTGAGCACTTGAACTTATCGTTGTGCAATCTAGATAAGCTTATGTTTTAAATCTGAAGTCTGTAGCACTAACCGTTCGTGAGTTATGCTTGCATGAAGGCGTAAAATGAGAAAAAAACGCCCGGTATGATAAACGCTAGTCTGTCAACTAAAGCTTTCTTGCTTGTTAAACGCTTGTTGCTTTGAGTATTTTTGACTTTAAGTGAATGTCTCTTGAAATTACAATAATGCTTGTTAAGTGAATTAATTGTGATCTTTACATCTAATTTGTTATCAAAGGTTTTTTGATTGTAATTTTGAAATTTACACGTAAGCGTCAGAGGGTGCCCTCTATTAGATGAAATATTTGTCTTTATTTGATCATACTCAGAGTTGATTTTGTGTTTGGTTCTGTTGTCAATTTTTTCCGAATTGATTTGTTGATCAAGCAATTGGTGAATTGAGTGTTTTTTTTTCTCTCTGTGATTTTTCTTCCTATTGTTCTGAGTTACCATCAATTTCTACGTTAATAAATTGACAAAATTTAGACTGGATCCGTCTCGCAATCCACCTTAAAAGTGAGGAGTAAAAGAAAGTAAATTGAGAAAGAAGAAGAGAGAGAGGAAAGAGAGAGGAAAGAGAGAGGAAAGAGAGAGGAAAGAGAGAGGAGAAAATAGACAGCTTGAGAAAGAGAGGAAAGAGAGAGAGAGAGAGATAGGAAGAGATAGAAATAATTAAGGAACGCTCGTAAGATATTTTGATTGATAGGGGACATGGCTCTTACCCTGAATCCATCCCATCAAAACAATACTGGTGGTCGAGTTAATTTACGTGAATCATTAAAAGGATTATATTGTCCCTTCCATTGCCGTGGTTATTGTAAATTTGGTTCAGACTGCTCCTTTAGCCATGATAACCGATCATCTACTCGTGTACCTGATAACGTTTGCTATTTCAATTTAACCAAACAATGTTTCTCCGGTGATGAATGTCGCTTCCTTCATATTGATGCAATTACCTTGCTAGGCCTTCAAGATTATAGTAACAACAATTCAGACACGACCAATAGTAACAACAATAACAACACCAACAACAACCATCATAGTTCACCCCAATCAACTACATCATCTTCATCTTCTAAATCCTCTGATCATATCAAAATAAATGTACCTTCAATTAGTTCATTAAACTGCAGCTCTAGCAATGGAGGAGTTGGTGGCGGTGGTGGTGGCGGCGGTGGTGGTAATAGTAATAGACCACTTAACAATCTTTCCTCATCGTGCTCAGCTTCCTCGTCTGCCTTGTCTATCTCAACCTCATTAGCTACTCCTTTAAACAGCACTCTGACCAACAGCGCTACGACAAATTTAACCTCAACAACATCAAACAACAAAACAACCACATCAAACTCAAGCCAAGGTAACAAATTGGGTGCCTGGAGTTCACCTCTACACATTACTCCTTCGAGTAACAGTGATCCCCAACAAGAAAAACGATCTCTCCCTTTGTGTCCCTTTGCTCGTGTCTCTGATCATTGTCCACATGAGAATTGTACCTATTTACACGGCGAGAAATGCGATTTTTGCAATTGCTTGTGTCTTCACCCGTACAATACCGAACAGAGGGATATCCATCGAGATGAGTGTATCAAGGAACATGAGAGAGAAATGGAACAAGCTTTCGCTATTCAACGAAGCAGTGATAAAGCTTGTGGAATATGTATGGACATTATTATGGACAAGGAATTACCGGTGGAAAGGCGTTTTGGTATATTAGAAAAATGTGACCACGTCTTCTGTCTTACTTGTATCCGAAAATGGAGACAAACGGAACAATTGGACAAGAAGACTATCCGATCCTGCCCTGAGTGCCGGATATTTTCTGCATTTGTTATACCCAGTCAGTATTGGTATGACAGTGGTGAAGAGAAAGACAGGTTAATAACCAATTACAAGAAAGCCTTAAGTCAAAAACCTTGTAAACATTTCAATCAAGGCCAGGGAACATGTCCCTTCGCTGGAGCCTGCTTTTATCTTCATGCCTATCCGGATGGAAGAAAGGCTGATATGCCTCCTCCAACATCCAGGAGAAGGAATAACAATGAATCAGAATCATCCACTTTCAGAGTATGTATAAAATTAGTTATCAGTTGAAAAAACTGACCTAATTTCGTGATATGTTTCAACTTATTTTTAAATCTCTTTTGATAAATTTCATTTAATTAATTCACCTTTATTTTCATTTATTTGTATTTCCTAGAATATGTTACTTTGGAATTATCTGGAATTCAGAGAAGATAATAGATTGCTGACTGTAGACTATCTAGAGCTGTTAGAAGGAGCTGATCAGGAGCTGCTGAACTCATTCGTCTTCTCGGATACAGAAGATGAATCCGAATGGGGATCTTATGCTGATTTTGGGGATTTATGAGATTTCTTGGTGAAAATGATAGAATGGAAAACGAGAAAGTAAAGATGGTCAGTTGATGAAACCATCATTTCCTTCATATTCCCATTTCCTTTACCAGTCCTACCTAAATATTCATCAAATTCTTTCCCATTCCCGTTCCCTTTTCTTTTATTTTCACGGTCTCCTTCTTCATTTTATTGTCTTCTCTCACAGACTCTTCATTCGTATCAACAAACGTGAAAAAAGTCAACAAATAAACCTTCAATTTCAACAGCGCTTGATTACTTTAATAATTAGGAATTAAATTTCGTCTTTGTGATGTCAACCATAATTTTGCTGTTGTTAACCCTTCGCAACCACAATTAACTTCATCAATTCAGCACTTCAAAGATCAACTTAGTTTAACATTGGAATATAGTTAAGAGGAAAATCAAACATTATTCAAGTAAATTACAATCAAAAAAAGGAAGAATCTAATCTAATTACTGAAAACTATGAGAATCGATGGAACACTCAAATTTAAACTAATTCGCATTTTCTCTCCTCTCTCACACACACATCTTGTTCTCTTTCTTTCTCGTACTCTCTCCCTTCTCTCTATGTTCAACTAAATATGATTCGGTTTCATGAAAAAAATAACAAATTGTAAACAAATCTTAAATCTGAAAAACAAAATAAGCACAAATAATGAAAGACGTGATGTGATTCTAACAAGAAAACAAAATCAAATTTCAAGCTTTTAATTAGCTTAGTGCATTAATATCTTCCCTTCGTCAATCAAAATATGTTGATTTTGCCTTTTCTCTTCACTGTTAGTTAATTTACAGCATACATTTTTAATTTACAACCATGAATTTTAACTCATCTGATATTATTACATTGTATATGATTATATTAATGTTAATAGCTATTGAAATGGTAAACATAAAGATAATTTTTTCTCAATTCAGTAAAAGTTCAATTTTTGAACAAACCAATTTTCTGCATTGATAATTAGATACAAATAGAGGGCAACACTGAATCAAAGACGGATCAAATATTTTAATTGTCGTCATAGAAACTTGATGAGAGTCACCTTTTTCAAGTCAATATTTGACACGTTCAAACATTTGAAATCACCGATTTTCAACAAAATAATAATTGTTTAGTTATGTAATTATATGATCAAACAATTTTTTTATACTCAGTTTAATTAGATGAAATTACATCAGTGAGAAAGGAAGGACACAAAGATGGAAGAAAGGGACTGAGAGAAAAGGAAATCGAGTGCGTCAGGAAGCGGAAAATTAATCAATAAGATCTTGATCTATGACAACCCATTGGCGGGAAACTTTGTAGTTCATTTGATTTCTTTTGAGCTATGAGAAGGAAGATGATTTTATAATCCTCGGGGTGTTAATTTCCAAGCTATCGGTAGCAAACATTAAGTTAACAATAGCTTTGAACATAAATTGTTATATACTGAGCAAAAATGTGAAGAGCTTTGGATGGGTTTAGTGAGTGGCGATTTTGTGAATTAATTAGAATGGATTTTGAAGAGAACAAGGAATAAACACAAGAAAATAAAGACAAAACAAGGTATCAAGGCTCTCTGTTATCCCGAATTGAAAAAGTGATTCAATTTACTAGCGACTGAAGATTGATTATCGCATCTTGTAGGTGTATAATTGTTCATCAATTACACTAAGTTGTCCATGGAAGTCTACTAATATCTCGAAATCTAGATCCCTCTGTAAAAAAGTAAAACTTTCAATGAGTTAAAGAGTTTTTTTAAAGAGTAGGAGATTAAAAGTCTAACCTTGTTATTTTTATTTGGTTTCATGGAGAAAGTTCCATGAATCTGTTCATTTTTCTTGCAAGTAAGAGATTGATCGATGTAAAAAACAGTTTGTTTCCAATGAGTATATGCTGCATCCGGTGCTGAAAAAATGATAAAAGAATCGTGTTTAAAATGTTTGTAAGAACCAAAGTAAAAGGCATAAAAATTGTACATTAAATTCAAAATTTGGGCACTTACAAGTCGAAAAACCAGTTGGCTTGTGGCATTTAGTGAATTGGACTGAGAAAAAAGTTACAAAGGCTTGTATATAATCATCTCTTTTCATTACAAGAGTAAATGGTGTCATAAAGCTTAAATCTTCAGGTTTAACAGTGTAGAGATCAACTTCTTTGAGAAGACAATAGCTAGTCACAACTTGCTTCGGGTCAACAACATCAACTAATGGTTCTTTAAGAGCAACTTCTCTTATACAGCTCATGTTAAATCCATAGACATCTTCCCACCCTGATAATCAAAAAGAAATTGAAAATTCACAATGAGTATTATAGATTTTAGAGATTATTTAGTTAACGTACAATTAATTTTATCCTCTTTATATTGTCTGTCCTCTATGGCTGTTATGTAAAGAGTTGCTCGATCTGGAAACATTAGGCCATCACTTTTCTGAAGATAGAGAAAAAATAGATATTAAAATTTTCGAATCAATGATATCTTGGCGCTGTTTACTTACCAGCCATTTGTCTCGAGCATAAATAACAGTATCAAGCATAGATTCATAAAAAAGACAATACCCCATCCATTCTGAAATAATAATATCAACTTTTTCAATGCCATCTGGGAGTTCAACTTCTTCTACTTTTCCCTTAACAATGGTAATACGATCAGCAAATCCATTATCTTTTATCACACGTTCAGCTAGGTTAACGATTCCAGAGCATTCGATCTGCGCAAAAAAAAGAGTAAAGCGGTAAATTGATTGAAAGATGATTGAAGAGTAGCAGAAAGCTAAACGCTTATTGAGAGTTATTGGACAGAGATAACAAATTAGATTAAAATTTTCATCTTTAAAACCATCTATTGATTGAATTCAATTCAATTTATATCATGTTTATTGTGAACAATGTGTTTAACTACTCAACAAACAAGGCATCCATTTTTATAACCAATAGATGATGTTTTAGATGAATTTTTTTAATTTATTTTGTTATCTCTGATCAATAACTCTCATTTAATGTTCAGCTTTCTGCTAATCTTCAGACAGACAAGCTTCATATTAAATTGTACACTGATGGGTAGCGAAGGATTGATACAATGTAAATATCAACCCACGTCAAATTTCTCATTAATCTTCAACTTACACCAATGACTCGAGCAGCACCAGCTTTGGCAGCAAACATAGACAATATACCAGTTCCACATCCAATATCGAGGACAGTTTTACCTTTAAAAAGGTGTTTGTTGTGGAGCATTGAATTTTTATAAGTGACCGTTCGAACCTCATCTTTCAGCATTTCTTCGTGTATACCAAAGTGAGCATAGCTGTCGAAATAGTAGTCCTTACTGGTCATTTCATCGGGCTCTTTACATACTGGCTGTTCACTGTTTTCATTGATATTCCCTTCAGGATCACAGTGATTCTCTGCACTAGCCTCACCATTACCATTGGCATAATTGGCATTATCCGTTTGAGTTGAATCCATGGTTACGTTATTTAACAAGTCCAAAGATGACTATACTAAGCAAATGGTTAAGTAAAAGAGATCTGAAAATAAGAAGGAAAAAGGGGTGTGAAGAGGAGATCAAGAAAATGAATTTAAACAGAAATTGGATGACTTAGAATGACAATTTATCATTTAAACAGAAAAAAGACGAACAAAAGAGATCTTCCAACAAAGAACAGCAAAAAGATTAGACTGGAAAAAGTATTTAAATGGAAAACCGGCGAATGATGATTTAGTTAGTTGGATAGGAACATGAAAATATATTAGTAAAAAAGTTTATCACAATTAAAAGTAGATTAATTAGTTGATTGCTTAGAGTTAAACTAAACTTAACTGTTGATAATAAAATACTAAATAAATTCACTCACTATTAACAATCACCACTTCAAGCATGTTCTTTTGCTTTAGGGATCTTATAATAATTGAAAAAGTACTTAACAATGAAGTAATCAAGTGGTTTGAGATTCGAAATTTAATTTAATCAATTTAGTCTCGACATCCTTCTAAATTATCCAATAAATTACTGAATTAAATTTTAAATTAATTTTAAATTAATAACATTTGGACAAAACATTTGGAGGCAGATTGTTGTTTTATTATTCAACCATTAGAATGGACATGAAAATTGGTTAATACAACTAATTTATTTTTTGTATCTAAGTGAAAATCATTTTAGTTCGAAATCATATAATAGTGGGAAAAGTTGAAAAAGAAATCAGTACATTAAGTTTTAAAGAACCAACGTCTATCAAAAGTAATTAAACAAAAAATTGAATGGAAAAGAAAATATTCTTCTAAGAATGAAATTATTTTGCTAAGATTAAAGCAAAAGTTCAATGCCATATTCATGTTGAGAAATTGTTCGGGTAACTCTAGCTGGTACAGGAGTTCCATCTTTAATTAGGCTTTCAATTGTAGGCAAGTAATTTTGAATCTTATCCGCATTGTCAACTCGGCATCGGATCGCTTGAGCTGGAAGTTTTTCAATACTAATTTCCTTAGGAAGTTGATAAATTTCCGAGCTATCGATTTCGTCTTGATTTCCAAAATCAGGATAATAGACACGACATTTTTTACCATTATTCAACATCTCCAGAACTAATACACGGTAATAATCGCCATCTGTGGTAAAATTTAAAGTAAAAATTTGATTTAATCAGATTGGCTAATGAGATTGAATATATAAATTCTTACCTTCGGCATTAGCAACACCAAATAGACCAGGCTTAGGAATAACCTTAGGGCTTGATTCACTAATAGCGGAAAGTCCTTCGTAGAGGGCCAACATGGACTCATCTGTCAAAAAGACAAAGTGTTAATACAAAATAATACAAAATAACCCATTGAGATTGAATTAATTTCAACTAAATTCAACTTACTGTCTCCCAAAGCATAAACAATACTTGAATCTTCTGAATCCATGTAAAGAAGAACAGATTCATCCCCTTTAAGTGGGGTCATTTTGTAAAGATGGTAATAGTTGGCAGGAGAAACTTTTCGACTATGCTGTTAATGGAGAAAAAATTGCAAATTAAGAGCCAAATTAACAAAAAGATGGCATCAAAAAGTATGCTCATTGAAATAAACTTACTTCATAGGCCTCTGTTGGGGACATAATCTTTTTAGGAGCAGGTCTAGGAGGTGATACGGGTTCGATAGGATGACTTGGCTTCGGACATCGAGGCTCAGGAATGTAGCTTGATTCATTGATCCTTCGGTCATTTTCTATTCTAATTTCATTTCGATCAATAGACCTCTGATGTTTTGGGATATATGATGTAATTTCGTTTTCATATTTATTTTCTGGTTTGTTAACACGCAGATCACCACGCTCAGTGAAATCGCCAAAAGTAGGTTTCTGTGCCATTGAGTCAGATTCACGCTGAGGAAAGTTACGTCGAATACGAGTGATAGGCTAATCAAAGGAAAAAATAAATATAATTAGAATAATTATAACACTATTAAAGCGCTAAGAAATACCTTTCTAATTTCTTCATAATGTTTAGCTAGGCCTTTTTGAACCAATAATTCATTGAGTGTATTTCCTTCATCATTAAAAATTTCAACTTGATAGACGCCATCAATCTGGGAAAAAGGTTTACAATGTTTGTAAAGAATTTCATCGCTATCGTAGATATTTTCAAGGAATTGAGAAGCTTCTTTATCCCACTCGCTTTCATAAAGGGGTTTAACATGTTTCAAACTGCAACAAATAGCTAATGTTGGAATCGTGGTTAGCTTTGGAGGAAGAGGTCTTAAGTCTTCTTTTGCAATCATATCCGAATTACCAAAATCAATAAAACTGACAATAGCGTCTGGTCCGTCAAATTTTAGAAATTTGACTCGATACCAATTGTCATCCCCTCGGTTAAAAGCAGCACAATAATGACCAGGCTTAATCTTTTCAACTCCTGGCCATTCATCTGATTCACCCAAAGTTTTGTTCAGTACATCAGTAATTTCCTCGATTGTTAGAATATCTTCTAAACGCTGGACATAGAATTCTGATGGATTTTCGATATAAGAAACCATAATATTAATGGTTTCTCCAATCTTTAATGCGGTTTCTTTGAGGTAGGTAACTTCATTATTCAAAGAGATTTTAGGTTTTGGCATAATTATTTTATTGGGCTCCTCAATAACAAATCCGCCATTGTTAACTTTGATTCGAGCCTGGGGATTATCATTTATAGTCGGTGTTGATGATTGAGCAACCTTTAATGGTGTGGGATTCAATATAATTTCCTCGGTTTTTTGCACAACCTTAACTGGAGCTTCTGATGGCTTAACTTTTTCTGAAACTTCTTCAATTTTAACCTTTTCTGGAGCTTTTACTGGAACTTGAACTGGAGCTTTTTCTGGGGCTTTAGCTGGAGCTTTTTCTGGAGCTTTTTCTGGGGCCTTTTCTGGAGCTTTTTCAGGAGCACCATTGGTGAGTTTGGGATGAGGAGAGCAAACACTGCGATGGTGAGACCATGCTAAGGACTGGCATCTTAGTCCACAGTAAGCAACAACACGGCACTGAGAACAGACAACAAATTTTCCTTCATTGGTGTGACAATATGAACAGCTAACAGGAACACTGCTAGGTAATCCTTCGAAAGGATCCAAAACTGACTCATCGCGAACAATAAAATGAACATGTCGTACGAGAGGTTCAGCTTCACAAGCAGCACAGTTAGCTTCAGGAGAAGGAAGAATTTTTACGAGATTCTCCACAGCTGAAAGATTGTTAACAAGATCACCCATTGTATTCATCGGTTTTACTAAACGAGTCAAAGATCTTGCCAATTGTTTACGTTGTTCACGCTGAAATATAATTAAAATAATAAATAATAATGAAATTAAATAAAACTAAAAGAAAAAAGTAAAACTTACCAATATTTCTTCTTTCTTGCGTTCGAATTCGCCTTTGTTAGCTGCAAGCGTAATTTTAAGGTTCAACGGTTCTTTCAAATGTAAAGCTTGAATAGCTGTAGTAGCTTCAGTGATGGTCTTCACTTGAACAATACTGAAATGAAACAAGATTAGATTTATCAAGCTTACTTATATTGATGGTTTGATGGGCTGAATGATAAGCCAAAAGTTGGACACTTGTGATAAAAAGCACTTAAAGAAAACAAACTAAACTTCGTTTTATTTACTGAGAAAACTCAAATGAATCACTGAGATTAAAAGTACATACTATAAAGACAAAACGAGATTATAAAGATAGCGGTCTAAAATAAATCTACTCACGCTTTTTGGAGCTCCGAGTTGGTTCTGAGGAGTTTACAATTTATTAGTGGAATACCAGAAAATTTAAATAATCGAACTAAACCGTCCTTCAAAGAAATAATTAGATGAGCAAAAGGGGAATTAATCAATGGTCAAGATGATCAATGAGGGATAAAACAAAAGTCAGGGTTGAATAGTTTTAACAAGAAAAAAAAGATGATGCAAGTTTTACTTACTCGGTATAAACCGCTTGGTATATTATCAACAAGGATATTAATAGGTTCTTTAGATCCACCGCTGAGGACAGTAACAGAATGACGAAATAAGATTAACTGTTACCAAGGAAGATTAAGATTGAAAGGTGAGAAAGGATTTACTTACCGAGTGTCAGGGAGAGCAAAACCAGGGCCGCCAAAGTAACTATTGTTTAATGAGTTGACATAGTCTTTAGCCATAAAATCATCAAAATCATCCAATTCACTACCCATAATAGTTTAAACAATTAGTATCAGGTTTCACTTGATTGAATTAAGTTAGATTAATTTAACTTGAGAACAGTTTAAATTAGAAAAGAGAGGAAAATAGCGACAATAGAATAAGTTCAACTTGTCATACAGTGTAAGTAGAATAAAGTGAGAAAGAATTATCAGTGTGAGAATTTATATTAGAGAAAATGAAAAGCTTTAGAAGCTAAAATATTTTCTTCCAAATAAAGCTTACAATGTTTTGTTGGTTAAATTGATTTTTAACTCAAAGGGTCAAATGTCAAAACTTGCAAATCTTTTTTCTAAACAATGTTAATTGAAATTATCGTGACTCAATGTAATTGAAAAAGCTTAGTTTGAGGTCGAGTACTGTTGGTGTTTATTTTCTTTATCAACATACAGCGGTTGTTTGAGATAATGATCGAAATATCGCGAATCAAAAAGACAAATAAGAGTCAATACAAGTCAGAGGTTTAGTCAAAGTTAATTTATAATTAGCAATTGGGGAAAAATTAAGATACATTAAGATACATAACAAATATCGGTTTAAATTGAAATAATAATTCGGTTAAACTGTTATCCATCTTTAATTCTATAGCTTTATTTAATTACGTAGAAAATGTGGCAAGTTCGTTGGCTCATCTGATCAGGATATGATTCTGAACAATGGAGGTTGGAAATGATGTTATTTTCATAGTTGATTTATTTTTAAAATTTCATTAAATTAACCAACAGTCAAACACTGTCGACGTGTAGATAAGGAGGTATCGAGGCTGGTTGTAGGTCATGCTGTTGTTTTGGCCTGGGTGCATCAAACTGAGCGCTAATTGTATCTGCACTTTGGCGTCTTCTGTGTTTGCGGTGACATAAACTGCATAAAATTATCATGAATAAAATTGTTCCAACAACAATCATTGCAACCATCATCAATTTGTTTACTTCAGTAACTTTGATACCTACAAAATAGAATAGTATTGAAATTAAATTAAGAATTCAAAGATAAAAATTAGCATTAAGAAGGAAGATTTGGTGCTATTAGATTTTAAATTAGATATAAATTTTGAAATTTGTGGAACAAGCTTCATGAAACGGCTTAGTCTAGCATTTATTTCGCTAAAAGAAACAAATGCAAATGCATTTTCAAGCTATGTAATCAATGTAATCAATAGCATTTAAATGCGAACACAGCAAACACAAAATTTTGTTCCATTTTTTAGAGAGATAAGAAGAAATTTTATATTAAAATAGTTTTGTACGCATTTATCTTTTAAACCAAATCATGCAAGGTTCAGGTCATTACATGATCTCATGATATGATCATCAAATTTCAAAATCTAATAAAATTTAAATCTATTCCTTCATATCTTCCCTTGTGAGATTGAAATCATGGTAATAGCATGAATTATCACAGAAGACTTGATCAAGCATGGGTTATGGACCCGAGATATTTCAGCACATTAAAATGCTAATTTAAATTTAGTTACAGTGATTTCAGATTGGCAAGACATAGTTTTCAAGACTTGCTTAGTCACTAAGGTATCAATTTTCAGTTTTATTTTTGTGTTTCACAATTTACAAGTTACTCAATCGACGACTAATGGTCAAGTTCATGTGCAAACTATTTTCTAAGTGAATCTGAACTGATCTATGACTTAAAGCTTTCAAATATACACTGAGAAATGAACCATGTTCTAATTAATTTAAAACTGTCGTCTTCTTGACGAGTCTCCTCATTGACTAATTAAGTCCTTTCTTTGTGAAGATTATGTCTCGCCAATATGAAATTACTGTATTATGAAACCTTAGCTCATTGCGTATATTAATTAAGGTGCATTTTCCAGCTCATCTGTTATCTTTCTAATTTATAATGAAATTAAACGTACAATTTGCTTCGTCTATATGATCATAGAAACCACAATTTGGTGCCCCATTACACTTCATTTCATTTGAAATACAATAGCCACTTTTAGGACATTGAAGGGCATCACAGTTGGCTCCATCTTCCTTAACTTCAGACCAAAGAGCCTCAAATCCACGAGCTCCTACAGCAGTGTCAGTGATCATGAACCTAAAACAAGTAAGTGAAGAACGAAGTTGAGATTAATATTGATTCGAAGTCGAGGGGCTAAATATTGATGAATGGTAACTTACGATATTTTGAGCATATTTGTAGTTGAAAGCATCTCTTGAGTGTCATTTTCAAGACCAACTCCACACAACTCAATTGGCGGTTTACTTAAATCAGACCAGACTCTGAGCACAGCTGTTGGACAACCTCGTTCTAAAGGATTGGATGAACAAAATGCAAACAATTTTATTATTATAGAAAAAAATTAAGAGGAGAAACAAACCTCTCATGGAGCCTTCTATGATAAAACTTAAAAAAGTTAAAAGAATTCTGTGGTGTGGCTTAACATTAATGTACCAGTTGCATGTTAATTTTTGTGGTCGGTATTTTTCAGGATAGCCTGGGCTACGCAAGTAGCCATATAGTAATCCAGTAACGTTTCCTCCACAATCTGTTACAAAAAAAAAGGATTTAGTGGATTTAGTATTTTAACTGCTCATTAGCTGTAATTGTAGCTTCTTAACTCACCTGATTGAATACTTGTTCTAGATATAAAATGGTAATTGGCTAAGAAACCGCTTGATGTATCGGCCCCGTCAGTTTTCATTACAATCTTAAGTTGGTTGATACCAATGGGAGTAACATAAGGTCCAGGAGCTGAATATACACAATAACGGCCTATTTTTTGTTCCCGTCCACTTGGATGAATTTCATACATTTCAATCCAATCTTCTTGACAAAATTCATCATAACCAAGAACAAGTTCACTATCCTTTTTGAGATTAAATTCAACAAATGTAATTTCTATCTGTTCACCTGGTAATCCAATAAACCAATATTCACAATGAGTAATTGGTGGATAACTATTAGGGTGCCTAGGAGAGTTGAAGACTCCTTTTTTAGCCGATTCACTTAAATATTTGAATTTGCATCTGGGTGGTTCAGGAGTTCCTGGAATCCGATAGTCTGGAAGAAAGGTGTAACGTCCTTTGAAACCCTGGCCTTGAGTCAGACCGGAGCTGAAGACAACGATTAAAGTTGGGCCATCTGAGACAACTGGTGGTGGTAATTTTTCTGTGCCACAAAATACATAATCAGGATCTTCCATAGACTCAGATGAAGTGTAAACTCTTACAGAGGCATCGCCACATCTATTCAAACCAAAAATAAACAAATTTAATAAATTATTTGATAAGAATGTTTCTTATTCATTGATTCACTTTTTAAATCGATTGAAATAAATTTATAGCTTACTCGTACGAAACTTCCGAGTCATCTCTGTTGGTTGAATCGATGTTTGGGTTTGAATTGGATATTGGAACAATACCATTAACCTTAAGCTTGTCTTTAATAGGTATTTCAAATTTTTCAAACTCTAGTTGAATTTTCTCCAAATGTTGTTCATCTTGGATACCATAGATGTAATACTTGCAAATAATATTTGAATGATACAGAAAAGGATAATTGGGTGAATAAATTGTTCCATTATTTTCCTTTCGGCTTAATATTTTCTGATCACATTCAGTTCCCCGAATATGTTCCCCGTCATTTTTTCCAATAAAACCTACACGGAAGAGATAGAAATAAGCACATTAGCAGACTATTCAAATTTCAAAAAATTGGTTAATTTTAGCGTTTTAAAGATTATGCTTATTTCACAAACCTAAATTAACAAAACGCTCTGAAAATTCGAACCAACCAATAAAACCTCGATTCTCATGTGATGCACTTCTTGGTAGCGTTGTTAAGGTTACCAACATTTTTTCTCCTGATGAATAGAGAACTAGGTTGCGTTTCTGTCCACAATAAGTTCCAATAAGAGGATCTTCTTTTGTACTTCCATCATAAACACGAATTTGATCGAATGGACAACTGTAATAATTAATGTTTAAATATTAATAATGATGCTTGATTTGCTTTTCATCTATTGGTTGGTAAATACTTACTGAGCTCCACCATAAAGCAAATCGAAATCCATAAACTCTACTCGTACTCTTTGACCTTTGCCACCAAAAAATTGATATTGACATTGAAGATTTTTAGGATAAACTCCGGGGTAAGTTGGCGATAAAAATTGTCCATCTCGTTTCTTGTCACTAAAAATTGTAAAACTACAAATTTCTCTAGGAGTTGGAGTTCCGGCGATAAAAGGAGCTGAAAATATAAAAAAATGATCAACATATTAGAAAATTGTAGCAATAAGAGGAAAAAGGACAAATAAGGAAGATCGGAAGTTAAATTGATTGATGATTTTCAGAGATGAAATGGCAAATTGAAAATGCATTCCCCTTTAAATATTTACAAAATTTTTGTGCAAAAAGATAAATCCTTAATATGATAAATGCCCATGTTAAGACGTGAATATAATCTAAACATTCCTAGATGTAGTTATGAAATTTTCAATAAAATGTTGAGAAGCAAAATTCTTACTAGGCACTCTTAACCACTTTCATAAAACTTCAGGTGCAGAATTGAAAAGAGCAAAGTACAACTGAGCTTTAATTCATTGATGGCAATGCAAAAATGAACATTATGTATTGAGTGGTTGCTCAGTCAATTGCTTCGAAAGGTAATGAAAAGAAAAAATTGCAGTTTCAACTGGAACATTTAATAATAAACGATTTTCATGTTCTTTTTTTGAAAGGAGCAGGGAGGAAAAATTGTAAGAATAACAATCATTTAGCTGAGAGAATGAAAAAGATAGAGAGAGCAGAAAGCCTCTTAAACTTGATAGTGATTTGAAACGAATTGTTGAATGACTGATGAGAGAAAGTGTGTTAAATAACAAACTTGACAAAGCTTGACAGTCATCTTATTGAAACTCTTAAGGGATATTTATTCAGAGAAGCTAACACATATTTCCCTTCATTTCTCCCTCACAAATTCCATTCATTTCTATCATCTTCTTTCACTATTTTTTTTATCTCCTTACACTTTCTTCAACTGTTTCACTTCTCTTGACATCTAGGAATCTGATTCACATTTACCTGGAAAAAGCTCTTCACTCATGTCAAGCACTTTTTGGGCTCTATAAAGAAACAATATAAAGACACCAGAAAATAAGATTTGAGAGGGAAGAAGAAATCTACAGAAACAGAGACAGAAGAGAACGGGAAGCCAGGATAAGGTGGAATGGAGGAAAAATGAATGAAGAGGAGTTGAAAAAAGAAAAGCAAGGGAAGGAAATCGATTGTTGAAACTTACTTGCATCGATGAACTCATAAGTTCCATTGAAGATATTTTCATTTAACAAAGGTTTGTCAGTGTGAAAGCTCAGTACTAATGTTTGAAAAAGAGATACTCGATCTCGAGGAATCGAACGACCACAGTATCTGCCACTAAAAGGTGTTACAATTAAGTCCTGGTTAGGATCTTCAGATTCCGTATAAATATCCAAATATTCATGATTGCAGCTGTGAAAGAAACAGATTTAAAAAGATTAATAAATGAAAATACAAAGGATTGCAAATAAGGGAGAAAGAACCGTTTGTTTACCAATGAATCATTGGCAATGATGAAATGCTTACAAATTGGTATCGGATAAAAGATTTTATTTCTACTGATATTGATACCAGTAGCAGTTCATTCTTTAAAGATTGCACCAAATTTGATAAAAATTAAGTTAATTTACATATGGTTTACCACATAAATGACACTAATGCTCTATCTAATTGATTGATTAAGAGCTAAAGCTATAGTTCTTGTTATAATTTCTGGATCACACTTAATGGTAACACTGAAAAACTTGAGATTCCGATTAGAGGTAAGCCATTTTTTACATAGAAAATTAGGTAAAGTAGAAGTTGATAATCAAAAAACAAAATATACGGTTAATTTGCATAAATTAATAAAAGGTTTAAGCTCATTACTGAATTAAGAATAGAGGAAAATTTTAACGGTTTTTTTTGTAAATTTTAAAAAATTTGATTAAGCGCATTTATAAACTTACTCGGGTGGAGAACCGCGAAGATCAAAATGATTAAATTTTATATGAATTCGTTCATTTTCTGATGCAATAAATGTGTATGTACAGGAACGGGTCTGTAATTAAATGAAAAATTGTTCATTAATATTATTTTAGTTTAATTGGTTAATTTGTTGATAAAATAAGCAAATTATTTGGTTAGATCAAGATTGAACTTGTCAATCTGTTGCAGGCTTAACAGCTTGTTACATTCATGGCGTGTTGCCATCAAAAGTGTAATCAATCCATTATCTACTGATTTCATTGTCTATTAGCTCAATTCACAAGTTTAACCTTGATCTTTAGTTTTCATGTAAAATCAAAAAAATAGTGAAATTGTAAACTCTTAATTACATGATTCTGGCTGTTTTCAATGATTGGTGATGTAAAGGTTCCATTTTTAGGCGCATCAGGATTGCTTATAACCATTTGGTCACATCCTGCTGAATAGAAACACAAGATAATTTAACAATTTGAGTTAATCAATTTTTCTTTTCTTTTTCAGGGTGAAAAGGAACAGATAAAGGACCTATTGAACCATAAACAATAAGGTCAATAAAGTCAATCATGGAGGTTTACCAAGAATTAAGTGATCCACAACATGCAAAGGTCTCATCAGCTCTGCCAATCCCTCTACAGATAATACACAATGTATAACCAATATCTCTCGGCCTACACTACCTATCAATCAAAATGTGGAGGTGTTCAAGTGTCCTTTATTACCATCATTCAAATAATTAACCTCTCAGTTAAAGTATGTATTATTATATCAAATATTCAATTCCTCTTTACCAAATTCACCAATTGATCTTCTTTTTTCTCTCTGACCCTTTCATCTATACAGAAAATACCTTGGTTTTACATGTTATTAATGAAAGTTGGAGATTGACAAGTGAAATCAATTAGCAATGAGATGAACACAATTAAAGGGAAAATAATGATGCTCCATTTTTACATAATGTATAACAAAAGACATTTTCCCTGTGGAAATCAACGTTTTTACATCTGATAAAACATTTACCAACATGAAGAAGCGAAAAATTTCACCCTATTTTCTAACCTTCTTCTCCTGGATTTTCATCTCTGGTTTCTCTTTCCAATTCAACTAAATTGTTTCTCATCATCGTCATCTTCATCACCCTGATCATCCCCACAATAATCATCATTCCTTCCTCATCATCTTCATCTATTTCAGTTATTTATGCATATATGTACAGCTCTTTGTTATGATAAATTGAAAGCTGCGCGCAATCAGTTGTGCCAATCGATAAAGCCTTTGAGGTTCCCCAAAAGTGCTTATAATAGTGTGTAACCTTAATTAGGCTTTAAATGATCCTCACAAATTCCTCTCAATTATAATCTATGTAACTATTTTACATTCTCACCACTAATCATTGCAATAGATTTACCTTAATCTTCCACCAAATCCAACTCAATGTGATTCACAAGATTTAGCAAAAACAAAATAACTGTCACCATAAATGAAGTATTAGATTTTTAATCTCGACATGCTGTGAAAAAAAGGATTCAACGTTCGTCTTGTAGTCAGATTATTCATTTGGTAAATACTGTACACTATTCAAAGTGAATGTGACTCTACTGGAAATTGAATTTTTGCTACTTAAACAATTTATCAGTTAGCCTCTGGTCATTAACGTATCAAATCTTTAGTTGTTATTCAATATTGAATACATATCTTCATGTTACATGTATGCAAGTTATAATATGGATATCTTTCAACCATATTCACAATACCTTGATCTACCTTAAATATTGCTGTTTCTTATTGTCATTTGAATAAAGCTAAACTTACTTTTTCCTAAACATTCGCTTCTGTAAAGTCTATTTGAGGTTAACAGGGGAATTCATTTTTCATATTACAGATTTTCATCTGAATAGGTAAAAAATGATGAATAACTTGTATATGCCAAAAGCCTTGGCGAACAATCATTTTCAATTTGTTTCTCAATATGTATTTTTTGTATCTGTTATTGTTATTTGTTATTCTCATGGATTCTTTTTTTCTCAGGTAGAAATAGACAAAAAAAGAAGATAAAATAATGAACAAGATCTTCTTTAAACATGTTTACAGAAGTGAATGATGTTGACTTTGAGATGAGTTAATTTTGTTTATTCAAATTATTCAATGGGATCTTGTGACTTTCTTCAATGGATATATTGATTCAAAGAGTTAAACAGAGCTTGAAAATTGTATCATTACAATTTAAATATGATTTTAATTTCAACCATCAAGAGTAAAAGGATTGTTCACAAGTGAAATTAATATTTGACAAAAGGGAAACCTGAGAGTAAAATTTTCCGAGTCAATTTCTTTGATCTTTTCAGTAAATAATTGAGATATTAAATGAACAATGAAATTACTATTTGAAACATGGATCAATAAAAAAGATGCTGAAAGCAAAATGTCTTAACAGATGAAGACTAAGGTGTTAAGATGATGAAGAGGGAAAAGATGAAGTGTAAGATCTGTATGAAATTGATAACAAATGGCCAATTGATGACAGATACAATTTGTATGAAAGCCAAGGTAGACTCAGAATTAGAAGCTGATCATTAATCATTGTTTAACCAAATGGTTATGAGAAAAGTTATTACAAAATTTGTTTTCTTGAACCTGTTTGCACACACAGTAAAGTATACCTTAACGTTGTTACAATTAACTGTGTAACTTTTCATGATTACTTGAATATCACTTAAATGTTTGGCAACGGAAATGGTGAAAAACTTAACTGAACATTAACAAGGTTTTATAGTTAATCAATAACCTGAAAATGGCTATACTCAGTGATGTGATATTGTTGGAGTTCATTTGAAATTATTTATAGCCATTTATAGTCATCTAAATAAACATCTTAATATGGTTATTATAATTTGAAATGGGAAAGGTTTAAAAAATTAATTTCAAAATGGCTTACAATTGTTAGAGAAATTGAATTTAGCGGTAAAAATGAAACTAATCTTTTATCCCTTTCCTTGCGGCGCGCTTATCAACAAATTAAATCCTTTGTCTTTTTATTAACTGTTTGTGTTTTAATTTGTTTTGCTAATAATCGTTTGTTTAATGGTCTTATAAATGTGTGAACAAGTTAAAACTGCTTTTTGTGTTAATATCATGAAATAGTGAAGCTAGTTTTGTAACCTGAAATTAACCTGAAACCTTTACCTGATCGAAAACCCAAGAAAATGCTGTTTGCTTATTATGGCTTAGTAATTGAATCTCTCTTTTAGGATTGGTATCATCAATTTATAATTTGATTGGTTCATCTATTTTTCATGGACTCATAATATCAGCGATTGGAAAAGTTGGTGAGTCTTATGGAGTGTTCAGCAGGTGATAAAAAACCTTCTATTATTAATATATTATAGTTTGTTTGAGAAAAAGCTATACACCTAATTTTCAAGCTTTCTCAAAGGTAGGCTGTTTTGTTTTTCATGGTATCTTTAATTCAATTTTTCTACATTTTCAGAATATTTTTATCGATTGACGACGAAAAATTACTGGTTTGCTCAGAGGGTATTGGAAGAAATTTTGTTTCATGTGATTTTGATTATATACCAATAATTTCTAAACAGTTCATTCCAATCTAAGTTTATTCAATTGATGAAAGTGTCCATGTGAACAATTTTTGGATGAAAAGAATCATTTAAACTGTACAGTATCACATCCATGCTTTAACTCAGGAAGATGACTGAAATATCAAGCTGTGGTCAAATTGAAGCAAGAACCTTTTCTAATGTGCTGTGAAATCTACTCTAGATTCTGAACCTTGATTGAGAAGTTTGGTCCATCAAAGAGATTGAAAAGATCCGAATTACGTAAAAGAATGCTTAGCTTCTTGGAAATACTCTATCAAAATTGAAAATCTGTCTTGAGTTTAAAATGCTCTTCGCTGTGTGATGTTTATTGAATAATTTTATTAGAATATTTCCATGGAAAATCAATGATTATGAATGACTTGTAGGATTCAATGACGCAGTGATTAATTAAATCATAACTTGGTTTGATTTTGTTTAGCCGAACTGATCAAGTGAATTACTTGGGCAAATAATGTGGTTACCCAATTAATTGACAAAAAAAGGATGAAATCATTGATGGTTGAACAAGTTATTACATTATGTTTCATCACAATAATAATCTCTCCTTGCCTCTCTTATTGATAGTTATTGATTTACTTAAACCTTTCTCTATTTTTTTCTCCCTGTTTATTCCAGATGAAAAGATTTTGGATATCAATTGATGGTCAAGCAGAATAGTATCATTACCATCATTATGACCTAACTCACTGGCATTGAGTGAAAACCATTTTTCATTTTGACTTGAGTCCATCAGTCAGGCTTGAAAAAGTTAACAGTCTTATGTGCAAGGAGATTCATTAAGCCAATTTTCGTGAAACCTACAAATTGCTCCCGATTGCTGGAAAATAATTACTCGACTGAATAAGAGTTATTAAATTAACAAGTTAGGCAACGTCGATGAATTGGTGGTTACTGATTTCTTTTGGTATGAAACTGCGTGATGGTAATTTTCATGGCAATTAATATGATGATTAGTAAAAGATACTTGTCAAGGTCCTTACATTTACAGGTTCATTTGTCAATGAATATTCTTCATCTAATTTTCTAGTTTCATCTCAGTTAATTAGATTTCTGTAAAGGCTTTAGAAAAATAGAGAAAAGTTTACACAACATTTGAAGATGATCAGCTTTAATAGAGACTAATTTAACATTAATTGACCAACTTATATTTGATGAGCTGCTAATTGTCTTATAATGAATTTCCCGAATTACTAACTCAGCCTGGATTTAATGAAGCAACTTTTCTCTATTATCAAACAATCAAATGTAAGCCACCAATAAGTAAACTCATAAATTATGATCTTCCACTGATTGATATTTTTCTAACTTTTCACAGAAAATCGAATCAAAAGAATCAAAAATTGCCTATGATTGGAAGGATGAAAATAAATAATGCTAATAACAATCGATACTGACCAGGAATTTCTTATAAAATCCAAAAAAGTATCTTCTCAAAATAAAGTGGAAGTCAAGTGAACTGAACAGGCAATTTGCTTCATCTCATGGAAAATTTTCAAAATATTTCAAATTTTTCATCACAATTTCCAACCCAAAAGTCCAGCAATCTTGGATAGTTTCCTTCAAATGACCCAGATTCAGCAATTAATGTAAAGATTTTGCTGAAAAAGTTGCATTCATCAACAAATGTAATATATTTTTCATGGTTTCAAACACAACTTCATTTCAACTATAAATCATATCCACCACAAGCTACACTAAACAATTTAACATTGATAGTAACAAATCATTGTTAGAGATGAGACGAGTAATTAATGATCTTGAAATAGGAAAAGGTTTCATCTCTTAGCTTATCGTCATTATTTCTTCATTTGTACACATTTGCTCGTGTAAATTGAACCTCGATAGGATTGTTTTAACCCTCCAATGAAAATATTAATATCTTTTCGTAATGATGCTTCAGGTTTATTAGAAATGATTGTTTAGCTTAATAATATAATCATTGGAATAATTTGTAAATTATTAGCAAAAAATGTTAACCATCAATTGTTGAAAAATATTTGATAATATCATAATTTTAATGAGATTCAGTTTCACCTCCAACTTATTCAATTGAATCCATTTTTCCTGCTTTTTTCATTTTGTTTCCATCTCTTATTGTAATATAAAATATACTTTTTCCCTTCCTATTAAATTGAACCCATCAAAAGGAAAGTGAAAAATGTTGAAAATGATAATAAAAGCATCCAAATCTTATAAATAATTCAGCAGAATGAGATTAAACTGTTGAAAAATGTCCCAATTAATTGGCTCATGTTTGTAAACTGAAAAGATTTACCTTTTATAACATTATCATCATTTTTAATATCACATTAATCCAGACAAATTCATCCATTAATTTTGTATGTACATTTGCAAGTACATTTAGCAATCTGTTTCCACTGGATTGTCACAATTTAAATTTGAAATTAACCTTTTTATTATTGTAATAAAGTACAATTTTGTTGACCAAAAAATCTGTTGAAACATGAAAGTATTCATCTGACAATTTCAATCGATATTTACTATTAATTGTTCAATTGATCAACCAACTGAGGATAATGAGTCTTAAATCAGTTGACCATTGAATTATAATGGTTACCATTAAATCAATAAACATTAATTTTCTGATAAATGTTTACCAATCTTGCAATGAGCAAATTAAAAGTGACATTCAATGAAACAATTGTTTCTATCATTGACTGATTTCAATTAACGTTAACTGATTGATTTGGCAAACTTTTCAATCAGTAAATTTGATTAAACTAATTGTAATCACTATTTGTTGTGCTCAACGTTTCATGATTATCTCAACATTCAACTGAATCTTGAAGTTAATCAAAGGTGAATACAAAAGCAGCTTCCTGAGCCAGGAAATGAATTGAATTGTAACTAGATTATAATCATGATTATTATTAATCAGGTAATCATTATACTGGAAGGAATAATGGAAAGAAGCAGAAAAAATCAATTTCAATTAATAACCAGATTTTGTCTAAAATTATTTTCAGTGTTTACTGGTTAAACTGGTTTCAATTTTCATCCTTTTTAATAGCAACCATTTTTTGTATCAAATTTTCATCAAATTAATCGGATTAATCATGGGATTTGGATTTAATTAATGTTGGTGAATCAGTGATTCAATATCAACTTGCCTTTGAAATTGTTTGCGAATGAACATTTGTCTGGTTTTATGATACAACTTGATGAGACTGATTGATTTGTGATTCAAACTGTTGATTTATTTTGGGTTTTTGGCGATTAAATGTAATGTAATGATTATTTGATTGAAGGTTTTGTTTGGATCTCGTAAAAACAAAATAGAATCACATTTTTGAAGATATTTTTATGTCAACATTTACAAAACTAATAAAAAATGGGTTTTCATTTGGTTTTTAGCCTTCATTTGAAGATCAAGAAACATACTGGGAAATGATTACAATTATAAATACAATTAATAGGATCAAAGTGAATCCAACAGCAACAAGAATTAAAAGCATTACAGGTTAAATTGTTGAAAAATTAGGTTCACAGCAAATAAACAATAAAAGATGAAACTAGCTGAATTAGCTTTTGATGGGAAGGTGAAAGTTGATTAAACAGTTGATTGACTATTTGAATATGAGCAGGGAAATGGCTGAATTTGATTTTGTACACATGAATGAATGGAAGAGTTAAGAGTTAAGATGATTGAAGATGAAAGGAATGAGTAAAGAGGATTTACTGGAATAGCAATAAACTGTTAAAGTAGCTTGATAAACGCATAAGAGATTCACAGGGAACACAAGTTGACAGTAAGAGAGACTGATAGACAAAGAGATAGCTAGAGAGATCGATTCAGAACGATGATGATGATGATGAAAAAGGAGGAGGATGAAGATACTCCTGAGCATCGATTGTAACCAAAAAGATGTTACAATTTGTGAATGGATGGAGGGTGATGAGGATGAAAAAGATGCTGGAATGATGAGTAAAATGTTAACTTGGATTATTGGATGGGATTGAGGAGGATGATGATGATTGGGGTGAGGAATGGTGGAGATGATGAAAGTGAGGAATGATGAGAATGAGGAGTGAAAAAAAGAATCGATTTGTAAAAGGTAAAAGAATGGAGATGAACAAAAGTGAATCTGGAAAAAAAGTGAAATGATAAAAGTTAATACGATTCATTGATTTTGACACATTTTATTGTCTCTGTACATTTGATGGTTACTATTGACTATACTTTTCAAATGTTGAAAAAACTGCAATTTGATTTGGAAAGCTTTTTGTTTTACCTTTTTTAATTAAAGCTTCAAGGCTTGGCTTGATGTAGAGTCAGTGAAATTTTAAGATATTCAATGAATTTGGATATATTTTCATTTAATTTACATGGAATTTTTGGAGCTGAGATTGGATAATTTGTTTTAGCTTATAATAAGTGCTCAATTAGGATCATAAGTAATGGTTATATTGAGTTAAGTTTAAACTTGAAAGGTTGAGATGTTTCAATGGTTCTACTTTTAGATGTAACTTTAATTGATTAATGATATCTTCAGTCAATCATTTGCTAGACAAGCCTCAGAGAGTAAAAATCATGCTCATTTCACCGTGAATCACATGTTTATTGGTGAGTCTCCATTGGAATTGAATGTTGAATAAAATGATTGTAAACAAGAGGAAAAAAGGGAGTCTTAATGAATGCTGGGAAGACATTTGAAATTGTAATGTTTTCAGATAAAGTATCATGTTAACAGTAGATTTACTGATTAATTAAATGACTTTATTTAATGTGGGAAGGGTGAAGGGAAAGGAAGAAGATTAAGTGTAAAGATGGAGAGAGGATAAAATGTTACTGTTATTGATGTTACCAGGGAGTGGGAATGGTTAAAATGTTAATGTTTCAGGTTGGAAATTTGAAGTCGTAATTTTGACTTACCTGTAAGATCTGGTCCTTTTTTGATTAGTTCAGACACAATTTGGCTAGTTTGAGAATAAAATATATAACACAATAATAGTAATTTTATCAAAATTGGCTGGAAGTTAATTGTTGATCGTCTTCGGACAACTTGTTTTACAATCATTATAAGCAGGCAACAACTCTGACCATCATTGTTCAAAATAGAAACCTCTAAATTAAAAACTCTAAGCAGCACACTAATTTAACAAGTTGATTCGGTAGCAGGAATCAAAAGGCAGGATTAATTGCATGGACATTTAGTTACAATTTAGCAGATTAGTTGGTTTGTTTATCAACGCATCTTTTATTTCCCTGTTTCTGTGAAGTTATCATTTTTCAACCAAACACTCGATTCCCTTTTACAGCTACCATCTATCAACAGTAATATTAACTAATTTACTCGATATTTTCCAGCGCCTTGAAAACACTCATCGAAAACTTCCAACAGAAAAGCTTGACATTGTATAATTAAATGCGCAACTGATTTTTTGAGGTTGAATTTCAATTTGTGTTTGTCAAGGGATTGTAGTTCTAACTAACCTTACTGACTCAATTGATAAATATTTCATCTTTATAAAGAAACAAGTTAATATTTCTGTCCATGAGGATAATCATGTACAACCTTAAAAAATTTTATATTCTGTTATGATACTTAAATAACCAGTATTTATCCAAGAATGAAATGGTTTTAACCTAAAAACGAAGCACTTTCTACAGATTCATAATGAAAATTCACTAATCTCATTCAGAATGATATTTTAATTACAATAATGGTTGATGATAAAATTCCATAGCTCGCCATATTCCTCCAACCAGATATAAGAGGTTCGTTTCTGCCCGGGTTGAAAATTTAGCATTATTCTTGAAGGGCCATGCACTTTGCCCATGTTATGACTTTGCAGTGGCTAACTACTAGTTTCTTGGTGTGTTGAAACCTAGGTTGAAAGTATTTACTAGAGATAAATAGTGTAAGTTTCTTATAATAAATCTCGTATGGATATTGAAAGATGTTGGAAGAGACTCAAAAGATTCAATAAAAATACCATAATTACTCTAATTGGAAACGACAAATAACATTTCATGGAAATGATCAAAACATTTAAAGCAACCATCAGAAAACAATGAGGATCTTATAGATTTCAGATAAATTCATAAATAGATTGATTGTTATAACATAGAATGTCCACACTATGGTCATGATGATATTCAGTAAGTTGTTTATGTTAGTATGAATATGATTCAAGGTGAGCGATACGAAAACATTTAAAGAATCACAATAGTTAATAGATCAGAGCAACCGAGATTTCGATCAAGATTTCACTCTTGTGCTGAATCAATCATTACAAGATTTGACTTAAATATTGGAAAAAATATAAAAAAGCTTTTACTGTATTCGCGTGTATAATTTCAATGGAAATAGAGCTAGACATGTAAGAATCATAATGTTCCATTTTAAATTCTTTATTCGGAATAAACAAAATAATCATAAATTTCTGACCAAGGAATTGCTAGAATAGCAGTAAGTTTTTAACAAAATAGTGAACGTTTTTTAACGAAATAATTGAATATTGATACTATGAGTGTAATCAGATCTTTGATGAACATAGGATGATAATATATAAATGTAATTAAACTGAATTTATGGCCATTGCATGGCATTTATGAGCAAATTTGACTTTTTATGTATAATTTCTGTTGTAAATTCTTTCCATGAAATCTCCATCTAACACCCCAGATAGTCTATTCAATGTATTAGATGGGCGAGAAGTTGATGAAAGAGGACTAGACTTAGGACTAGGAATTGATTGGGCAGATTGGTTATCCTCTCCAACAGACCTTGATTGGTTAACCATGGCCATCGAAAGGTCTCCGATAGTGTCGGAATTTGAACATGTTTCATCCTTGTTTCTTTCGATAGCTTTCTTGTGTTGGGTAGCTATTGATGGCTGCTTATTTAAAAAGGAATGCATGAACATAGCTTGTTTGATTGGCTCATTTGATTTTCGTTTTCCGCTGAAATACTCTCTTCCCATTTGGTTGATTGGTTTACGAACCAAAACTTCCCAGCCATTTGGTGAGATGAAAATCTTGTCGATGAGTGAAAAAAAGGTTCTCAGTTTACTCTCTTCCTCCATTGGCAAAATAGGTCTTTTATCATGGCCATGCTTCTTTACAGAGCAGCCATTCACTCCAACCAAATAGTTCTTTATGCATTCAACACCTAATATTTCAACGGCAATGGTATTAACAATCTTAGAAATGTTGATGGGTCCTTTAGTTAATATGAAGTCAATTTTTGCTTTTTTCTCGTCATTGAGTCCGTCCATCTTATATGCTGAGAAGCAAGCTCGCCACTATATAATGAAAATGAAATATTACTAATGGGAAATTGCCATGGCCATAATAAACTTACCTCAAAGTTATTTCTCAAATGAGAAATTTTTGTCTTAGCAAAATTAACATAGTCTTGGTCAGTTCGTAAGCTCCACTCTTCTGGAAATTTATCACTTGTATATATTTGATTTTGTTTGGAACCGATACCAAGTACTTTTTCGATCTCATCCAATCGTCCGGAAAAACTACGAATCATGAATTCCATATTTGTTTGTCTCTGATCTATTAATGCCAACCGGCTTTCCAACTGGTTCTCATCTTGAACAGCTGCCCCTAACAAAAGAAAAAATATTAGTACTTTTTGATGAAATTATTGAGTCAGTAACTTACCTTGGATAGAATTGAACCCAAATATTTCAGCATCACCAGGTAAACTCATTTTATCAAAAAAAATAATTGTATAATAAGATATAATACTTTAAAACACTATTTAATTCGCTTTAACTCTAACACATGTTGAAAAGCTTCCACGCTTGGGGACTTTGTTATAATTGCAAAGTGTTAGCAATTTGCCGGCGGATCACAGTCTTCAACATCATTTTGATCACTATGGCCATGCTGAGTACTTTGATCAGAATTTATCTCATCATCATGTATTAATTTTTCTGGTTGAGAAGGTCCAGCTTTCATTCTTTTAGCTTCTTCATTATCATCAGTTTCTGATTCGTTTCTTCTCTTTTTATTTCTGACTCTTGTCACTTCTCGACCAGATTGATTTATTGGTCCTCTGACTAGTAGATCCCAGCCAGGTTGTTCAGTAAATAAATCTGTATCGAAATTTTTCAACAAATCTAAATGAATAGATCCAAGATTCGATTAATTAAATTAAAGTGTGTGGCCATATCAAGGACTTGTCATGTTTTTACCTCTTAAAATATCTTCCATTGATTCAGGTATTACTAGTGAACGCTCACCATCTCTGGCAACACGCTTAGATTTACCATTTTCTCCCAGCAAATGAGTTTTCAATAAATCCCCATATATTACTTTAGCTAAGCTAATGGCCATTTTTGATGGAAATTTATTGCCAGAGAGCATGATTTTCTTCACTGATTTTATTTGTTCACTCGTCAGATCCTCGACAGACATAGTTTTAATTCTTTGTCTCCACTGATTACATTAGACATAAAATATTAGAAAGATCAAAATAAACTCATCGATAAACATACCTTAGGATTAGTTCTACAATTTTGCATGGCTTGCATTGCCATATCAGTTATTGATAAGTTAGTATCTTGAATCTTAGCATGGCCATCACAAGATCTTTCCTCTAGATTATCAATCCGTTTAAGAATTTCACTCAGCATGACTTCTAACTTGTTACTAGAAAGTTCAATTGCTCTTCTTAATGAGTTGAATCCACTTGTAATTTCACTGCTATCACATGTAAGCTGTAATGACCTATTTGCACGGTCATTTCTCGAGCTATTAAGACCCTTTAGCTCACGATTTCCCCGTTGGTTAACTTCCTTGGGTCTTGATAAGATCATAGCACCGTTCGATAACGTACGAAACTTTATTTTACAAGAAGCAAGTGTAGAATAAAACACAATTTTGTATTGAATGGCAGGGTCATCCGGGTCATTGAAAATTTTATCACCAGAACAAATGGCATCACTAAGATCTATACGAGACCTTGAGAAGAACTTTGCCGCAATGATCTTGTAATGATCTTCATCATCGACGCGTTGAGCCACAACATGGCCAGCTTTAACACCACACAAAAAAAACAGAAATTAACATCAAAAATGAATAAATAATCGATCCTTACCTTCGATGTCAACAGTAAAATCAGATTCAGCTGTTTTAGCAGTACTGCTAGCCATTGTTAAGGTTATGTGACTAGTTAACTGTATTGTATTCCCCTTATATACTTTGTAAAAAAAAACTCTTTGAAAAATCAACTATAAATCAAGTTATGTATGGTCATTCTTATCATCGTAAAAGTAATCTTGCAAGATCTTGTGAATTTTTTTTGAGTGACATTGACGATGACATTTACACAACCAATGGTAACTTGGATGCAGATAATGATGAAGATCAAGGTGACTCTTTCAATGACTTTAATATGGCCATGGATGATAATCAACATTTTCAGTTCAACGAAGACTCTTCCAATGACAATTTACCACCATCACATCCTAATTCAATAACAACTGACTTATCCTTTTTATTTGAGATTGCAAGTATCTTCAATGAGACAAATTTAAACGACTCTACCCAAAAAAAAATTTATTCATTAATGGAGAAGATCTCAAGTAAGAAAGTATTTCTACCATCATACAACATATTTAAAAGACAAACGCTAACCAATGAGACAATTGGGTCAAAAGAATACTTTTTGTGTCTTTCTCAGCATAAACTCATTGATAAAGGGATATCATGCTGTTCTAAAGATGTAGGAAAGTTCATTAGATTTGATTTGAAAGCATCAATTGAATTTGTTGTTAAAAACAATGTGGAGTATCTATGGCCATATCAAAGATCCAGCAAGGATATAATAGGAGATTTCATTGACAGCAAAGAGTATAAGAGAATTTGGTTAGATAATGACAATTCAGACGGACTTAACCTCACATTGATGCTTAATATAGATGATGCTGCAATGGTGAAGTCAAGTAAAACGACTGTTACTCCAATTTCATATGTAGTCGCTGAACTTCCACCGCATCGAAGATATGTTACTGATAATGTATTAATTGCTGGTATCTGGTGGGGCCCATGCAAAGTTAATCATGATGAACTATGGAAAAAAGCGCTTTTAGATGAATTGAATCTTTTTGAAGATGGTACAAGTATTTTGGTAGCGGATGAAATGATACGACTAAGAATCAAAATTGGATTGATAAGTATGGATTCAGTCGCGAAACCAAAATCTATGAATATTGTACAATTTAATGGTTATTATGGCTGCCCGTACTGCTCAGTTCCTGGCAAGTCCATGGCAACAAATAGAGGAGGCAATGTCATGGTTTATCCATTCAATGTCACATGTTCATATGATATAAAAGACCATGACTTCTATGTTAATAATGCAAGAAAGGCAGATGAAGCCCACAATGGTCCAGTCATGGGAATAAAAGGTTCATCAGTGCTTACAAACTACATACGATTTCCGAATCAAGTACCCATTGATTATATGCATTGTTGGTTGGAAGGGGTTTTCAAAACAACGATGTCAATGAAACCCTTCACTGAGAGCCATTTCCTTCAACAAATGGATAATCTTGTGGCCGCAATCAAATTTCCACATGAATTTTCAAGAAAATTTCGAAAATTATCCGAATTATCATACTGGAAGGCCCACGAATGCAAAACATTTATATGTTATTTGCTGCCTCTGCTGAAAAAACATTTGGAACCAGCCTATTTCATTCTTTTAATGGCCATGACATTCTCATTGCGGTTACTTATTATGGATATAATTCCATTAGAGAATATATACAAGGCAGAAGAATTGATTCGTCTTTTCTTGATATGTTATCAATCTAAATACGGTGAGCGTGAAATGAAATTCAACTTTCATTTATTAACTCACATACCTGATCAAGTTAGAGAGCAAGGCAGTCTTGTTCACAGTTCTGCTTTTGTTTTCGAAAACAATATTTTCAGATTGAAAACCTCATTTCATGGTAGCAGAGGTCAAGTGAAGCAGATGGCAAGGAATTATGCAACCAGAAAGTCTATGTGTCTTCTAACAAGACTTTCCGATCTCAATTCGAGAATCAATCATTTGATTTCTATTCCAAGTACATTGATAGGAGATCCATTGAACGACCATGCCATGGATAATCGTTTGAATCGTAAACTGATATCTAGATACGGCCAGCAACAAGCTGAAATTTATGAATTTTATAGCCGCGCTAAAAAAGGGAAAACGATTTACCACTCTCTTCAATACACATATCGACGAGATTGCAGAAGCTACTACTTCTGTCACAAAAATAGCTCAGGCTCATTCAGCTATGGACAGATTCTTTCTTTTATTAAAGTACCAGCTGAAGTTACACACCATGGCCATGTTGAGATTCTAGTTTGTTTTAATCCAATGACTGTAATAGATCATTCTGGTCTATTCAGCGGTCTCAGTTCTGTGAGATCAAGTCATTTCAAATCCATTATTAATATAGCGAAAGATATTCCTCTATTCAACAAGCTAAAACTCACTGACAAAATTGAACTGGTGACGCTCGCTTCAGTACATTCAAAGGCCATAGTATATAATGAGTCAAACGACAGTAATATCTTTTGGGGAACAGCACTTGATTCTGCGTATGAACATGACTAAATTTATCATGGTATTACCGTAACTTTGACAAGATTAAAATTAATAAAATGTTAGAAAAATTAATCATAAATCATATCATGTCCATGTGTAATTAATTTCCATGTAAGTCAAACCCATGTATCTGGTCATTTACAAGGAAAAACATTTGTATTTAAAAACTACTATGGCCACACAAATACTATTAAAAAATCTTAGATAGTTTCTTTAGTGGCCAAATTCATATTTTCAGCGCCATAATTTTGCATGGTAATTGTATCATTCTTATATGGCATGGGCCTACTTATATTCATCAAGTTAACTTAAATGATACTGCTCTAAGTATGGCCATTGAAATGACATCCATACTGTTTCAACCCGGGTGTGTATGTCTGAGGTGTTCAAACACACGGATTACAGTTGGAAGCGGCGAATGATAAGTGAAAGCAACATCAATAAAAAATTAGATCGATGTTTTAAACTTTAGCCTGTGACCGTTTCAATAAATCCCACACTTTCATTATTAAGCCAAAAATCGTCAGATATGCATCTTTATAAGACAGTTTCAACTCTGAATTGGATCATGATTAAAATTATCTAAATGCTATTAAGTTTTCTTGATCTTTGATTGAATTTTCCTTATAATAAATTACTCGATGTCCATTGTGAAGGAAAAGGATTTTTTGGGCCAGTCCATTCTTCTTATTCAAACGGTTTTCCTCTTTAGGATCGGGACAGGACATTTGCTAAAGATATTAATTGTTCTTAGCTTATTATCAGTTTGACGCGATATAATTATTCCTAAATCCAGTTGATAAATCCCTTGATTGTCAATAACTAAACAATTTATTCCCAGTGATGCTTGGATCTTTATACATTATTGTTTATTTAGATATTATTATTTAATTTTATTACACTTGTTACTTTTGTTTACAAGCATAATATGGTTAGCACACAGTTTATTTTATTTGATTGGGATTTTGAACAGAGAAAAAGTAAAATTAATGAAAATAAATGAACACAAAAGTGTAGTTTCTGCACAAAAATGAGCCACAAAAAAGTTAATTACAAGCTGATTAAATGTTCCATTTAACACATTGACATCCTTATTAGAAGGCTTTTCAAAATGCATTCCCATCTATACACATAAATTATGTATTATTTTAATAAAACCAACAACAATAATTTTGTGATTGTAAAAATGTTTGTCAAAAGTAATCAATTCAAAAGGTCTCTTTGTAAGTATTATTATTATTATTTGATTTGGTCTTGTTAAACGAGAAGGAAAACAATTATTTGTTCTAGAAAATTGTGATTCACATTCTTGTATGTTTTTAGGATTATTTATCAGATAACCATCATGCTCATCTGATGATCCTCTGAATCGATTATTGGTTATTGTTATCATACAAGTTATCGTCATGATAATCATGAAAATTAATAGAAAAGCCAAAATTAAAACGAAACAACAAAAAAAGGAACCAAAATAAGGTTTTGTTTTCCCAATGATATGGAGCCAATTTAGATGACTAATTAAATATAAAAATCTGCATATACTTTTAAATATATATTAGATGTAAGTATTTATATATTTAGGTGTATATTTGTGATTGAACAGATTCCTGATTTGCAACTGGCTGGGGCAATCAAATGAAAGGTGAACAATTAAGAAACTAATATTTATATTATTGGGAAATGACGAACAGAAAACGTCTTCACAATCAGCTTCTTCTCCCGGCTCCAGTTGGTTGATTCAGTTGATTGCTCAAAGTATCCATTATTTACGAAGCAAATCAAGAGCAGAAATAGTCAACAATTTGGTTTTGTAAATGGCAGTTTAATTGATTTCTTTATGTTTGCTTTTATTGTGTTGTATTTTTTTGTTTAACAGGTAAGGCGATTATTATCTTTCTAGGTTGGTTTTTGCCCAATCTATTGATTTTGCTTTAGTTTGGTAATGTTTCAATGATTTGAGTTAACGGTGATGAGTATGATTAACATGGTGACAATAAAAACCGCCAAACCCGCTGGCTAATTTAACATCAAGTTTCTTTTTTTTTCTTTAATCAATTGGAATTTTCTTGGTACTCGGAAGACCAGAGCCAATTCGCTCTATTTTGATGAAAGCGATGGAACCATGGATGAAATTAAATAATGATGCATTTGTATGATGGCGGTGATGATGATGATGTTAACTTTCATTGCAATTGTTTCCACAGGATAAAAAGTGTATAAGAGCATTTCAAGATTAATCAAATAAAGATTTGATTTTAAAGGAAAAATACCGAAAATGTTCAATGCACAAAATCATCTAGCTTTTTGAGTTTTACTTCTGATTGTATCCAAATCTGGCCAGCTTTCGTTGATTCTTGAGTGATTCCTGCACATCCAAACAGATTAATAGATTTGCTGACTAAACAAATTATAATTTTCATATATTTTATTCAGTCTTCACTGATATGTTTGTCATTTCATCAAGAAACAAGCAACGAGCAATTTAACACGGACAAGTTTTGGTTTGATTATTTGCTTGCAATCTTCACTTGGTTAGGTCTTTTCAAATGAGTTTTGTTAAGCTTGTTATTTTCACCTAAAATTGTTGACAGACACATTTAAGGATCTGTCATCTAAAAAGTATCAATCATAATCCAATTGACAGGTTCATTGGATTTTGGTCAATTAATCGAAGCAAAGGGCTAATTGTTTAAAGTTTGGTTAACTTTTGTTTTGCATTGGAATGTGCTCTGTTGATCAATGTGAATGATTAATTTTCTTGTGTGAATGAATGTGTATTGTGTATGTTTTGGGTGCCTTCCATGCATCAAGTTGATGATAGTGATGGTGTCAATCACGAAAAAATTAATGATGATAAACAGTTTAGTGATTCGCTTGGTGGTGACCAAAAGTTGCTTTTGAGATGAATAATGTAAAATGATGACTAGATGAGGTGAAGGTGAAGATGATTGAACAATGGTCACACAGTCAACCAGAAAGACAAGGATATAGATGAGGAGATCAAAAGGTTGACCAAAAGCCAAAATTGGCAGGCAAAATCAAGAATCAACCAGCCAATTGACAATCAACCATAAATCGTAAATTGAACTTGATTCTCCCCATAGTTGAAATTTTCGAGACCGCCAGGGTTTCTATAATTAGTTAACTCTAATTTCAATTTGTAGTTAAAAAAAACTAGAAAAAAAGCTAGCAGGACCAGCCTAAGACGAAAAAAAACAGAACAAAATTAGCGTCGAGATTCAATCAAGTAATAAAAAATCAATTCACATTCAAAATGGAAATATGAAGAGTGAAGAGAGAAAGTTATTATAGTCAGATTATTTATTCCCATCTTAATCAGACATCTTCATAGTTTCATCATTTTGATGTTAAATCTTCTCTGTTTAAATTGGACAAAAATTCACCTGTTGACCAGCTTTAGAAGGATCGCCACCATGTCCTTGACCTTCTCCTGGTGGTCCAGGCGGACGCCGTTGTTGAACAGCACTTTGAGTTGTCTTCAGAGCACTAAGGAAACGAATTGAGTGGAAAAATTAAAATGCTGATTGAAATAGTTTAACAAATTTATAAATGAAATAAAGTTATTACGTTTGTAAATCTTGAACTTGTTTGTTAAGAGCAAACTTTTCTTCCTCGGAAGCTTTCATAATTTGTAATAATCTTTCAAGTTCAGTTTGAGTTTGATTGGCTTCTTCTTTGGTCTTTTTCAGTTCATTTAATAATTTAGACTTTTCAGATTCAATGGCTTCCATTTTCTTTTTCATTTCAGCTAACATCTTGTCATTATTAGCTTGAGCAGCGTTAGCTTGTTGGCCTTGTTGCTGTTGTTGTTGAGCTGATTGTTTCATTGCGACTTCAAGCTGTTTCTCCATTTGATCGAGTTCAGCTTTTCTTTTAGACAGTTTTTGTTCCATCTCTTGTAAGCCTCGAGCTCGTTCATCCAACGATTTTTTCATTGCGGCCAGTTCGGTACTTTGTTGTTGTAATTGTTGCTGTTGCTGTTGTTGTTGGGCAGTTAATTGTTGCATTCCTTTTTGTTGTTGTTGCTTTGCCTGTTGTAAGCCTCTCTGTTTGAAAATAAATAAAAATATTAGTTAATGATAAATTTGAGAAAAGTATTTTAGCGATTTTACCTCTTTGGCTTCCAACTCGTTGATTAATTTCTCGAGCTGATCTTGTAAGCGATCTCTTTCTTGCTTGAATGTCTTCATTTCTTCTTGCGCTCGGTCTAATTGTTTCCTTAATTGGGTAGCTTCTTGCATCCATTTCTGTGTTTCATTTCGTTGTCTCTCTAATTCACCTTTTAATTTATTCACTTCTTCCCCAATCTTCGGATCTGGTCCTTTGCTGTTGGCAGCAGCAACCGCTGCATTTGCAGACTGTAATTGTTGATGCGATTGTTGAAGTTGACCAATCAATTTGGAATTTTCATTCTTCAATAGTCTCGACTGTTCAGATAATTTATTAATCTCCTGTTTTGATAGATCGACTTGCTTTTGGAAAGCTGTTATTGCTTCCAATGATTTTTCCAGTTTACTTCGCAATTCTTTATTCTCAGTCTCATATTTCCTGCATGAGGCTTCCATTTTTTTCATCTCTGCTTGTAAACCAGCAATTTGACTGTTATATCGATCAACCTCAGCCTTTGGTAAACCAGAAGGAGTGCCTTTTTCCTTTTCTAATGACTCATAGGCATCAGCAAGCTCTTGTAATTCAATATGAAGTGAATCTCTTTCCTTCATTACAGCAGCTAATGAAGCTTCAGATTTCTCAAGTTGATCCTTTAATTTTTTAAATTCACTTTGCATTCGAACTTCTTGACCTTCTGATATCTTTTGAATGTATCCTTCAGCATCATCTAAATCTTGGCGAAGTCTTTCTACTTCCATCTTGAGACGATTATTCTCTGCTAGAGTTCGCTGTAAATCATCTTCTGATTTAGATAAAAGTTGTTTTAATCTGGAAACTTCGGCAGTTCCAACTTCAACTTGCTGTTGGTTTGCTTGTTGTTGATTTGTTTTTGTTTGCTGTTGGTTCGATGCTAAAGTTGACTTAGCTGTAGCTAAAGCATTTTGTAAAGATTTGACTTGTTCCGTTAAACTGTCTCTTTCCCGTTGTACTTTAGTTAATTCGGCTTGGTTACGTTCCATTTTATCACGAATCTTTTCGAATTCGATGATTGCTCTTTCAATTTCTTGTTTTTGTTTTGTTTCGGCAGCTTTGTATTTTTCGAGTCTAGAGCGCGCATTATCAAGCTCCTTTTGTAGCATTTCAATATCAATTTTATGCTTTTCTCTAAGCTCATTGAGCTGTTGCATTGTCTCACTTTTGGCTGTTGATCCGGCTGTTGACGAACTTGCTGCTTGAGCTGTAGTTCGTTCTCTTAATTGTTTCAAATCCAATTTTAGATTATCAATTTCTCTTAAACAACAATCACGTTCTTTTTGAACAGATTCAACTTCAGCTTGAGCCCGTTGAATGTCAATCATCATTTTCTCCTTTTCATTATTGCTACGATCCAAATCTGCTTTACATTTTTCATATTTATCTCGGATTCGGTCAAGTTCAACACTAATACGATCAAACTCGTATTGAAACTTTTCATGAGCTGATTGGTATTTACTGGTCTGACTTTGATACCTTTCAAGATCAGCTGCAAGACGCTCTTTCTCTGCTAAAATGTTGTCCTTTTCAGCTTGAGCTTTCCTTAAATCGGCTTGTGCCCGCTCAATTTTTTCATAAGCCTTTTCTGTTTCAACTTGAAGACGAACTATTTCCTCTTGATGCTTTTCATGAGTGGTTTGAGTTTTACCAACTTGTGTTTGAATTCGGTTCATTTCCAGAGCCATCCTGTCAGCTTCGGTTACTGCTTTATCACGTTCCAAAGTCAATTTACGAACCTGTTCTTGAGATTTATCATATCTCTCTCTTAAAACTTCCAAGTCAGCGGTCAATTTTTCCACTTCAGTCTTTAACTTTTCTTCCATTTCTTTACTTCTCATGAGTTGACTATTAGTTCTTGCATATATTTCCTGGAGACCTTCAAATTCATTTTGAGCTTTCTTGTGTTCCTCTTTAACGGTACTTGCTGCTGCTTTTGCCTTGTCACATTCAATTGTTAATCGGCTAACTTCTGATTGGGATTGGTCCAAACGAGCTTGTAATTTGATAACTTCTCCTTGAGCTTTCTCAATTTTTTCCATCATCATTTCATGTTCAACTTTACCGATCTCTTTATCTTCTTGGGCCTTCTGTAGTTGAGTTGACAGTTTCTCCATCTTTTCACGAAGAAGAGTAACTTCAGTTTCAACTGTTTGATGCTCACGTTGATATCTTTCCACCTGGTGCTGAGCCTTTTCGAGTCTCTCCCGTGTTAATTCAACCTCACGTTGAGCTGATTCTTTTTCTTTCTGGTAGCGAGTTAATTGTGATTGAAGTGAATCAAATTTCTCTTTCAATATTTCCCACTCCTGGATCGCTTGTTCTTTTTCCTTCAAATATCGATTCATTTGACTTGTAGTACGATCATATTTTTCTTTCAATTTTTCGAGTTCAACCATAGATGTTTCTCTTTCCAATTGAAGTTTCTGTAACTTATTATCGACGTCACCATAATGTAACCTCAAGGATTCAACTTCACTTTGATATCTATCACGATCACTGGTTAATCGACGAAGTTCATTATTAACCTTGTCATACTTTTCTTGCAACCGATCATATTCAGCTTGACTTTTATCCAATGAAGCTTGTGCTTTCTCATATTGTAATTGAGTCTTTCCTAAAGTTGATTGAATCCTCTCCATGTCACTTCTTACTTTATCAGCCTCCGAATGAGCATTATCTCGTTCAATTTGACATCGAGCAATAAGTGACTGTATCTTTTCATGTTCTTCTTGTATAGATTCTCTTTCTGATTGAGCGTTTTCCAATTTAGCTTTCAATCTGTATATTTCTCCTTGAGATTTTTCCAATTTTTCTTGCAACTGATCCATATCAGCTCGAGATCGATCTTGTTCAGCTTGATTCATTCGAAGCTCGGCTTGAGCTCTTCTTAAATCACTTTTAGTTTTTTCCAATTGCTCAGTTAATTTTTCAATCTCCAGTTCACTAGCTTTGCTCATCCTAAGGGATGTTGTGTCTCGATCTCGATCTCTGTCCCAGTCTCGGTCTCTATCACGATCTCTGTCTCGGTCCCGATCTCTATCACGTTCGCGATCACGATCTCGATCTCGGTCTCTATCTCGTTCTCTTTCACGGTCCCGGTCTCGGTAAGGGCTAAAAATGAGAATTGAAAATTATATGAAAAGTTGAATGAAAAATTATAATTGTAAAAGGTTAATACCTTGAGTATATTGATGAAGAGGTTCGATCTACATCGCGACCAAGTTTTTCAGTTTCTGAACGGAGTCTTTCATTTTCCAAGATGAGTCGAGCATTTTCAGTCCTTGCTCTCTCCCAGTCGCTTGTTTGCCGATACATTTCAGTTTGTAATTTGTCAAGTTCAGCTCTTGCTTTTCCTAGTTCCGACTGTGAAGTCTCCAACTTAATTTCAATTCTATCCTTTTCGGCAGCAGCTTTTTCCAGTCTCACCTTAACAGAGTTCGTGCAATAAAAGATATAAAACATAACAAAGAAAGTTAATCTCTTGTAAATAAAGTATGTTTACCCTTTATAAACCATTAAAGACAGATATTTTTAGCAAATAGATTTACCTGCAGTTTATCCATTTCTGCTTCAATAGCATGCAATTTCATTTTATGTTCAGCAATCTCTCTCTCATGCAATTCCCTTTCCTCGTTCCTTTCCGATTCAGCTCTATCTCGTTGTTCCTTCAATTGTGTTATCTGTTTATCTTTGTCACTAATTGCTTCCTCCAGGCTTGTCAAAGTACCTTCAGACGTTGAATGGTGAGCTTGCATTGATGAAAGACGATTACGAGCAATATCAAGTTGATTATCCTTTTCTTTCAACAGATCTTCCAAATTTTCAATCTGTAAGCAAACAAAGTAGTCAAATTAGTTTAATTAATACACAAAGAAGGATCAATCAATAAACGAAAAAAAAAACCATTTTCTCTATCAATATAAACTTGAATACAATTTTGAAAACATGAAAATGGAATTGTCAAGTTAAAAAATAGTCTTTATTGATTGAGCAAAAAGTTGGGTTATAATTACCTTTCGTAATAATACATTGATTTTACGATCTTTTATATCAAGGTGATCACGAAGCTCTTGAAGTTCTTGATTCAATTTATTACGATCCTGACTAGTTGCCATTGCATGTTGAGTTTTCTTTTCAATTAATTTGTTCTTTTCTTCCAATCTCATTCTTAATTCTTCAACCTGCAGTAAAAATAATGAATAAAAGTTACAATTTGATTTCAACAAGACGAGTCCAGAAAAAAGGCGACAAAAACGGCAAACTATTAATAGATGTTAATCTACTGCATACCGTTAGATGGACACATAAAACCAATTTGGATTGGGTAAAAATGAATAAACAAAGCTAATTGATTAACAAATGTATTAATTAACTTACATCAGATTGAAGCATATTATAATGTTCCTCTTTGGCACATAATGATTCCTTGAGAACAGCAATGTGTCGTTGATAATCTTGATGTTGCTCTTCAAGAGTCTTCATCTTTGCCCCCATCGCCAAGATTTCTTGATCTTTCTTATTCAATTCCATACGCATTTCCTCAATCTATTTCAATTGGAACATGTAAATTGTACAATTTGAATTAATTAAGATATAAAAAAAAGGTAATAAGAAAATAATGACAAAATGAATACAACAAACAATGAAAACTGTTGCCCTTTCAACTCACTATTGATGAAAGCTTTTTCAAGCTTTACACCAAAATCCTAAACCCTTTTATTATTGAGACAAAAGTAATAAATGTTTATAAATAGATGTTATATGATATGTTAATAAACTCTTGCCTATTCATTTTATTACAACCAAACAGTGAACTTCATCTGTATTATTACATATCTAAATTTGGGTCATAACCTGGTAAATTGGTTTTTAACCAACAGCAAAACCAGAAGTCATTACCGTGATTAACTTACAATGGACTGTAACTCGTGGTTGAATCAACCAACAATTTACTATCTATGGATACAATAATGAGTTGCGAGCTATAATATTATGGTTAAAACTTGCATATGAATGGCAACAAAATGAACGTGAGAATAACATTTACAAATGAAATTGTGAATAACATGGAGAAGGGAAAAAAAGAAGTAAAAATATAAATCAGTTTGGATGAAGGGAGTGAAAATGTTCATGTTCAGATAACTTGAAAATACACAGCAAAAGGAAAAGTAAATTACATCCAATTTTAATACATAAATAACCATTTATTGTTAACCCATTTGTTATCAAATTTTGAGCTTATTTCATGTTCATTTTTTGGTGTAAAAATAACCAAAATGTTTTAATTACATGAGCAAGAATTAAACATTTCAATTGAACACTAAAGATGAGATTATCAAGTTGTTTAGTTGATTGAGCAAAGTTGAATATAAAGCATTTCATCTCAAATATTGTACTTGAATTAATGAGGTAAACTTGATTAATGATTACTATTAACATGGTTGTCATAAGATGATCGTTTCTTCAAGAAGTGTCCTTATTTTTGCTGTGTGTTTCATCATGAAAAAGATCAATACATTTTGTGTCTTGTTTTATTCACTGTTGGAGTTAAATTGGCCAATAAATTATCACTCATTATATTAACAATATAATCGTCTATTTACACGAATAACATTGATAAATTATTTGGTTTCATTATTTTAACTCAACATTAATCCTTGTCAAGTATTTTGATCATGTTTTTACTGTTGTTTCTGTTTGTTTGTTTCATCTTCAAATCCCTTTTCAAAGTAACATTTTACAATAATAATATCAGTTGTAAAATGAGAATAACAATAATAATGTTTAGCTGAGAAGAAAATTATTATCTAATCTTACCTTGAGAATTTCCTTCTCCTTCGATTCCAACATTGTTTCCAAATGTCTCATTCGAGTTTCTAATTCAATATTTCGTGTTTTCAACCTTTCCATTTCAATTCTTTCTTCTTCGTACATTTTACCAGTTAATCCTTTACTTGACATTGCTTCCATTAGCTTTTTAATGCTCTCATCGCGAGCAGAAAGAGTTTGCTTTTGAGTTTCAATTCGCAATTCAAGTTCCTAAGTGATGAACAATAAAAACCATAATTACAGGTTAAGACAAACGTTTAACAAATATTTAACTTGAACTTCATTTGATCTTAAACGACCAAAGATTTGTGTTTAAAAATTTCGATTCAATTGATTGATTCCAAAGTGTTATTCAATGTCAATATAATTTTGGTCAATCAGAGCAATTTGAAGTTTGAAAATTTCATTTCAGAATCAAATTGAGTCGAAATTTAAAGTACAAAAGATTGACCTTTAAGGCTTGTTTTCAAACACGAATACAATATTTGAAGAAATGGTGAAAATTGAATTTACCTTGATTGTTTCCCTGAGAAGATAAATTTCTTTAGACATGTGTTCCTTTTCGTTGTAAAGAGCTTCCATGTGTTGTTGAACTTCTTGATCAGGATTCCTCATGTGAGTCAATCTCAATTCCTCTTCCAATTGGCGTATTAAAGCAGTTTGCTTCTGTTTCAGAATAAAATCCATGAAAATAATGTTAATTTATTGATGAACGACAAAATTAAAGGGAAACTTGTGAAAACAATATTTTGTATTGATTCATTGGATGTAACTTTTCCAGTTTCATGATTGATACAAAAGTGTCAATTTATTTGTCAAAAAAGTGTACCAATTGGCAATTAATTTTGGCCAGTTTTATCAAATGATTTCATGTTGACCAATGAGAAAATATAACAAAAATCATTTGTAATCAATAGTGAACGTTATAATTGATGTTGATGATAATGTTAATAGCAATATTTTATATCATTATCATTTTGGATAATTGAATGAGGAAGAAAAAAAACAAAGTAAAATGAGATGAAACTTGAAGGGTCAGTTAATGGTCTCTAGTATTGGTAACAGTTTAAGGACAATTGCCTGGACCATAAATATCACCAGTTATCAGGTTTCATTATCGTAGTGATTAGCATTGAATACAGGGAAACCCCACAGATTGATATTCATTTTTGCACTACAAGTTTCAAAAGTTTATCGAACCGTAAATTATTTTGATGAAAATATTGATATTTTTCATGCTTTTTGCGCTTTCATGAGGAAAAAGTTGAAACATTTTCATCTATTGTTTATTAACTTGTCATTGAGATGTTGATTGTGATTTAATATGACATGATATGAACAGGAGATTTAATTAAAATTAATCTGTTCAAATGAGTTTATTTGCTTTTCGATTAAATTTTATTCGATTGTTGTAAAAGTTGCTCCAATTTCAAATGTTGTTTTAATAAAGAGGTTCATCGATAGCTTTTCAAATTGACTTCTTGTGACAAGAAAAGCTCAATATTTTGAAATCATTACGATCAACTTGAAGAAAAGATAAATAAATATTTAGAATTGATATTATGATTCAACTGAAATAATATTATAATATTTCATGTATTATTATCATTTGATCGGATAAACCAAAAAGTTAGTTTATGTGAAGTGGAAATAGGAAAATACATTAACATAAATCCATAAATAAGTTGAAATTGTCTTACATTTATTCACTTTTTTCCATCAAATTATAATATTGATGTTAAGAAAATCAAAAACCGTATCAAAATTGAAAAACGACGTAAAAGTTATCATAAAAACTAATTAAAACTCAGATATTTTTGGACAGTTTGGAGTTTTTAGGAAAAAAACTCCAAAAAAACTCCCAGCTTTTGGGAAATATTTTCAACCTTTATCTTTAAGAACTACAAGAGATAAGTTAAAATTGATTGTAATATCAATAATAGTCAACTGTTTAATGAATTGCAATTCAAAGCAAAAATTGTTACACTCAAATGTCATTTAAGCAAAAAATCTAAAATTTTCTTATAAATTTTGGATGAAATTAAACTGCCTTTCGATCAGCAAAGAAACTGTTGAGAGAAGCTTTGGATTAAAATTGGAGAAGCGAAAATTTCGCCCTTGATCGTCCAGTGCGCAGAATTCAGATGTTTCATTTTCTTTTATAAACATTCTGAATTCTGGGTTTGCTTTTGAATTGGGTTCTTTGTAAATGCATAGCTTTCCAGACTTGAGACTGTCGTCAATTTGCAGTCTGAAAGCTATCACATTTACGTTTCTAATTGAGTTTGGTTTTTGCATCAATTGAGATTGATCATTATTCTGATTAATTTTTTCATGCTGATGGTGCTTATTAATATATGAGAATAGAGAAGAAGTGAAAAGGATAAATAAATGTGACCTTAAAAGATGCCAATTTTACATTTCTCTTCATAGTCAATTCCATTCGCTTGCCAATGTTGATAGTAATTTTATCTTCATCAACTTTTCTCATGGTTTACTCAGTTTTTCAAGGAATCTGGGCTCAGACTATTATCAAGCAAAAGCATTGAGAAATGAAGGGAAAAGTAGGTCACTGTGATTCCAGGCAACTCCATGGAATGGAGTAAATATTAGAAAAGGTTAGTTCCTTAATAAAAGGCAAAGCTCTTGATTTTTTTCTTCATCTCGCTGTTCGTTCCAGAACAAGATAATCACAATTGGATTGTAACAGTTAATAGTTAACACTGCCATTGATATATTGATTGACCAATTGTTAGATTAACCTTTTACTAACTTCAAGAGATTGAAACAAATGGACGTTAACTTGACAGTCAAATAACCCTTAAATGCAGGGACTTTGCAAGTTGGGTTGAAAAATAAACTTGAATTTGCAGACCAACAATGAAATTGCAAATGATTAGATGTTTGATTGATCATCATTGACTGTCGACTTTTAGTTATGCAAAAATGCATGTTAACAGACGAATGTCTAGCAATTTGGTAGACAAATAATTCCATGTAATTAGATTAACTTGTGATAAGCTGAAATAATTCTGAATTGATAATGAATTTACTGTTAATGAAAGCTGCTTTTTCTGGTCTCTTTTTGCTCTCCTTTTCTACTTGAATTTTGTCTTCTTTTTGGTTAACAAGCAAATCAACAACATTGGAAATATTGATGGTAAAGATGAATAAAAGAATGAAGAGAGAGAGAGAGAGAGAGAATGATAATAATGACGATGATGATGAAAAGGAGGAAGAAGAGAGAAAAAGAGTGAAAGAAAGAGTAAATTTGGATCGATATTTTCCAGGAAAAGAATCGATGTCAAGCTTATTGCGTATGCAATCGAGGAATACAAGTGACCCAGAAGAGGCAAAAAAGGAGCAAACATGGATGAACACACAACATGAATCTAAACTGAGGATGAAAAATATCAACTCAACTCGTTGCATAAAATGGCGGGAAATTATTTCCATTAGATAGTTTCAGCCTTTGGTATTGTATTACAGATCAATCATTGGATTCCAGTTTTCCTTCAAATTATAAGATTAAAAGCTTTTCCTTGACAGAAACAAAAGTAATGTCTTTAAATTTTAAGTCAATCCCAGATTCACTCCCAGAAAGTATTATTACTAAAGGTCTGATTGGCATCATTGGCTGTTCATCCAGACTGATAATAACACTGATTTTGAACATTCAATTGCATTCAAATGTCAATTTGCTAAATTAACCTCCGTTTCATCAAGATCACAAACTCAACAATACTTCAATGTTTAACTGATCCATTATGCATAGTTATGAAGATTAACAAAACCGATAATTTGTTTTTTATGTCGATTTGATCCTAGCATTTCAATTTCAAACTCAACAAAATCAGAGGTTGAACTAGACTTTCAAGTTTAATCAAACAATTCAATTGCATTATCGATTGCAATTACAAAATGATATTGCAAATGAGTGAAGTTGGTTTTATCCTAAAATTATAACAATTTCAATAATTTTATTCACTAAATAAAAATCTTTGATTTGACTCAATCTTTTTTGCTTTGGATTGGTCTGAATCGAGTGTCTGATTGAAATGTAATTTTGATCAAAGTTGTTAATAGCTATGATTAGACTTATGAAACTAGAAGAAATATTTGAAATAAAATGTCAGTCATGTTTGTCTTGTTTTGTCGATATAGTTATTAGAATTGAAACAATTCTGATAGTGATGATGATTCCGTCAAACAGTTGATATCGAGAAGGGACACAAAAAAAATTAATAACATTACAAAAATGTGACCGAGAATTGAATCAACTAAGAGCATGTTTGTAACCTGAAAGAATAAGGGAAAAAAAGTTGATGTAATAATGTTCAGAATTGAATAACAACTATTCTGGGTCGATACAGTATAATAGCATTATGATATAATAATAAATTAAGAATCAACTGTTTTTGACTCTTTCACTCGACTTTTAATTTACTGTTGAACATTGTTATTTAAATTAACCTCTCGATATTATCATTATTCAAATGGCAATTTAACTTTGAACACCTCTAAGTGTTAATAAAAATTAGATCCAGTTTATTGTACAAAAATGGCTTCAATTCAAGACAATCGATTGTCATTAAACAACCAAAGACGTAATTTTGAGTTAAAATTAAAAGATGCTAATAATAGAAATGAAACGATTCTTTGATTTTCAATAATTGATTAACAAACACAATTATGCAAGATTATGCCGAAATGATTAATAAATAACTTTCGGTCGAAACTAAAATGTTTGAACAACTGTAACAATTAACTAAATTGAAACGATTACTGGTTTAAATGGATAATAACTTGAATGATTTTCAAATTGTCGCAAAAACAATATTGACAAAATTGAGTTTTCACGCAACTTTAGCAACTATTGAAAGACTGATCAATACTTGGTTATAATGAAAGTTAATTAGTGAATGTTAATTTATTAATGTCAATGGAAGATTAAACCTGTTGACAATTGAGCTGATAATTAATAGACAATGAAAGGATTCAAATGCAATACAAGTGGAACTGGCAGGGAATGACAATCTAACAATTGAATTGAAACAATAGTCAATGTTGACTATAAATTGATTGTGTGTTAATTAATCTAACTTAATTTTTCAAATTCAATCAAGATGAAAAGTAAATTATCAACAATGAAGGTGAATGTAAAATGATCGTTCATGTTGGTTTTCTAGTTGATTAATTGGATTCGATTGTTAAATTGGCCTAAAGTTTCAATTGAATGTTGAAACGTTTGAATTGGTTGCGACTATTTTTCAGGATATTAACTATTGATTGAAATGAACAATTGAAACTTTGCGTTGGTCAAGTGAAAATGGATGAAACTATTAACAATACATGAATGGTAAATGATGATCAAGATGTATTTTTAGGGTTAAATCAATCTACAAGCAACACACACATTGAACATGATGATAAGAATCATCAGTCTCATCATAACCATCAACATGGAACTCATCCTAACCAGATAAAATGCTCATCTTTTCATCATTAACCAGCTTCCTCCTCCCACGTTTATTCATTGATAAACATTAGTATAAATCGGCAAATGAAAGGGAATGCTGAGTTATATCAAGTATAAAACATGACATTATACTTCTTTGAGAATCGTTAAGCAAAACAATAATTGATCAAACAGTAATACGGAAAAGAAAAAGAAAATTTCATGATAATTAAGAAGATTATCTTGAAATTTTGTATTACCAGGCTTGAGATATTAATCTGGGTTGAGAAGGTCAAGATTATTTGAGTAAAAAAGTACAGAAGGTTCAACTTGTATTGATTTTTGTACTTAAAGTTGAGAAAACCAGAAAATTTCAAAAAGGATTTTAAATGGAAACATTTACTTTTCTTAATCGCAATTTGGCATCAAATGATCGATGTTTAGTTTGTCTAGAAATAATAAATTGATTGACTATTGCAGGGAAATCGAGAAACAACCGAAACTCAAATACATGAGACAAGCATAAGTTGTTTGATCAAATTTCAGTGTTAAAGGATTCACAATTGTTACTAAAAAGACACAATAAACACATTTATGCACAAATTGACACAAATTACTGCTGTTACAGCAAAACAAATGGTCAAACCCGGGTAAAAATAAACTTCTGTCAAGTTTAGCCTCTGTTAGTCTGTAGAGTTATAAAAACTGAATCCACCGGTGCGATTAACAAATCTCTCTGATCAATAGTTCTCGAGAAAATCGAGGTCAAAGTTGAAACTTCGATTGGCATTTGTACAGTTGTGTGACCATATTTTTTTACAAAATTAATGTACTCATTACTAAGTTTCGATGGCCAATCTTAGGATGAACTTATTTTGAGAAAAAACATTTTCTGTTTTCTGTAAAAGAGATAAGTTCGAATTTGGCCTAAAAGTGTCGCATTCGTTGACCATAAGATTTAGAGATCTGTAAGTTACTATTGGTCCATAAAAATTAATTGTACAAATCATGAATCAAATATTTTTTCCAATTTATCTATAGTTCTCTTGATTTCGGCCATTGACCTAAAAACTTTGGACCTCGATATTTCGAGAATAGTGGCACCTACAACCACCATTTTTTGACCAAACGTTAGATTGTATTATGTGCTGCAATATAATATGACTGAATATTGAATAAAATTCAAGTTAATTCATTTAAGGATGAATATCCTTCTGACACATGAGATTTGTGATAAGAAAACCAGATAACAAGCACAAATCTGGTAACATAAAAATACAATGCTATAACTTTTTTCGTGTGATCTTGAAAGATTTCATATTTCAGCATATTGTAACGCATGATGCAGACTAATGTTTGATTGAACAATGGTGATTGTAGGTGCCACCATTCTCGAAATACCGATGTTCAAAGTTTTTAGGTTTTAGGCCAAAATCAAGAGAACAATTGATCGATCCGAAAAATTATTGAATTCCTAGTGTGTGTCAACAATTTTTATGCTCCGAAAATAAGTTTCAGTTCTCTAACTCAAATGAACATTGAATGCGACAAGTTTAAGCGAAAATCGCACTTGATCTGTTTTACAGAAGCAGAAAACTTTTTTTCTTAAAATAAGTACATTTTCTAGTTGATACTCGAAATATCAATCAGAGAAATGAAGTTTCATGAAAAAATCTGCTCCCTTAATTGTACAAATGGCGATCGAAGTTTCAACTTTGACCTAAATTTTCTCGAGAACTATTGATCAGAGAGATTTGTTAATCGCACCGGTGGACTCAGTTTTTATAACTCTACAGACTAACAGAGTCTAAAGTTGACAGAAGTTTATTTTTACCCGGGTTTGACCATTTGTTTTGCTGTAACTGCAGTAATTTGTGTCAATTTGTGCATAAATGTGTTGTTGTGTCTTTTTAGTAACAACCAGGATTCGTCCTTTGATTTTTAAGCAAAAAGTAGTGATTTGCGTTTCATTCAGATTGTTGATTTGAAACTGATGACGAAAATCACTGAATACTAAATTGTTCATTTCTTCAATTTATTCCCACATGAATTTTAAGTGCTTTAAGAAATAATTTGAAAAATTGCAGTTCTCTTGAATAAAGCAATCCAAGTTGTAAACCTGAAAAGGATCATTCATTTTCACCCTGTAAAGTTTGTTTGTATTCACATGCATTGTATGTAATTCAATCAAATTAAAGCATCAACAATTGAAAACAGACTTTTTAATTCTCTAAAGATTTCATATCCACAATTTCCGATCAAACTATTCCTTTTCGGTAGACATCTTTCAGCATTTACTATGTATTTATCGTTTTGTTAAACATTGACTATAAGCTGTTGAAAACAATAAAATCTGATTAATATATTTTGATAATCCATAAATCATTGTTTTCTTGAAATAAAAACTGAGGGCGTTCAATTTGGCTTGGTTAATCGAATTGTGATCAACAATTGGAACAAAAAATGTTGATTAGATTTAAATTGAAACTACAAATTTTCATCTCTAAATGTGGGCATGAATATTGATAATAGGATTCCATGAAGCGTGGTTGGGTGTAATGCTAAACATGAGTCAATCCTTCAACAAGTTTGCTGAAAGATCAATAGGAATAACAATTTATTGCTAAATATTGATATTCATTTGTTGATTATATTTTGGAAAGTTGATTGATTACTTTAAATATACATCTAATCGATGAATCAATACTTTCAACTGCTCAAGAGAATGGATAATTTTAGTTATCATAAAGTGGATGCAACTAAATTATAATAATTTAAGGTAAATAATTTACCTGATTCTCTGAACGGAGTATCTTTAATTGATCATTTAACAGTGCATATTTAGCAGCCTCTTCCTTCCTCAGAGCTCTTTCCTTTTTCAATTCAGGTGACCAAAAGGTTTTGATTGAATGCATTGAAGATCCTAATTTTTGAGTAGTTGCATCTAATTCCCGCTTAAGACATGAATATTGACTTTGAAGTTCATTGAGACGAGCCTGTAGCTCCATGATGTATGAATCGCGTGAATAAGCGGGATTGGTTGATGCTGGATCAGCAAAACCAACTGTATGACCAGACATTCCCATTGACCGAGCACTGGGACCATCACGGTATGGATCATCTAGTAAAGCATCTGATCGATCACGATAGCTTACTGGATCATCTCTCAGGTAGACTGAACGATCCAGGGATCGTTCACGGGTTCGCGAATGTCTTGTTGTCATGTCTAACCTATCAAGTGATCGCTCTCTTGGATCACGGGATAAATATGGATCACCAGGAACCCCACCACGGTCCATTAATGGATCTCTTTCCAGGGAATATGATGATCGTAATGGAACCCGACCTGAACGGCCGGGTCGACCAGAGCCTGATGTGGTTCCATGCATCATTGCTGTCTGAGGTCGAGTGTCCATGACAATAGGAGATCCTGGATCGTCGTAATAGGGAAACCCGTGACCGTAGGCTGAAGAGGTACTCAGTGAATGAGGTACACTATGGGGATCCGCTAAGCCACCTGGAACGGTTAGTGGACTATTGTTGCTGGATCGACTGATCCCGTAGGTATTGCGTCCTCTTCTAATGTTGATTGATGTGGGTGAATTTAAATTACGAGCAATTGGGCTTCCTCGGGTCGATGGAGGTTGTGAGATGGAAGTTGGGTGCATGTAAGGCTATGAGGAGGGTAAAAAAGGGAAATTGTGGGCGATATTGATGAGGATAGGGATGTAAAAGGGTAAAGTGAATGGTAAATGGCAAAAATTGAAATTAACAAATTGCTAGTTGACGGCGATGAATTATTGTTTGGCTTTTTAGTTGCTTGGACCATGAGTTAGAGATAATCTCACCACCATTATATTGTTGAAATTTGACACCAAAAAGGAAAAATTAATACAATCCAAAAAATTTTAAATTATTGCCTGGTTCAAATTTGATGAGCATATTCCCTTTTAATCCAGTTATATTGATATTTTGATGCAAATTTCCACCTCTGCAGTTGATAATGATGGCTAATAATCTTGCAGCTAGAACAGTCTTGTAATCCATTAACAATTATCATGATATCCAATATGAAGTTAAACTTGGAGTGTATCTTTATAATTATTACAACAATTAATCAATATAACTAGGATGGCACTAATCACACAATAAACATACAGCCAGTAAAACAGGGATTGGTACAAATATGTCCATCAAACGGTAAATTTATTACAATTGAAGAAACAACCGAAGCAATAACCAAAGATATACTTGGAGGTAAAACTGGAGGTATAATTGACCATTCGTTTAACTATTTTTTGTCTCGTAATATTAGCACACATTCAGATATTAATAATTTCCATGAACTTATAGATATTTGAGTAGATTATCAACAATCATAATGAAGGTTTAGTCTGTTAAAACTAGTGGTGATTGAAATAAAAACAGAAGATGAGATGTGAAGTATTCCTTTCTCTACAAGCTCATCCAATGTGTGTGTGTGTGGAGTTTGGAAGTGATGATTTACAGCTACATTGGTTACATCAAATGGTGATTGTACGGTGAGATGGAAAATGGTGATTAATAGTGAATCCAAGAATGTACTTTCATCACCCACAGGAACACTTAATTACAAGAAAAATAATTATAAATCAATAATAAAAAAAGGAATACAAAATCATAGAGATTGAAAGTTAAAAGTAAAGAGGACAAAAAACGATTGGAGTTGTTATCGTATATGTTCAATTTATGTATACATTTACGCTGATTGAGAGGTAATCACATAGGTTAAATATAAATAAAAACTGTAGTATTAATAATAATTTAAATAAATGATGATATAAATTATCAACAGTAAATTACTAATAATAGAAATGATAATAATATTAATCACAATAGCAATGAGAAACTCAATTCAAGGCATGACAAAAAAGGGTTTCTTTTGTTGAAACAGAAACAGAAAGAGATAGAAAGAAGCAGAGAGAGAGAGAGAGACAAACGTTGCACTTTCAATCGTATTATAACCGTTTTATACTTGGTATGGTTTTTGATGAAGCCTCACACTTGAATTTAAAATATTCTTGGTTGTTTGGGTGTGAATTTGGTGATTATTGTTGTTACTGTTTGTTAATATATGATATTGACTAACAAGGGACTCTTAAACAGTTGTAATTTAAGAAGAAAATCATATGAATAGCAAAAATTAACTGTTTAGACATGGCATAACAACTAGTCTCTGGTTGCGCCAATTTTCACTTGTTCACACTTCAGGCTGTTGTTTTTATCTTATGGTCAAAATTTTTGGTAACAACTTGACAATTTGTGGGTTAAAAGTGGCTCCTTTTACAATTAATTATACTTTCGGTTAATCAGCAAACAAACAAACAGTACCACAGTGATTCTTATAATTCAACCAACAACTCTCCATGTCTCTTTCTGATCTGACTGAAGAGATCAATTTTTTTGTTTTTCTCCGGCTTTTAATCTCATCCAAATTTGTAAAGGCAAGAGGATGATAAACTGGGAGAAGATGGGGATGAAAATGTTACTGGGACTGATGGTAAGGGTGATGAGAGTAAGAGAAGTTGTAGGAAAAGAAAGAGAAAGAGCATGAAAAAAGACAGTGGAATCGGTTAGGTTTGCTTGATAATGTTAAATTGAGCAAACTCCTTTATCTTCTCATGTGTATGCACCTATTTTTTTCTGGTTTTTTGGGGGAAATGTCTGTTTTTTCCTGGTATTTTCTGGTTACCTGATTTGAGAAGAGATGATGAAGATGATGAGTCTTTGTGCTTCGCTTTGGGCGCGGCCTTCTTATCGAATAACCATGAAAATCGATAAATATAAACTGAGCATTTCCATTAAACTGTTTATTGGATTGTCTCCATAAGCTTTGGCTCTCTCTCTCTCTCTTTCTTGTCTTCCTTTCATCATGATCATCTTTCTTTCCGAGTGACTCCAAGAAAGAAAATAAATCTCATAATGTGATAAAATTATACACTAACAGTAAAGAAATATAATAGAAACATTATTATCAAACTTTACTGGGAACAATGAGAGAAGATGATCAAAATTTCTCTCCATTTTTGTATTTTGGATGAAAACCTCGAGGAAGCAACCGCAGCAATTAGATCCGATCATGATAGTTTAAATTATAATTTATTGAGATAACTATTGGAGAAGTTGAATGATAAAAAGCTAAATTGGAATTAAGATTCACCGATTTATTAACAAAAAACTAAACCAGTGCTCAATCAGATCAGTGAAAGAAACAAGAACAAAATAATTTTCCTAATTCCCATCTTTATTAAAAATCTGTCATATGGTTACAGAAAACTTTGAATTGTAGTCTACATTAAGTTAGATAAAGTTTAGGGAATTATTAGTTAGGTATAGAAAGTTGTATAATGGGTTAGGAATGAAAAAATTACGGGTTAATGTTTCAACTTGGAATGTCCATCGATCATTGTTTATCGCGGACAGGACAGTTCGATTGATCAACCAGTTGCATTGTTTTCTTATCCACTCCAAATTTTGTCTCTAGATCATTGAATAATCGGTCCAAAGTATCTTTAGGTAAAGTTGGATATCGAGAAAGAATCCAAGCTGATTCTGTATTGAATAAACAAAAATAAAGTCCAATTAGAATAAGTTTTGTAGCATATTTAGCAGATTAGAATAAACAAATATGTTTGAAAGCTAAAAATTGCCATAAGATAAAATACATGTAGCAACATGTTACTCACCAAATTTAAAAGCTTTGAAAACATCAACACAAGAAACCACAATTGCGTAATTGTTGAAATCAGTATCGGCAATCAAATAAGGAGCTTCTGGTGAGACTAAGGAAAGATGGAGAGGACAATGAACGGTTAGATAACAAGTGTAAAAAAATTATAAATATAACAGACTTACATCTTGAAAATTTGACTTTAAGCAAGTTACTTGATTCTGTTAATCGAGCAGTTCCTATTGCTTTGGATAATTTATCTCTGGAAAAATCGCAAGGAAAATATTTATCAGGTTCAACAATTGAAAATTAAAGATGTTAATACTCGTAAACAGCCGATAGCATTTTGCCTCCAAACTTTTATTTAAAGGGAATTATTTAAAAGAGAAAATCCTTTCTTATTGGTCAATCAGTATCAGATAGTGGTTAGATACTGATATTCAGATACTAGTATCGAATACTGTAAGAGTGCAAAGAAGCTTGCTAGGGAAAAGTAAACTCGAGTAAAACCTCAATTTAGTTGTTAATATGTTTATTGTAATTTTTAGCATTAACTTTTTATAAACTCTTTAGCAAACTATTAAGCTGCTTAGACCAAATCTTTTGATACCTCGCCATCGACTGATATATTTTTGTAGCTTTTGAAGCAGTCTGTTTTTGTCAATCTACTAGTGAAGACTGTTTCCAAGTTTTGGTCCAGCAGGTTTTAAATTTACTCTCATTTAACTCATCTTTCTAAAATTTTACCTCAGTGCTAATTGATCAATAATGTCTAATCAAAATGAAAAGCAACACGATTTTACCAGCCCTGCCAATCATCAGCAATTTAAAGTGATCAATAACAACACACTCAATAATAAGTGGATTCGATTGAATGTTGGTGGATCTATTTTTCTTACCACTCGATCCACTCTTTGCCGTGACCCTAAATCTTTCTTATATCGTTTATGTGAAGAAGATCCGTCTCTTGGAAGTGATAAAGATGAGTCAGGAGCATACCTGATTGATCGTGATCCAACTTACTTCGGGCCTATCTTAAATTTTCTACGGCATGGAAAGCTTATCATCAACAAGGATCTTTCAGAGGAAGCTGTCCTAGAGGAAGCTGAGTTTTACAATATTACTGATTTGATTAAATTATGCAAACAACGTATCTCTGATGCAGAGCGAAGAAGTGATCCTGACAAACATGTTTACAGAGTAATGCATTGTGACGAGAACGAGCTAACACAAATGGTTTCGACAATGTCTGATGGATGGAAATTTGAACAACTCATTTCTGTACCTTACAATGGATTTCAAACTGAATACTTGTGCGTTGTTTCACGGGAATGCACCAACTCAATAAAAATGATGAATGAAAACTCTGACCGAGCAAAGTTGATCCAACAAAAAGCAACAGGAATGTGAAGTCTTTTTCAAAAACACCAATCATCAAATCATGTAGTGTTATTAGTCAAACCATCTTTGTCTTTGTATATTTGAATTATGTACATCTTTATGGATTTATAAGTTAATATTCAATTTTTTGCCATTTACTCAAATAAATTGAAAAAATATTTCAATTCATTGCTGCCTCAACTATTTGAAATCAACTCTTCGGTCAAAATTCAATTTGATGAATGGAAATTTTGGACTTACCTTGGATTAAATCCTTGATTGTCAACTTTCACTGTTCCATCCTCGTTCAAACTGTAGTCTGCTGTTACACATTTCAAATTGATTTCCCAAATGTTATCAGTTCTGGCGATTTCGTACCATTTACCTAAATACTGGTACAAGTAAAATTAAACACAAATCAAATAACTTCAAGAATCGGGCAACTTTTCTATTTACCTTGGGCAATAAAAACCCACTGGGAGGCTGTAAGCTCGGACATGAACCAGGTGATAGGTTTTGACTATTGACATTAATCGCGATATTTAAGAACCAAATTGAAACAAACAATAGTTGCATTTTGATTGTATTGAAACTAATAGTTGAAAACTGTTAGTTGATAAGGATGAATGGAAATTTTGCTGATTTTTATAAAGATCGTCTAAAGTCAGTTACTCACTTGGCAAGTAAAAAATAAAAATTAATGATGCAAATGCTAATTAAGTATCCAGGAGACGAAACAAGAATGTTTTACTCTGACCGCAATTAAATTTACATTGGTTTCGCTTACTCTCAGTGTTGTTAATAAACAAGACAACCTTGAGAAACTTGATTTTTCAACCCTTTTCGGTAATCACTATTGCATTTGTTTTCATCGTTGATCAGTTAATTATTGTGTTATAAACTAGCTAATAGTTGTCAAGGTTTGGTAAACATTTATTTATTTAACATGAATCAGAAGAGCCAATATAAACTGTGAGACAACGAAAACAAAATAATAAAAAATTTGCTTTATTTTGCTAATTTAGATCAAATATATTAAAATTAATTACATATTTGTATACCAAAAGTTAACACATTAATAAAAATTGAGATTGTGTTGTGATGAGTAATAAGAGATGGCGCTTGAACAATTTAAATTCGAAATTGTATTGTTCGAATTCGAATTGCCTTTTAAATTAGAATTAAAATGTTCATTCAAGTTTCTAACTTTTTAAACTGTTCCTTCTTAATTCCATCGAGTTGATTATTAAATTTTATTTGAAATGGTTTTTCAAAATCAAGTTGAAGTTATTAATATTGATTTTTCCGATGAAAGTTTGGACCAATCTGAAATTGTTTTTCAATCGGTTAACAAATTAATAAGTGAAATTGAAAAAGAAGTGATTGAGATTTCTGATGATGACAGTAATCATGAAGATGTGCAATCAACTGTGTCCCAGTGTTTGAATAAACTTTTAAATGAAATTTCCTTTGAAGCGATTGATATTCCCGATGACGATGGCAAAAGATCACAGGAAATTTCAGATAATCAAGACAGCCAAGAAATTAAAGTTGTTTCTCCCTGTTGTGTCTCGATTGGTTCCCAAACATCGGAATCTTCTGATGATTATGAGATCCAGACAACACAATTGGGTCCACGAGTGGTCTTTGATGAGGACAGTGTAAGATATTTACAAAAGAGAAGAACAGAATTGATGAAAATGAAACTTTGGAAAAAAAAGTGGAATAAAATGTGTCGAAATGAAAAAAGAAAAGAACGAAAACACAAGTCAAAGTCCAAACATCGCCATATTAACCGGATAAATCCATTTATATCTTAAGACGAGGAAATATTTTCCAATATGTGACTCAAATTGTTAATAAAATCTTGGCATAGTCGGTAAGTTGAACAATCTTGTTGAATTACTCTTTTTTTAACAAAACATTTAAAAATTTCATCTAATTTCAGGTGATCCAGCACTTCTAAAGTTGGCCAAGTTTGACTATCAAATAAACGAATATACAACGAATTATATGAAACATCAAAAATCCATGTACATAAATCAGAAATTTTCAATAAGTAATTACAGAAATGATGTTAGTTAGAAACAAGTCCAAACCTTTTTAATTTGATAGACTTCAAATGATTTTGTAATATTACAAATTATCAACAATAAAATTGTTGTTTCCAATTAATTATACATAACCATAATCAAGTAATTAAGCAGCAACCATTTCAGTTTCACTTTCTTCCTCCATTTCTTCTTCTTCTTCACTATTTTCTTCTTCCATTTCATCTTCAAATTTAACGATAACTTTAGGTTTTGTCTTTCTCTTTTCTCTCTTCATTCCAGCAGCCGGTGATTTTATCAATGCCATGTCTCGTTTAACCTCCTTGATATCTCTTTCCCTTTCGATAGTATTGGCTTTACGGAGTCTCTTCAATACGAATTCAGATTCTCTTCTCTTTCGTATCTGAGTAACAGTCTTCATTGCTTCAATAGTCTTATTCCATAATTCTCGGTTGTATTTGAGTGGAATATTGCGTCTCTTTTCAAATTCAAATGAAGGGTCATTCACAAGTTCTTTACCTGCAGCTTTACGGTAGGCTTTAGTCCATTTCGTTTTTCTAGGATTCTTCTTTTGGTTGAATCGACGTCTACATTTACTCCTACAAAATCGGAAAAGCTAAAGAAAAGAAAATAAGAAAACATTTAATATAAGCTTGAACCAGAGACAGAATCAATTGAAGTACTAAGGGAATTAGAAACTTACTTTACAATCATTCCTCACGAAAACTATACCATGGCCAGGGTAAATAGGGGATGAACAAAAGTAACAGCGTTCAATTCGCATGATGATTTAAAATAAATAATCCAAACTATTATTTAAATTAACAATTAAAGATTTGTGCTACGAGAGCAAAAACACACCAAACACTAAGCATGAGTTTTGGTAGTTAAGGGCTGGTTTTGGTAACCAAGTAAGTGGATTTTTAAACGAGGGAAAACCAAAAAGTCAAAGCGTGATTGATTTTAATGAAAAAATAAAGTCTTCGAGATTTTTATTTTTGAACAGGTTGATATAATTTTAATGATTGTTATTTTTACTAATTATTTAAGTTTATTTCAGATTAGAAATATGGAATTAAAAATTTATTCAACAACAGCATGTTCAACATGTAATTTACAACATTGGGCATGCGTAGGGTATTTGATCAAAATTTTTCCTATCAATTTTTACATGTGCGTTTTGTTTATACTTGACAATAATAATTATTTTGATAAATTGACATTTAAGTTTATTCAAGCACGTCAGTGATCAGATTTATCGATAGAATTGTCTTCCGTCTTTAATGGTGAACTATGACTGAATTTTGATGTTTTATTCTCTAGTCATTTGCATCTTTACTTTTCCAAATAATCATGTTTACAAATCATATTAAACTTGCTTTGGTACTTCCATCTCGATCACTTGTGAATCATCTTCATCAACAGGCTACTGGACAATCTACTACAACTAAACATACATTTCCTAGCAGCCATGTTTATCAAAGAATATATAATTGGACTCATCTAGATCAGTTTGCTGACCATTTGTTGAGTAAAATTTTATTAAATGATCCTGAAACTGTTTGCTTAGCCAAGCCATTTGGTGTTGGTATTTACAATGCTTATGATAAATCGAATCATCCTGAGAAAATTGAACCTAAAAAATTCGGTGATCCAAGATACTGTGTTAATGATGTTATAGATATATTAGCGAATAAATTGAATGTTGGACGTTTATCATTTGCTGAAACTCAAGATCGAATATTTAGTGGTATCATGGTTCTGTCAAAATCACCCAAAGGAGTTGAACGGATCAAGCGTTCCATCAAGGTGTCAAGAGCGTTGCATTTGTCACCTTACACTTATCATTGTTTAACTTATGGAGCTCCAATGATGAAAGAACCGATTGTCGAAGAAATAGTTGCGATCGAACAGATAATTGTTAACGAAAAGACTGGTGAAAAAGATACAGAAATTATTTATAATCCGTCCAAATCAATATTGTACAAAAATAAAGACGTTAGAAAAGTTAAAGCCGAACTTAAAGTATTGGATTATAATTCTAGTCTAAATGTTGCCTTGGTGGAATTAAGCTGTAGTCGAACTAATTACCATTTCGTGAGATGCTATTTAGCAAGTAAAGCCTGTTTTATACTTGGTAAGTATCAGAAATTGCATTTCATCAAACATTTCCAAAATTGTTGCTTATCGATGTTATTTTCATTTCAGGTGATCCTAGGTTTTCAAGGAGAGTCGGACATGTTCTAGGAGTTCCATATTCGTTGAATGCTTCAAACAAACGGCCCAGAGAGGAACCACTACCTGCCTCAGTCCGAAAGATCTTAGATGTTCCTAATAACAAATCAATACCTTTGATGTTACATCAAGTGAAACTTTGTTTGTCAAAATACGCAAAAAATACCGACCTGTTAGTTGAGGATTACAATTATCCAGAATTTTTTTCTTGGACAGTTAGAAAATTATTTGGAACAAATACAAATTATAAATAAGTAATGAAACATTTTACTTTAATCACTTTTTCAAATGTTCAAGTGTTATAACTTTTCAAGTAAAAGCTGTAAATTTTGACTATAGAGATACGATGAAAATGATCCCGATTACATGCAATCAGAACATTTAATTTCAACATTTCAAAGAAGTGTTGTCAAGGAAAGAGGAATATTATGAGTACAGTTTCAACAGTTTCAAGTAGCGACTTTCTGCACTTGCAAGTAATGGCGCTGGACAATCAAAAACAAACTCAAATCGGGAATAACCAATAAAATAGTCGTCCCAAAATACGTAACCGTTTCTTTCAGTCAATAAATCACCATTTATCTTCATCAATGATAAACAGTTTCCTCTAATTACTTCGGACTCTAAACCTGAGATTTAATTTGTCGAAACCGCTATTTAACCGCTGTTACCCAGCATTAAGCATGCGTAAAGTATTAACGATATTTATATTTTTCTATTACAGCACCAGATGTCTCAAAAGGAGAAAACTCGGATCATCATTTGGTTAAGTTTTTTATCTCTGTTGGTCGACTTTTGGTTCTTTTCTCCATTCACCATCAGTAATTAAATCAATTCATCAACTTTTGGATTTACCGTTAACGTCAACTTGGCCATCGCTTGTTTCTAGATCATCGTCAATTATGGTATATTGATGGTTAATATATTATAATTACATTTGTCCATCCTAATTATATTCCTATAGCCTATTGTTTTATTTATTCTCTTGTTTGTCGCTTGTTACAATTTTGTTTGGATTTTTATCGTTTCTTCCTAATTTTCAACTTTATCGCTTTTGTGACCCTTTATTTTCCAATTATTCCAATAACACATCATTCCTTCCCGATCAAACCATTAATCCATCCTTGACCCATCTTTTTCATCTCATCTCAATCATCTGTTTAACAACTTGAGCCTTCTTCCTGTTAAATTTTTTTTTTCATGAGCGTTTTTGTTTATTCCTTATATGTTTCATCTTTTTTTATTCAGATTTGATTTGGTCATATTGTTAGATGTTTTGCAATCATTTGTCATCTTCCCTCTTGTTGTTTATCTGATGGTCAAAGCGTAATAATCCATTCTTTCATCACCATACTTCTCTTTCATCATTTATTGATTCGTTTCGTCAAGATCGACCTTGATAATATCAATATACTCTTGAATCGTAGTTTTAGCTCAGAATTACTCATAAGCCTCGTCTCAAGGGCTTCTCCGTTTTCTCGGTCTTTCTTTTTTTATTGAAGACTTTTCTATTGGTTTGCGAGCTTGTATTTCTTTGTTTCCTCTCTTTTCCATTTTACTGTATTTTAATTTTTCGACTTCAGTCGATTTCATCAGATTTATTTTCTGAAATTTGAAATTAGACTAAAATAGTTTTTTTCATATAAATAATACTGTCTTCTTTATGCCCACAGCAAAGATTAAAGTCTTCACAAAAAGAAAAAGTCAGACATTTCATTCAATTCACCAATACCGGAGAGAAAACGGCTATCTACTGTTTACAAGCCCACGATTGGAAATTAGATGTGGCCTCTGATGCATATTTTAATGATCCTCTGCAATACTATAAAGAACAATGTAATGATAAAAAGAAATTGGAAAGTTGGTTTCAAAAATACCGAGGTAAGTATCAGCTGAGGAATAGAAATAGATGCAGACTGTCAAGGTTAATTTGATTGAAAAATAGAATATCCCAGGAATTTTTTCGTTCTAAAACAATTTTCCTTGTGATTTTCACATATGGCTACGGTCCACCTAAAAGAGTATTTTATCAACTCTGACTAATTTCAAACACAAATTGCGTTCTATTTATTGCATCAGATTAGCACCCATTGTTGCTACTGTGTATCATAAGTTGCATACTCTCACAACCAATCCTTTATCAAATCTGACAAGCTCATGTTTGAACTGTCGGTTACCATTTCAAAATTTAATAAGGTGTATCTTCATTCAAATTAACTTTCATTTTGTACCTTGTCTATTTTTACTCTTTTCTAATTTCATTCTAACATTTTTTTTGTGTTTTTTATAGATCCACACGATCCCGATAAAATAACGTCAGACGGTATTCTTAAATTTCTTCAAGAATTACAATTAGAACCTGCGGATGTTAAAGTACTGATATTTGCTTGGAAATGTAAAGCGAAAGAACAGTGTTTGTTCACACGAGACGAATTTTTCACGGGTCTGATAGATTGTGGAGCAGATACTCCAGAGAAACTTCGACAAAGACTGATGGCCATTGAAAAAGAATTGAGAAAAGATGCAACGAAATTTAAAGACCTTTATTATTTTACGTTCAACTATGCTAAAAATGAAGGTCAAAAGAGTCTGGACCTGGAGATAGCTTTGGCTTATTGGAATATATTTTTTAATGCTGAACCCTTTTCAAACCCTGATCCAAGTGGTAATTCATCTAGGTCAGCCTCTAATAGTCAACCTATTGGTATAGTTCCATTTAGATTACTACCCTTATGGTCGTATTATCTCAAAAATCATTACCAGAGGTCGATAAGTCGTGATACATGGAATTTATTATTGGATTTTATATGCCTCATAAAGGATGATTTGAGTAATTATGACGAAGAAGGTGCTTGGCCCGTTCTTTTGGATAGCTTTGTTGAATGGGTTAGAAAAGGTAACCATGAAAATGTTCAATAGTGAAAAAGAAATTAATTTGTAAAGTAAACAAATTGGTCGTGCACAAAAAAACCAAATAACATCTAATTCACCAACAAACAACATTCATATCATTAACAAATCGCTTAAAAAAATCATTTCTTAATCAAAAATAGAGATGGACGATAAACTTAATGATCATCTTTATAAGCCTAATATGCAACGAGCAAAGAAACTCTAAAATGAAAAAGAAAATGTGCCCTGTGATGAGAAAATTTACTCTAATTTTTTTTCTTTATTCATCTTGATAAACCTTTGCTCCTTGTTTCTTTAAAATATTGAATATCACACTTTTCATTATTCAATTTCTTATCCCCTTCAAACTTCGTCTCGATGATTTTTCAAATTCATCTCCCACTTTGATAACAACTTTTTTTGCTTTCGAGAAAAACCTAAACAGAATTATGTATCCCGATCGCGTTTCTGCTCAAGGAAATAGTACATTTAGTAACATTGATGAAAGTTGTAATTTCAACCTTTTGAAATATTTTATTGGAAAGTTATGATTCTTAAGGAATAAAGAGCAAACCAGCCAGAATTAAATATCCATTTATTCAGATATCTGACGGTGAAGAATCTGAGAAATAGTTTAAACTACGCGCATTTTATTCACTTGTTCATATTTCAATCAATGAATTCATCTTACAGAATTTCTTCGTTCAGGTACGGACCTGTCAGAATTTCATTGCATCCAGTTCAATCATTTTGATCGGCTTTGTTGATTTCAACAGTTGTGTCTAGATTGAGTTGAAACTCAACCAGTATTAGCTCTTATCAAATTAATGATATCAAGTTAGTCTATAAAAATTCAAAGGCAAATGTCCTTATCTTTTGATAAACGAGTTTCTTTTAAAGTTACCTTATAAATCAATGCTTAGAAAATCCAAGTTGTTTCGAGTAAACAGGATTCATTCATTTCAAAATCATGAAAGATACAGAAGCAGATATCAGATTTTAATGTTAATTTTTAATAGCATTCCCAATAAAATCAAGAAATTTGGTTGTCAACATTAAACTGAAATAAAAATTTAGTGATTTACAATTTTACAGCAAATTATTAAGATGAAAATAGGTATTGTGAGGCTTGGAGATAGAACGAGTCAAAATTGGTTCCCTTGATCCAAACATCTTTGAAAATAAGGACAGAAAAATTGGAACTCGCTGGTGAGACACAAATTGAACCATTATTTTCAATCATCTGCTTCATTCTCACCTTTTCCTCTATCATCTGTCCAACATTCAAAACAAATTTAGCCTGACTTAGGAAATAATCTTGATTACATTGAGAATAATTACAGTCAATTACACACAAAGTGTAAGCCATTTTCTCGACGCAAGCAGTTAAAGCATCAATCTTGGCCAATCTAATGAAATGCTTGCTCTCATTGAGAGGGCAAATTTTAATCGAGAAACGTTGATTGTTGTGTGGATTTGATATAATGAAATCTTTACCAATTTCAGCTCGTTCAATTTTAAATGATGGATAACCTTTAAATGTCTGGTACAGCAAATTTTCAACAATTGAACCCAATTTGGTCGTCCATATAGATCCGATTTCTGGCTGAACATCGTTGCTTTCAACTAATTTTTCCTCATTCTTTGTTGAAATGTTTAATAATGAATCATATTTTTTTATTTTCATTTTCAAATCTTCAACGCTAATTGTCTCAAGTAAGGTCGCAAACTCTTTCAGATCATCTATTTTGATTTGCGATTTCAAAAAGACATCAACTTCATCTTTTCTTTCAATCACATTTTGTAGCCATTCTTGACCATTTTCAATAATAATCTCATCAAGTGACTCTAAAAAATCAATATTCAACTTTAAATTGATCAATCTATCAATTGTTTCCCAGCTTTTCCCCGAATTAATAACAGCCAAAGCTATCTGCGAACCTTTAAATCCATAAGCTTTGGCCATCAACAAGTCTCTGTTAGCTGTTAATATTGGAAATAAATTACACTGATCTGGATGATTACTGCACCAAATGTCCAATTGATGAAATAATTTGATCCAATTTTTGCAAGATTCCTCATCAACGTTCTCGTCTTTTTTACTCCCAGCAACAATTGGCTTGAAAATTGAGTCCAACATGAATGTTAACCTGGAAACTGATTCACGTCTAACAGTTGATGGTTTACACTTTATCCTATTATCAACAAGCCAATTTGAACAATCAACTGGATTTCCTTGATTATCTTTAACATAAATATTAACAAGCTTTTTGAATGAGATCTCTTGATTTTCAAAATTAGTCGGTTCATCTTCTAACCAAATATCAGTTGTGAGTGAAGTTAATTGTCCATTCTGAAGAGGAATCAGCCGGTATTGATCAAGCAAATTAGTTAAGTTATACTCTTCCAGCAAGTAAATTATATCATTGATCCAATTATAGATATTGACAATCAATGGATAAGATCGGAGCAATTGGTCAACATGAACGACTTCTTTATTTTCAACTCCGACAGTCATTCCGATGCAAGTTAACAGCAATTTCATTGACCAACGGAGAAAGAATGACCGAGGATAGACTTTGAATGATTCGGCACTGATTGGATGACTTTCAATTGCTATGAAAAAGAAGAAAATTTTGGAATTAATTGTTACTTTTGCTCAAAGATTTTGATGATTGTCACTTACAAGGATGGATTTTTTTCAAAATGTATGTCATTTTGGTTGTAATCGTATCTGGCTGATCATAAAAAAGTAGACTTAGTTCATGAGCCGACTGAATAGTCAGTGAATCCAGTTTAGTCGACGCTCTTTCAATTCTGTGAAGCAATATTTCTAGATTGATGAAAATATTTTCAACTTGCATCACAGGAATCCAAGATAATTTGTGGGTAATTTGCTTGTGAAGTAAATTGTCTCTAAGATCGTCTCCTAATTCAATGCAAATGTCTTTTAAAATTTCATCAATATCCCCATCACGATGAATCTGCTGTTGATTTTTGCTCGATGAACCATGGAATGATCTAAGGATTCCATTTTGAGAAGGAAGAATGGCACGTTTCTCGATAATTTGTTGAAAGCAAACGTTTTTCGATAAAAAGCCTATCAACTCGCTTAACCAACTAATTGCGCGATCTTCATTCTTAGAGATATAATCAATTGATGTTGCCTCAATCAGCTGGATAGCTTCATCGACACTAAATTTAACTGGCAGTTCCCAATCATTGTAATCTTGATTAATAACTTGAATCCATTGTTGTGCTTCATCGAAATGTGGACAATCTTTTGATTTGGTTATAATTTTTGCAGCAACCAAATACCAAGCTTCAGGTTGAACCGGACAATCTGGGAATAGACAATCGTCTATTCTTGAATAGAAATATAGTTCATCGGTACACTTGGTGTTTCTAACTAAATCTTGACTGCGGATAAATTGTCTCAAAGGTAATTGAATCTCTCGTCTAAACCAAAGATTATCAGAGTAACGGTTTGAATAACGCGGTAAACCACTTATGGCCAGTATGTAGCGATTAAGAACTTGTAATTCAATCAGTTCTTGGATAAAGGTTATCCAATGATCACGATAAGCACACAAAATTGATCGATTAGTGTCTGCGATTGGATCAATATCGGATTCCAGTGATTTCTTTATACGAATACCATCTTTAAAGTCATTTGGACACCAATGAGAGCTTTGAATTAATGGAGCACAATGAAAGTCTTCTGTTCCAGTTAGAGGAAAATCTTTAAACACTTTAGTTTGATTGGGAATTTGGGTGAGAAAGTAATCGTTTGAACCAGTTTTGGTACAATTGATTCCAAGAGTAATTCCGAAAGAATCAAAGTGACGAATCAACATGGAATGAGTTATACCAAGAACCTTGGCCCTTACAATTTTCTTGTAGACAGATTTACGCCTAAGAGCGTATTTGTTTTGTGATCCATTGATATTTATTGTGATTGATTCAATTGATTCATTGACTACCAAGGTAAAGATAATGTTTCGTTTAAGGTCCTCCAATGCTGAATGAGCAATTGAATAAGATTCAGGATCCAAATGGTATTCAAATGACGAGTAACCAGCCAAGGTGGATGAGGATCCAGATAAAGATGGTGATGAAGAGGGGGATATTTTACGACCAGAGGAATCAAAGATCTCGCTATGAGGATGTGTAAGGTCAATAATAAGTTGATATGTTTCCTCTAAAAGTCTTTTCATATCACTCAAGTTATCAGCTGTTCGTTTCAAAATTAATTTGAAATCACGGAAACCTCGAGGTGTAGTCACTTGTCCTTTAATGGTAACCACTTTATTTAACACATGAGTCTTTATAAAACCTGTACCCAAACGGCTTTCATCATGGACTTTGGTTGATCCTCGACGGGCCAAAGCAATCAAATCTTTTACACGAAACTCCAATCCATTGTGGGCAAAGATGAATCTATCCTTTTCAAGGTTTATTGAAATGTTGACCGGCACATTGGGACGAGCACAATCCTTGGCATTTTGAATCAATTCCCAAATAAAACGGTGTTTTTGATTCTCTGGCAGGGATTTGAGTCGTTCAAGCTCTTTGAGAATGCATCGAGCCTCAAAGTCTAGACGAATCTCGTCCAGTGAGTTAGCTACGGAACCATACATTTTGAATTTAATTTACAAAAATTATAAATAAAGTAAATTTTAAAAAGAAACAATATCAAAATGTAAAAAGCAGTTAAAAAGGCAAAAATGAAGTCAGTGTCAATTTTCAACATTAAGTCTCTTCTTGAAAGGTTCTTCTTGGTAATTATCTAACAGCTTTCTTATAATCGGGCTCACTAATCACACCCTGATGCTATTCGCACATTGAGCATTGTAAATTCTGAATTATCTTGTTTACATACATTTTGGTCTGATCTAGAGCTTTTATTACTCTAAATAAAATACATGAAAGTAAAATCATAAAATACTGAAATCATGAAATAAATGCAATTTGAGAAAATAAGTCGAGTTCCAATCTTTATTGTTTGTATAACTTTAAGAAATCAGTTAAAATTGATTCATTCAAGAAATTGGGCTCAAATAAAATTTTTCATTCGATATTTAAAAAAAATTGTGAATTACATCTGATATTTTCAAAGTTACACTGAAAATGAGGTTACATAAAGGTCTTTTATTCATTCCTTAAGCGGATTACTTTTGCAAAATTTGTGAATTTCATTAATTTTATCTAATCATATCTAATTATTCAGATTTATTATTGAAATTGAAATTTAAAATAGATTTTACAGAAATAATCAGATTGAAATGCTTTTTTTGTTTGAAAATTTTGATTTTGAACTACGCGCATTTTTTGTGCTTGTTTGTTAGCATTGAAGTCAGTGAATTCATTTCTTTCAAAATGAACATCATTTCTTTAAAAATGTGGATTATTTCAATTATAAAACATATTTTTGTGCGTTTTTATCGCTTTATGAGAACGTTGCGTCACAAATGGTTATGGTCATGCGATGATGAGATTATAAATGAACCAATTTCCTACGATTGTATAAATGTTGAAGAACAACCAGTCAGTTGTATAAATAACAAAATATTGCAAGCTGCTCCGTTACCAGGCCAAGGATCATCTGTTGATTCCAGACCAGAAAGATCGCGACCAGAAACTCGTAACATGGCAAGTGGACAGAGTGGACATGGGGTGCCTTCAAGAAGTGATAAAAGTCAATTCAGTCAAGGTAGAGCTGAACAAGGAAACCACAAGTCTAACCAAGCTAGTAACAAAAGGAAATTTGAAGACCCTCTTGATATGGTTAAAGAAATCGACAATGAAGCCGCTAAATTAGAATTAGAAGTCGATAAATTCACTGGGGATTACCAAGATAAGGAATACAAATTTCTTGATGAAATGTTAACGCGATGCATGTTAAAGCTTGATAACATAGATTCAAATGGACGAGAGGATGTTAGAAATGCTAGACGGTCAACATTGAATCGAGTGGACCGTTGTATAAACATCTTGGAAAGCAAAGGTAATTCATCTGAATCTGGTGAGAATAAAAATGATTCAAATAGTGATGCCAACACCGATACTACAAGTGAAGCCCAGCAAAATGATTCTTCTTCTGAATCAAATCAATCCAATGAAAGTGGTGGTACAGAGGGAGACAACAAATCTGTAAATTGTGCAGCTTATGGTGAAATTGAAAAGAAAGATAATAATATAAATCAATATCAATCAGCAACCAACATGCCGGAATTTTTCGTAAAACCGGTTTTTTCATCGTCAATTGTTGAAAATTTGATTGCAGAAATTCTAGACCAAGATGAACCTTCAGAAGAACCAAGTGAAATTGATATAGAAACAGATTACGACCAAAAGGCCTCTACTAGACTCGAATTGGATCAATTTGGGTTAAATATTTGTAGTGCTGTTAGTTTACCGATTAAAATTTAATAATTTTGTAATTTATGTAATTTAACTAACTGAGTAAAATTAATGTGTTTGTCTGCTTTGTCTGGAAAGCGATATTAAACAATCATTTTTCACTTGTCTCAGTAATTACTTTACTTTTATTTTGATTATATATTGAACAAATCTAACATTTCTTCATTTATTGTATCAAACACCTAAATGTAAGCAACTTGATCCAGCAAGTTAATTTATTCTGATTAAATCTTCATTTTGAAAACTTTACTCATTTGTCATTTTGTTAACTCGACTAAGAACATGATAAATTCCAGTAGTAGCAAGAACTTGTTTCTTTAGATTGCCTCGGCTTTGACGCTTTGGCGTGTTTGAATTTTTGATTTCAGAAGATCTGCGGCTAACATTAATATTAGATATCTGACTAACATCGGCGCTTTTATCATCGTCAGCTGGTTCGCTCACATCTTGAACTTTATTCTCCTCGACAGATTCGCGACTCTGTGATCCTTTGAGGAATGTTATTAGCTTATCAATCAACCATTCAATCACAAATATCGGTGAAATTCCAAGCCAAATACCAATAGCACTTTGAGAGTAAACGATAAAATCATCCAAATCATAATAGGGAACAATTATATTGGATAAAGTTGGTTGGCTGGTCATCCTCATTACAATTGTGGACTCATTTTTCTTTCCGTATGAGATTCGTTTCTTGTATGGTCTAAAAATAATCTCTTCGCAATCAGGATAAGGAGATTGTTTATAACAAAATGATTTGAACGATTTAAACAAATTGCGGTAAAATTCACGCGTCTCTTTCTTTGGGTTGAAAAACTCTAAGTACGTTTCGAATAAACCAGTTCTAATTTCCTTTTCCATTGATTCTAAAGGTTGGATGGTTTCATAGTAAGGACAATTCAATTTATCTCTTGTTAAATTATTGATACATTGATGGACTTTACCGATACGATTTTGGTAGCCTTGAAGGCGATAGTTGGTGCATTGCTCGGTGAAATCGCTCTCTTTATACTCGGTTCTGTATAGTTTGATTCCAAATATCATCTCAAAAGATGGTTTCTCGAAATTGATATCCAAAAATAATGGCGTTTCCGAAGATATTGTAAAATCCTTGTTCATTGGGATGACCAGAATTGATGAATATGTTGAAACGTTGCGGAAAAGTTGATTAAATTTGATTTGCATCAAATATCCTTCAGCCTCGCCATTGTCAATAACAGTCTTGTCATAAACAATTGCAGATCCATTTTTGGTACATGATATTTTAATACACATTGAGTCTCGAATTAAATTATTAGTGGTTTTACAATCATCTGGAAACACTTGCCTTTGGTAAACATCATCCACTGATGAAGCCGGATTAATGCTTACCAAAGATTTTGAAGGATCAAGCAGTGCTTTCGATAGCTCTTCAAAGGTCATGGTACTTACTGTTCGCATTATATCAAAGTCCATCTTAGGTTGCATTCTTCCGTCAACTTCTTGAAATACAACTGAAGGATATTTTTCGCGAAAATAATTGACATTGAGAATGTCGAATACAGAGAAACAGAGATAAACATTGGGTAATTCAACACTTGGGTCCTGTGTTATTCTTAGACGAGTACGAGTTTCACCTCGTATGATGTAGTTCAACATGTAGGCAATCTGGTAAATGCACAGAACCAAAGCGGCTGTTTTGACTATTAATCGTACACAATTATTTGCCCCTTGAATCATCATCTTCACAGAGTAAAGTTATGGTCAATAACTAACTAAGAATTGTGGCAACAAATCCAAGCAACTTCGACATTTATCTGACCGATTCTATGACTTCTTTTGATAATTGTTAACAGTTAGATCAATAAGAATCCTCTGATAAACATAAATAAAATTTATCGATTTTCATTTTGTATTATTTTATTTCAACAATTTATCATTCTTTTCTACTTTTATTCGACTTTACAATCCAACCTTTCATTGTTCACAAATCAATGTCAAAGCTTAGTTAATTTTATTTCGATAAGACTGGATGCTTAGAAAGCAAAAAGAATTAAAAAGGCCATCATAAGACAGAAGAGACCCATAGCTTCAGAAAGAGCAAATCCAAGAATAGCATATTGGAAAAGTTGTGCCTTCAATGATGGATTACGAGCGTAACCAATAATTAAACTTCCGAAGACTGAACCAATTCCAGCCCCTGAACCGGCAACACCAACAGTAGCTGCTCCAGCACCGATAAACTTAGCAGCAGAATCAATATCATTCCTAATTGAACTAGTGTGGATTGGTCTGATTGCAGAAAGGGCAGAAAGAGCAGAGAAGCTTTGAGCTTTCTTCTCTTGGAAAAGGACTGATGAATTGTTGGAGAATTGGGCAGAGTTAATGGCTGAGCTTAAAGGTCGGGCAATACCTCGGCTAGCTGACATCATCTAAATTAATTAACAATAATATTACAAAAAATGGATAAATAAATAAGAAATTATTAAAATAATGTAAAGGTGAATTGGAAAAGATCATTGAAGAAGAATGAGGAGACAAAATAAAAGGTCAAAAATTAAAACTTACCATAGCTCTGGATAAAAGTTGAGGGGCTGCGAAAAGGGAAGCCATTTCTGTTGATGTTTATTTAAATTAGACAAAGGAAATCAATTAAGAAGTTAATTAATTAGGTAAATGATGATACCGGACCAGGAACACACCGAGAGAATGAAGGTGACTTATAGTAAAAGACGGTTACGATAATCTAAAATGAAATAATCGATATTTCGTAGTTTTCGGTTATCAGACTAACTAAGCGGCTTGTGTTATTATAAAATATTATGCAATTTGATTTATCTCTTTTAAAATATCTCCTATAATTTTATTCGCCTCTTTTAAATTGTAACTTTTAATTCATTCAAAACATTTTAAACACTAATTGTTACAATTTAAGATGGTTTTTAATGAACCGAATTTTACGGTTATAATAGTTTTCGGTTGAGTCATTTTTCATCTTATGCCGGAGAATGACTTATGACATCTTACGGCAATTAATAGAACTAAAAAAAGCCAAAATTGACTTCTAAACAGGTTTTCATCGTAAGATGTCGTTACTGCTTTCAATGTGACCTCGGATCTCGGATAAATCTCTATCTAGGCTTAATTTAAACCAGTGGTAATTTATTGTTGTCTTTTTGAGAGTCAACTTAATTTTGTTTTATTTAATTACTTGTAATTT